CCATCGGCTGGTGGGTCTACCGCCACTGGGATGGAAAGTTTGGCCAAATCCGTCTCGGCGAGCAAGGGGCGTCCACCATGGAGTTCTTCGATGCCGATAGGCCCTGGGTCAAGTACCCCGTCATCGCTCTCAGCGCGGTGGTGGCGCTGGCGGGCGCTATGCCGCTTGTTTTGGGAGCCCTGTGGAGGACAGCCAAGAGCACGGCGGAGAGATGGGGTATCGGAGGCGGTGGCGGCGGGAGAGGTGGCTGGAGCCGGCTGGACGGTGGCGGCGCGTCGAGGACGTTCAGGACCAGGGATAGCTTTGCAAGGGGGAGAGGCGATTATACTATCGTGGATGAGGACGAGGGAGAGTTGTTGGGGGAGGAGAGTGATGAGGAGGTTTGAGGTGTGAATTGTCTCGGGCGTGAAGGAGGTTTCTTGGTGTGGAAAACGATACGGTGGTGATTTGGGTTAGTCGAAGAGATGGGGAGATGTATGGCTGGCTTAGAAATTCGTGACACATGAGAGGGAAGCGTGGACGGATGACTGCCGTGGTCAAGTTGTGGTGGTTGGCTGAATACTCCTGTATAGATACGATGTGATGATGCGATGCGATGCGAACATGTAGATCATGAAACTGCCTTCATTTCATTCACCTTCTTACGCTGTGGCGCTGGTTTTATCGTTACATAGTCGAAGGACAAGTATCTCTGCTCCTTTGACCTCTTTCCTCAGACGTCAGAGTTGCTGGTTTGGAAAGACTTTGAATAATGTGTTGGGATGGGGCTGGGGGGAAAAAGGATGAAGGGTTGTAATGAGTGAATTGGATCAGAGTAGGTGTTCGTTTGATAAGATGTAAGTATCAACATTGACATGATAATGTGTTATTTCCATGTCTTCTTTCTGGTTCAAGTCCCCGAGGCAAGTGCAGTCAAATGTACCCACCCTCAGACTCCAGAAGTCGTACCCGCCCTTCATACCACTCATTCATTCAAATACACTTTGGTAAATCGTCACAGAAGCCAGTCTTTCCCCATAAGCATCCCAAAGCGACGCGCACGGCACCACGGCTACGGACACACCTCCACCACCACCACCAAGGGCGGCGGCGGCAGAAAGGCTGACATCCACATAACGCACCATGACAGATGGGCCACCCCTTTCCTTGTCGGGCTCTCCGTGTCCCTGGTTGATCAACCGACTAGTAGACAACCACGCAAGCTCATCGACTGCGGCAAACGAAGACGAAGGCGAAGACAAAGATGATGAGGGGGGTGAACTCCGACCCATGTACCTTTCCACCATAATAGTCTGCAGGAGAGCGGGTCGTCGGCCTGATGCTCCATTTTTGACTCCCTTGTCATCATCATCATTGTCCATATCGTCATCGTCGTCGTCTTGCTCAGACGTGGAGGCAGGAGAACGGACAACAGTCTGGTGGACCTCCACCACTCTCTCTTTACCAGTACCGTCATCGCTTATATTTGCCTGAAAGCTCTCCAAAACCGTTACACTCTTTGACCCAGCCTTGGCGACGCCCAGATGCGCGTGCCACTCGACGCCCGCAGAGCGAGGGAGCTCGGCGACTTGTGCAGCAAAGAAGGGTGGGATTGTCCTCCTCCTCTTCTTTTCGTCCTTGCTGTTATTTTTAGAGAGGACACTCCAATCCGGTAGCTTTGGTTCCGAGGAGGAGGACTCTTCTGTGGAGGTGACAGCAAAGGACATATACCGGGGATTGAATTTTCTGTCCCAGAGGTCGGGGCCGTTGGAGGAGTCGTCGTCGTCAGAGTCTGAGTTAGCGTCAGAGTCCTCGTCTGATGCGACCTTGGAAGACCACTGATGGGCAGATTGCCACGTCTTGTAAGCCAGTCTGGCCTTTTCGCTCATGGGCATCGAAAAGGAGGAGTCGGTGGTGGTGGCCGCGGGGAAATAAGCCACGGCGCTAGTCCACCATTGCACGCCAACTTCGAGGCCGATGCGCCAGAGGTGTTGGAGTGAGAGGGCGAGTTGGGTGTTTAGTGCCTGTCGCTGCTGCTCTGATTCCGCAGGAGGCAGGGCCATGGTGGCGGGTACAAGGGGGATTTGACCCGCGATAGTAACTAGTCGTGGACCACCGTTACCGTCATCATGGTTGCCGCCAGTTGAGTTTGAGGGCTTTGAAAAAGATGATAGACTGGCCAACGGAATTGAAATGGCTTGGCTATATGGTCCAATATTGGCAGGAGCCCAGTATGAGCGGGATTGCACGTGAAGACCTTGTCGGCGCCGGTCGGTTGTGGATTTGTTGGTGAAGCCGGTGTGCACGGTGAGGTAGATAGCGATGCTGATGCTGCCATTGTTGTTAGTGAAGGCGGATAGGGAGTCACTGCAAGCAACACAGACTCGTGAAGGAGGGTTGGGCGAATCAAAGAGGGCACCGTAGATGGAGTTGACGGTAGGGAAGTCGGCCATGTGACGGAGGAGAATCGTGGAGGTGAGAATGGCGGATGGAGTGAGGTTGGATTGCTGAAGTCGTTGGCGAATTTGAGAAACGAGCGAGGATGTTTCTGTCTCGACCGTGTTGCTGCTACCAGCGGAGAAAGAAGCATTGCCGAAGAAGCACCATTGTTGTAGTTTGCTGTCGTTGAGACTCTGAGGCAGTCCAAGCTGAAATGTACCTTCTTGCTTCGAGAAGCTGTGTTGAGGTTCCAAGCTGAGCAGAGCCAGAAGCTTTCGAGCTTCCTCCTCGCCAGCGGAAGCACTCGTGTTCAAACCCTCCAACACCCCCACAAACCTAGCATCCAACAAATCTGGGATCCTGATTTTTCCAGTATCACTCTTCTCCTCATCAGAAGCCGCCACGGTGACTTCTTTATCCTCCAACTTTGCACTTCTAAAACTCAACCAAGCACACCCTCCTCCCTCTCTAACAACCCTCCTATCTTTCTCCTCCACCATGATCCTCTTCCGAAACAGCTGTCGCGGCCCATCCAACACCAACGTCTCGAACTCTCCTCCCTCCCCAATCACTGCGCCCTTCTCCGACGCCGTCCCGAACCGCCGCATACTCCTCGCGATCCTCTCCTTTCCCAATCGATCCGCGACGTTGGTCCAGAGGAAGGAGTCGTCCAGTCCGCCACTGGCTACCTTGATGATGCGCGCTTCCATGCCCGCGGCGGCCATGTCATCTAGGAGTTGCGCGTCCGTGGTTGCAACGTCTCCACCAGCCAAATGTTGTGGGACGGGCAGGATAGGGAACTTCCACAGAAAGGCCAAAGGCGTCAGGCCCAAGCGGACGGCTACCGACTCGACGCGCGTGCGCTGGTAGGTGCTGAGGATGGCGCCGGCGCAGATGGCGTTGGCTTCGGGGTGGGCGCGCTTGATGGCGAGGAGGAGGGGGATCATGGATTCTGTTTCGTCGTCGTCTTTCACTTGTTTCGCTTTCGCATTGTTGTCCCCTTCACCTTGGACAGCAACCGCCGTCGAAAAATGCGAATAATCCTTCCCCTGTGTGGCCCCCCCGAGAATGGGCTGGCGGTACAGCGGAATGCCCGTGGCCTCGGCGTACAAGGGGATCAGTTGGTGGCCGACGGTTTGATACATGAAGCTGTTTAGATCTTCGTCTTCTTCTTCTTCTTGCTGTATATCTTCGTGTTCATTGGTTTCTGGTGGGTGTAGATTTGCTAGAGCTACCACTCGATGGCCGTGAGCAAGGCAGTGGAGGAGGGAGAAGAAGCTGTCTTTGCCACCGGAGATGAGGGCGATGACGTTCAGCCGTCCTCCTTGAGCTGGAGGAGGAGCCGCGGGGGTAGCCATCATGCGCTGATTTGATGCTAGACCTGACTGTGCATGTGTTTCCCTGCTTCTTGTGCTCTTTCCGTCGAGTATTGGACACAAGCAGCTAATGGTGATTTCGGTCAGTCGTCCTGCTACTGAGGTGACGACAGCCTAGGACCCTGGGATGTGTGACTTTTGATGGTAACGTGGGTCCAGCACGAGCCGCCGAGATGGGTAACTAGTAAAGCCTCCTTATGTTTGAATGAATCAATTGTCAACGTAGAAATATTCGTCGAGATGGTTTTATCGTCTGGTCAACTATCAAACTTCACGCACTGCAACTCCAGTGGGGACCCCACTCAGGCCACGCTGCGATAGAGCGGTACTTGATCAAATCACTTATTTGGTGCATTTAGAGAATTTCGTAGGTATACCACTAATTGAAGGTAGGTAACTTGGCTGTCAAGTCACGCTGAGCGCATCTACGAGCTGGACTAGACGCGAGACCCTCGAAATTTCTAACCGCAAGAGAAATTGACCAGTATTTGAGAATTCACCAGAGGATGCAAAGGAAGCAAGACTTATTTAAATGTGCATTTCTAGATGCCTTTATTCTTTTCTCATGACCAAGTGGCCCGAGTCTTTGTGATGCTAAGCTAACGACGATACAGTCCTATCCTGCAAACCGAGGATACCATGAGTATGATGTGGAGGAGGAAACAACAGCCTTTTGTTAAGAAGAAGAAAAAAAAAGTATGAAGGAAGCATGCGCGGTGGACGGCTGAGCCAGCTGCTTCGTCCACCGAACGATTAAAATGTCCGGAAACATCAAAGTGTAACAAAACTAATAAGGAGTATGTGTAAACTCCAAAGCAACTAGCTGTGTGCGCCTAAGACAGAGACTGCTGTCCTCCTCCAATCGATCAAAACTCAAAACCCGGGGGAATCTTGCAATACCTATAACGCCCTTTTATGTTCCAACCTTTTCTAAAGGCATGGTGAATGGGCGTCCGATATTGCGCATCCATCGTTCGTAACAAACATCGAGGGGGTATTCTTTCTCTTTCTCTCTCTCTCTCTCTTTCAAATTCTTTTGACCCTTGAAAGCGCCGATGGTGGGGGTATTTCGGCCAATGAATCTCGTAATGGTTCATGTCTAACATCAATAACGCCGGCTCCGTTCCACTGCGAAGACCGTCGTTAATGGGGAAGAGTGTGCGAAGAAGTGAACAAGCGGGTTTAGATTAGCGCAGTGAAGGCTATTCACTCGCCTCTCCTCCGCTTCTTCTTGTTGACATCGCTGTCGTCCGATGACTCGCTGCCGCTGCCTGGAACCTCGGAAGCAACCTGGAAGAGGACCTTGCCAAAAGTGTGGCAGTCCTCGCTGGTGAGGGCTGGACCCATCATCGGATGATGGATGAAACCGGGGTGGTGCATGCCCATCAGTTCGGGGTCGTTGATCAAGTCCATGACAAGCGAGCCAGAGCCATGGGTACGGGCATGCTGAGACAGATTGTCGGAACGAGAAAACTTCTTGCCACACTCGCCGCACTCGAAAGGCTTGTCCTGAGTGTGCAAAGACCGGTGGTGACGCTTGAGGTGCTCCTGGCGGCGGAAACGACGGTTGCAAATGTCACACTTGAAGGTCTTGGAAGGGTCTTCGGTCAAGGACTGCTTGCGGCCGCGGCGGTTGGTGGGCACCGGGAGCGGCGTCGACGCCTGCTCGCCAGCCTCGACCGAGGATTCGGTGGTCGCGTTGGACTCGGTGTTGTTGCTTTCAGCCTCGGCGCTGGCTGCCTGCTGGGTGTGTTCGCTGACCGGGGCCTGCTTCTCGGTGCTGGCGGTCTGGTTGTCGGCAGCGACGTCCATGGTGGACTTGCGTGCGTGCCTTGCCCTCTTGCTGGGGCGGGCCTCGCTATCGGAGCAGCAGTCGTCCTCAACCGACTCAATGTCGTGCATGTCCTCAAGTTCGTCGCAGAAAAGGCTGGACTGGTCGAGCGAAGCAGCGCCGGAGCTGGAGCGCGAGCGGCTGCTAACGCTGGGGGAGCTCTCGACCAGGGAGCAAGAGCCGCTGGTGAAGGGAGACTCGTCCTCCGAGTCAATGTCAGTCAGGACGGAGAGGATGTCAAAGACAGGAAGGCCAGCAGTGAGCTGGGGGTTGAACGAGTAGTCGAAGGGGGTAGCGAGTCTCTGCGGGGCAATGCCTTGGGAGAAGTAGTCGCGGTCCTCCTCGTCGGGGGAGTAAATGGTGGGGAAGTACTCGGGAGCAAGGGTGGAATTGACAGTGCCCACGGTAAGCTCGCGCGGATCACAGACGCCGTCGACGGGGACCGGGAAGATGGAGGCCGGCTGCACGAGCGGCGACGCGGCAGGCGAGAGCAGCGTGGTGTAGGTGGGAGTAGGAGTAAGAAGGCCGCTGGCGGTGGGGGTTGGCGTGTTGAGGCTCAGGTCATTGGAGGGGAGCATGGGCACCTGGATGCGGGCCTGGTCGGGAAGGTACACTAAAAATTGGGGTTCCTGGTCAGCTCAGCGCCCAGAAATGCGGTGCTCGGACCAGCAGTGCGCGGGCAATCAGAGTCGGGCGTCCGCCCGCGATTCCCTTGCTGCAGCAGCCTCCACATCCCGCTTCCATCTTGAAACATTAGTTGCAGCCAGCCAACAAATCCATCCCGTCACCGCTTCCACTCCGACCCACCGAAGCTCGGCTTGCAACTTCCCAGCTCGCTTCCCTCTCTTGCCAAGAATGCTGCACTGCACACTCAAACAGAAACGCAAAAGAGAAAAATACATACCAGGTGTAAGAGGAGGAGAATAAGGCTTCATTTCGTGACCAGCAGGCTTGAGCTCGAGGCCGTCCATTCCCGACACCATGGGGTTGCACGGAGTCTGGAGCAAGTCACAGCTGCGCGGGCTGCTGGCAGCGCTGTTGGAACGCGTCAGCGGAGGGCTTGGCGGCATGCCGCAGTAGTCGCCCATCTCGGTTTGCAGCTTGATGGCGGGTCTGGCGTGGGAAATGGGCTGAGGAGAGGCCATTGGCGTGAGCACCTGAGGGACAGGCATGCTGGTAATGCTGTCGAGGTTGAGGAACGGCTTGTGCTGCATGGGTGACTGGAGGCAGCCCGAGTTGCGTCTGGAGTAGATGGGCGTCGACGGCACCGGCGGCACAACGGGGAGCATGTTCATCTGGTAGGGAAAAGGGTTGAAGATGTGCTGCCGTTGCTGCCTCTCGGGGCTGGCGTCTGATTCATAGAAGATGAAGGGCTGAGCCATGATGTCTTCCATCTTGATCGTATTATATAGTGCTGTCCTGCCATTAGCTGCTTGTTCCTCCCAAGTCGATGCATGTCGAACGTTGGTACCAACCAGGTAAGAGGTAGTAGCTTTTGTAACTGTGGCAATCGATAGATGCCTCTGACGTCTGGGGGGTTTATATATTAAGTGTTGTATATATGTGTGTATATATATGTATATAGATGTCGCGTCGTGTTGTTACTATTGCTTCGTGCCGTGAAGGGCTAATGATGGTGTTGACTGGTTGCCTCTGGGGAAAAGATAGGCTGGCAGTCTAGATTAATAAGGCGTTGTACATAAACCGGATCGAGAGCTTGAATTGTCGTCGAGCTGGTGCCAATGGTAAAGTGGTTGACTGAGACCAAGTGGTGATGTAAATATCAAATGGAAACGAAGGAGTGTTATCCAAAACCTCGAGATCCAAAAAGAGGGCAGAGACCGGTAAGTAAAGGAATAAATACACCACACGTCCAAGAACAAGATATGCCGATCTCAAGAGTGGAAAGAGGAAGCGTGGAGACGGGGACCCTGGGAGGATAAGTAAGTCCCACCGAGATCAGCGGACAAAAGACGATGCAACGGCGCTGGACAGGAACCGGCTTCGACTGGTGAGACTGGGCAAGCCGGGATGGTCGACACCGCGCCCCAGGACAACCAGGGCCCAGCATACCACCCGGGATGTACTGTCCGGGTACGGTCTATGCGTTCTTTGGCTGAGAGGTGTACATGTGTTCTGTGCGTACCAGAGCTATGTACGTATACTATACACTAGTCGAAATGCATACTGGGCCTCGCTTGAAGGTGACAGGTTGTACCTTGAACTGTACAGACTGGGAAGTTCAGGAACCCACCGTGTCCACCCGACCCATGTCCTCATGTTTTGGGGGGGTGGACGGTGGACGGCAACATGAGAAGATGGGTGGGTGTGGGTGGGCTCTGGCTTGTCTGGAGGAAAGGCACAGCCGCCAGTCCAATTCTGGTACTATTCTAATTCTGGACTCGAGCAAGCAGCAGCAGCACCATCCCAGCAGCCTGAATGAAGGTACCACAGAGCGAACCGCAGCACGGGTACCTCGACGCAAGCTTCCCCGTGGACCGTGAGCAGCGATCTTGCAGGCCCAAGTGCTCTCTAGTGCCGCCGAGGACATGAACGGCCCCAGTGAAAGCCAGCAGCTCGCAGTAGTGCTCGCACACTCCGGACCACTACCACACCACCTGTGCCGGTCATCTCACCTCCAGTCCGGGTGCTGAGGGCCTGGTTCGCTGTGTCCTTGCTCTGGTTGTCTCGGAGTGAGGACCAAGCTTGAGCAACGAGAAGTCACGGAGGCCGTAGAGCCCGTTGAGAGGCTCGGCTCCCATCCAATGCGTGCGTTCTTTTCTCGTCGTGGTTGGCGTCATGGCTCCGATGTTTACGACGACTGTGTCGCTCCAGTTCCACAGGCCCGGGTTCCCGTCCTCGTCCGAGCGACTGGAAATGGGGAATTTCAGATGAGCACCCACCCAAGTTCGTCCGATCCTCCGCGAGCTGTGAGCGGGCGCACTGTGTTTATTACGGTGATTGTGCGTCTGGCTGTCTGGCCGAGCATTGGTCCAGGCTGAGCTGGGATTGGGCACGGACACCTCTACAGAGCATCATAGGTTAGCAAAGTACCTCCAAGCAGATCAAATAGGGTTCGGACCAGCGGCAGACGGGAGTATTCCGGTAACTTGGGGATGTCGAGACAAGCCCTGGGGCCCCAGCAGCTTCACAGTCTGGACAATGAGCCTGACGATGCCTGCAGAGGTGAAGCTATGGTGGAGCAGCTAGGAATTACTGTGTGGTAGCAGAGAGCTGCAGAGCTGTAGGTCAAGGCTACTCTTGATTCTGCGGTCAAGCCCAAGAGAAACACACTCGACGCTCACGCAACGGGCTCCTGCTCATCCTACGACGAACAAGTTGTCGCCGTCTACCGCTTCTGTCCAGAAGGCCCAAGGGCTTGGGAAGATTGCCTGTACTGTGTAGATTACCGAGATTTGAGCCTGAATGGTCCCGGCCGAAGTCATACATGAGTTGTAGCGTATTGTCGGTAACAGAGCTCTGTAGTAAAAATGGGCGAGAAGGGAAATGGGTTGCCAGGTTGATGGGTCCATCCGGATCCAAGGCCAGAGCCGGGGAGCCAGGCAAATACTGCTGCTAGCACCAGGGCCGCGAGACAACTCCCACCTGTCGCCGCCACTGCTTCAGCGAAATGATGAGCACGGGCAAAAGGCGGGCCAGCAAGGAAGTAGCAACGACGACAGAGAGGTGCGGTGGTATCGCCGTGTGTCGGATGGTGTGGACAAGGTGGGGTGATTTGGGATAATTGAGGTTGATTGGGTTGATTAGGCCAATGAAGCTATGGTGTATGTAGTGCACCATGCCCTATACTCTACGACTTTTTGATACGCAGTAGCTGAAACCCAAGCCTGTGTTTTGTTTGGTGCATTGTCGTTGAGCAGCTGCGCTAAAATGGCTGCCTCTGACAGATCTTTCGAATGAAAGTGATACCTCTACGCATCGACTTTGAAAATAAAAATAAAAATAAAAACATGGCAAAGTGACAGGTACACAAAAGAGAGAATGGTGCTGCTCCGCCGTCGGATCTCCCGTTCATTTGACTTCGCTTCAAAGCAAATCGGGTCGGCGTGCTTGAATTATGATGTGTGGATCCCGCAAAATGGACCCACCGCTGCGACCGGTTCCGTCCCCGTATCTGCCCGGTCTGTGTTATTTGAGGGTCTGGCGTCCGGCAACGCATCAGCTATCCCCGCTGTCATCACTCGCTCAAATAGCAAACTCAATAAGCAAGTTTTAGGTACTTGTTACTGCACTTTTGAGGTTCAATCGAACTTTTCAGAATCGCCTCATGCGGCAACCACAACGGCCCTGATGCCCGTGCGAGGCAGTGATAATGCACGTCTCAACGCCAGGTGTGCGATTGGCAGCCAAAGACTGTCCCAGCGGCCGCCGTTCCCAAGTGGTTTCAGCGATAGAAAACACATGGAACGGTCGGAGACCTCACGCAGGTACGCTGTAACCCAACATTTGGATCGATGATGGAGACAGAGATGGCCACACAAGCACCGACGAAGTACTAGAGGCTCAGGCAGCTAGTAGTGACCGTCGACTACGGAATCTCGAGGGTATTGGCAGCACAGGCTTACAGCAGTGGCACGGACGACGGGGCCGTCACGACTAGCTCGCCAGACTTGCCCCTCCGATGCATCATCACTTGGTCGATAGTGTAATGTTATTTGCTGCTGCCAGTCAAGACGCGCCGTCACCATTGAGACCAGTGTTTGTGATAGAAAGAGGTGAGCGCCGCGCGGTATGTAGCCGGCCTTCCGCATCTTGTGTCTTTGATTTTTTATTGTTATTTTTTTTGTGGTGATGGCGTCGGGCAGTTTCCCTATCACATTGGACAACAACGCCATCAACTCTACTGGGCAGTCGCAGTGGCAAACTCGACGGGCGCCGTCAAATCGGAATCCGAGCCTGGACTTGAGATTGCACATGTCGACCACTCAGCAGTGTCGACACTGATTCTCACACAACCAAGGCTGTCTAAGATTTCAGTTCTGATGCGAACACGGGTTTGACGGGCAGCTCCTGCCTTCGTACTGATTTTCGTACTGCACTGCGGACTTGCATGGATCTTTACAGGCGGCAGGGTTTGTGAATCGCAACTTCCTCCATTGCCGGCGAATATGCTAGGCGGACGAAGCTGAGAGAGAGAGGCTCATTTCCCTGACAACCCCGCGCGTGCTCTGCAAGTGGAATCGATCAACATGCAAATCTAGCGAGAGAAACAACTCAGACACTCGGCGCTCGAAGCACTGCAAACACGTGCGCACCTTGCTGGCCATCTGTCCAAGCAGCATCTCAATTCTCGAAGACCTCAAACTGCAAATCTGAGTGACAATTAAAATGGCAATCATGCCAAACATTCCCCGAGGTTTGCCTACAGCCTAACTGGCAAACCACGAGGCTTCTATCTACAAGCCCTTCAAGCCTTCCGAGTCTTCCAAACATCTCAAATGCCACACTCGAGCAAGCACCAGTGGATAGAGACAGCAACGCCGTCATCACATCCACAACTACACAAAAACTTCAACTCAAGGGTCCAATCGCTTCATCAGTGTAGTGTACCCTCGAGGCCCCAAGCGTCAACCTACCTAGTCTCCCGCTTGAGCCAGGTTCCATCTTCACACCGCCTTGACCGCTTACTGCACAGTACATGAATGCTAACCTAGATAGGTAGCTGCTTGCCTGGGGGCCTTGGAGCCTGGCCGCTGACGGCTGGCTTTTTGGTCCCCGCTCACACCCAGAGGCTGTCATTCAAGAGGTGAAGCAGTTGGCGGAAGTGCTCCCGGCCAGAATTCCGCTTTCTAGAAATCATTTGCTTGCCTTCCTTTCACAGTCACGGCCCATCTGGGATCGCTGTCCACGGTCTCGCTCGGACCCGAAACAGATTTCTTCGACATACTCGGTAGCATCGGCCGGACTCCATCACTTTACCCCGGATTAATCTCCCAGCCTTCACTACCTTCAATGCATGGAACGGTATGATCGCATTGGCTCGACTCGCTGTGCTTTGTGCATTGCGTCGTAGACACCGGTCACCGAAATTTCTTCTCATACGACCTGCTCCATCATGAGCTTTACTTCGGGGAGACCATTCTATCAACTAAAAGTTGCTCCTAGTCGTAAAGCTGGCAGAGTCGAGCCAAGGCGCGTGGATACGATTCTGCCTTCAGTTATATTGTGGTCTGGATGGAAAGTCGAGGTTGTGATGTTTGTTATCACTCGCAGTTTCTGTACCTTGCAGGCGGTCTGCATCTGCACATGCGCTACTGCAAAGAACCGACGCACTAACCTGTAGGTACAACAGAGGCAGGATTTTCACACAAACTTGAGACAAGGTTGGTTTGCCGTCTTTCACCGTCCGGATAGGCTGTTCCCATCATTTGCACCCTCCATCATCCAAAGCGATACTACTCTTTCACCATTCTCAATGCGTTGCGAAACTCGGCTATTGGCCCACAGTAACGGAGAAGGCATGACATTCGAAGCCACTTTGTCTCATCTCTCATGACTGCTCTCGACGAGTAACAACCAGACAGCATACTTGCAGTCAAGTTATTTTACCGACCTCGCCTGCACTAGTATTGTACAGATCAATGCTGGAAAGTTTGTTAGCCTGTTACTCGCCCCACATCATTCAGCAGGGGGGTTGCAAGCTTGGACACATCTATCTACAGGCTCTGATTGGCTGAAATCGCTTGATTTCAAAGTGAGAAAGAGTTGACAGACAACCCAGACAGCTCACACACACACACGGTTTTTTTCACCAACCAAGGTGCCCAAATTACTAGAAACACTAAGACTTACCTTTACTACCTCCTATAATTGGTAAGTTATAGGGTATTTACAGATCTCCTTCGCTCCCCTTGTCGGAAACTGCTTACAAGTACCGCGCTAACGAACTTTCCAGGGGTGAACTGTAGGCACACTACGCCGAGAATACCTGTCAAACAATTCTCCGCTCAAAGACACATAGACATAACCAACCTTGTCCAAAACCATAACCGTATCCAATCGGATCATCAGCTTTGTTTGCCACCGTTGACACGGATTGTACAGGCTACCTGATCTAGCTGAACTAGGTGGCTCACCAGTTGGGCATTGAGATTCACACGCCAGCCTGGAAAAGTGAGGCTCCTAAATCACTTCAAACATTATTGACGTCTTGAATCACATAGGAGGCGAACTGTCTCGCCCAAGCCCACTGCAGCTTGGAGGCACAGCACGCGATCGCAAGATAGAGTGCATTCTTGTGATGGCTTGGGCTTTTGCCCTCCAGAGGCTATTCGGATCTACATCGCCATGGCCGATTACGGGTTCTAGGTCCACCGCCATCCTCATTTCAAAGTCTGCTCAACTCATTTGCATGTGGGACGGCAGCGATTACCTAAGTACAGGCTACAGCTGCTCGACTGCCGGTATAGGTAGGCAAGCACAAGCAAGCCCTATAAACCTACGGTGTACTTGGCGGACCCTCGCGGCAACCGGTGTCCATGGACAAGCCTGCCCCGGACCGTTACCAACGGGCCGCGGATTGGAAGGTGGAAGACCCCGGGGCCAGTCTGTAATGTCGGGTGACCGGGGCGAGAATGGAAGGTGTAGGCAGAACATGTGAGCCGCTCATCATTCAAAGGTATTCCAGGGAGACCAATTTGAATCACGTGCCTCGTTGTGAATGCTGAAATATCCAGTCCATGGCTGCTCACGAGCGCCCGGTCTTCGAGGTTCGCCCAGTATCGCTTCAAGACTGAAGCATGGCAAAGATGGAGTGAGCGGTCCGGGATACGGCCCGAACAGCCTCCACATGTGGTCCGTTCCTCGCTGCGGTCCGCACATGTAGACCGGCCGCCAAGTTCGATGGTCGACGGTTTCCAATTCACGGTGACCCGGCGGTCTGTCTGTGAAGCGGTCAACATGGAGCAATGCTCCACGAAACAGACTTTGCCAGCAGTTGCCGGCCTGGCGAGCAAGTGAGAGAATAACCAGTTGTCCATTCGCTCTGGTATTTCCAGTTTGATCGCATGATGGGCGGGGAAGATATCACGCAACCTGTTACCGTGCATAACACAGTCTAACTTCCATTCTGCACGAACTGCACGAAGTATAGACCCACCTGGTCCAAGCAATTGAGCAATCAGAACTCGAACCTAAGGGCAGGGATTCCGATACTGTCCTCACGGCAGCGACCGTAGACCATTTCTGCGCGCTTCTCGCCTCGACCATCGACCGATCAATGTTATATCAGGTTCGTGATAAGTGCTGGGTACATGATAATGGAGGAATTGGATGATACCCCAGTTGTCGTTGCAATTTTAATCGTCATCATACACTCGGTTAACGGTAAAGCATCCACGGTTTCCCTCCGGCGCTGTTGCATCGTGCGTGTCCCAGATTTTATCGCGAATGTTTCCACTAGCGCAGGAACGCTTGTCTTTTTGACCAATAGGCATCGTGTAGACTTTTCCCCGGGCCCTGACGATGGGTCTTCTGGAAGGTTTCAAGGGTCCAGGCACTTCATATCTTCCGAAATCAATTGACCCTTGGGGGTCGCCGAATCCATCCACGTTTTCCGGTGATCCAGCTCTCGAGGACTCGCTGATAACATGACGGTCGAAGAGGCAAAACCTAAGTGGTGAGAGAATACACACCGGCCAATTGGGTATGCTATTGAGGCCGCTAAGGAACCACTGGATAAACTGAGTCCCAGCAATGACTCTATGTAGAATCGGCAATCGGATGGGGAAAAGGCGCAATTGATAACTGCAAAGAAGAACATGAAATAGGTGCAACAAGGCAATTGGCGCGTGGGGTTGGTTGATATTCAGACGAACGGATGGTACTCTACAATACGTAATCAGGTAAATACTGACCATCTCTTTTGGGATCATCCCGCCAGCATCAATCATATAGAACGCCGTACCTTACATACGCTGGGTCAAGGATACTTTACCTGCACTTTTACAGTACATAGTAGAACGACCATCACGTGCATGGGTTGCTGTGCAAGATTGGGTCATTGAGAGCCAAAACACTTACTTATCTCGGGATATTTTTTGCTCCACGCAACAGCAACCTATTTTCTCGTCATTGTTGTTTCTGTTCCGTTTCACGTATACGTTGATCGGTTACGTAATGTTCGTCATTCCCCAAGCTTGGTGCACACACAGCAGCTGGAGTGAAGCAAAGGGACGGAAGGAACCTGAGACGATTATCGGTCCAGGACACAACGACAGTCGCAAGTTTCTCAACCGAAGCGTATCAGGTCCTTCGCATTATTTTCCCCCGGCCGGCGGAATTGATCTGGTTGGGGGTTGATCAATGATTCTTTGCTTCCGATACATACGCGTACAAACGCAATGGGCTCTACTCGTGCACTATATACATCAACCCTGGTTTAATTGTTAGCGTGGTTCTTGCTCCACGTCCTCGTTCATGAGGGTTAACAGTACCAAGCTAACAATTAAACCAGGGGTGATGTGTAATACTTGACGGTTTCGGCATATCCATCATCTCCACACAACAACACTTTTTGGGAACGGAGACCACTGACCAGGTCGGATTCGCTTCCAATATCGCGGGAAATGAATTACAACTCTGCTGGATACGAAATCCTGCCCCAGGAAGGTTTACAGTGGATTCTAACATGGGTAGTTTTTGGCTAGTGCACAGCAGCAGTTCTAGCCAAAACTCAGAAGGCAAACAGCTGGACAGGGCTCCTCGGCGTCGCAAGTCATTCTCTCGCCCTTCTGGAAGAACTTGGCACGCATAGAGCAAAAACAGCAGCAGGCAGCAGGCACCCCACCAACCCTCCATTCTCAAGGATTCCTGAGAAGAAAACGAAGCGGAAAACGTAACAGCTTGCGTCGTGTTCCGCTCACGGGCTTCGCTACCGGAATCGGGTTGACCCTCCGAGGGTTTGGGTTTTGGGAAATGGTCCGCTACGCCGTCGGTAGTGGTGCACTCGGTCCCCGTCGGTGGGGGGAAAATGGAACTTGGAAAAGAATATTCCATTTTCCATGTTTCCATTCTTAGGACTGGAGTCCTCGACGATGCCCTGCGACGGAGTTTGGGTGGGAGCAGGTGAGACTGCTAAGGAACACCAAGTGGGAGCCGAGAAACACGATGGGAGAAGAAAAACAAAGGAACGAATGGACGAGAAGAGCTGACAAGAATATCCATTTTGTGAAGGAAGGCATTTGCGGACTGGACTATACCACTACGTAGAGATAGATGGACGCCGCGCACTATACAGCGGTGGTACGGTGGCCATTTCCAGAAGGATTAATGAAAATGACGATATAGCAGCGAATCATTCGGCGAGTTGTTCGGCTACTATCGAGTTCAACATTTCCATTCAAGTGAATGAAGGTCGTAAATCGAGAGAAAAGACCAGGGACGATGACGTCCCATTCTCAATCTGTTGCTTCCCATATGTAGCCACTTGTTGGTTGCTTCGGACTTTGGGGCCGACCGGTCACCCTCAGCAACAGTGATCCAATGGAAACGGGCAATTGGTTTCGATTCTTCAGTTTCTTTTTAGCCTTTTCTTTTTTTTTTTTTTTCTTTTTTTTTTTTTTTTTATCTCTTGTGTCTCTTCACTTGTCTCGTTGTCCATAACACTTTCACCTCGCACGCAAAGTCCAGTAACCACTGAACGCCCTCTCTACGTGTCTGTAACCAACACCGTCTTCTGGCGTTCACAATTCGCAAGGGACTCACAAAACAACACAAACCAAAAGTTTTGCGATGTTCATGCAGGTGACAAGTCCGTTCAAGCATGCATGCATATCCTACGGTGCCTGCATTTGCTGCTCGCCGCATCACAGGCAGCACGGACACAAACGAGGGACGGGGGACGGAGACTGGTTGCTTTTTTACCGTGCCTCGGTGCCTACCTGCCTGTTTGGTGCCCGTACCTGCGTTAATAGTGATCGTTGACCGCCTCTGAAGCGTGACAACTGCGACGGTGCAAATGGTGATTTCCTGAATTTTGAATCTTTTCGTCTTCCAATGCGTGTCAGGATGTGTTCCGCCTTCTTTCTCTCCCGCTCTCTCTTTCTTCTTATTGTCCTTCTTTTGTTTCTTTATTTCCCTGCCTTTTAAGTAGAACTGCGTACGTATCGCTACTACACTTCAGCCATCCGATTTAAAGGAAACACTACAGGAAACACATACTACCAACTGTCGCGCCGTGTACACCAAAAACTGAAGACGCACAATAAAGATGACAGCGAGATAAGTCATGCCGTAATGCGACTGCCCATGAATACGTCTGTTTTCCCTTTCTTTGCCCTTGCAGGTCCCTCCATCCGGATGAAGTGTACCTCCAGATATCCGGTAAATTGTGATTGGTTGTTCCATCGTTTCTGTGTTTTGATTGTCGTACCCCGAACGTCAAGCCTCTCACGGCGGAGCCTCAACCTCTCAGCCGGTGACATCTTTTCCACCTCTCCATCTTGCTCTGTGTGACTTACTATCAATGTCACCCACCTTCCTTCCCACCCCTCCCTCCTGTGTTTGACCTTGTGGTTACCACCCTCGAAAAAGACAAGACGTTAAAAAGAAAAAAGCGTGACGAGATTCGGGTAGTTGTGGGTGCCGGTCATGTCTTCTCGCATGCATTTAATGTATATATGCATGGGATAATGCGAGTCACAACGCGGGATGATGTTGTAGATGGTACTGATGGAATAGTTCATCTAAAAAATTGAAGAAGCTTTTTATATGAACTTGCAGCCCAGCAGCAGCAAAATGCAGTGAGCAAACGTCAACTTCTTGGGGTGACACCCTCCCAATCTTCGGATATTGTGTATCCATGGTAGACATGATTGTTTGTCGGCAAAAAAAAAAAAAAAACCAAGATCAATTATGCATATCTGTGGCGCATTCGTGCCGTTGTTCTGTGGTGTATGTATGGCGGACAGGAAGCGAGCCCAGGTAGGTAGATTGCATACAGCACAGAAGAGAACTTGAAGCACTTCTCTTTTCACGTACTTGGACACTCTATCGGGTAATTACGACAAGACGCAGATGAGTTGTAGCTTTTTGACCTAATTTCGAGTTAATGGTTTTTTTTTTCTATTTTTTTTTTTTCTAGTTTTTTCTTTCCAATGTAGTAATAAGATACTTTTGCAACTGAAAAAACAGTCTTTTCTAGGTAATCTGTAATGCAAAGTACCTAGCCTTGTTACCCAATGATGGTTCGCGATATGTTCCTTTTGTTTTTTGCGAGCATTACTTTTCAAGTTGCTTGGTATGCCATCTTTGTGCATTTCGGACATTAGACACCGGACTTCGTTTTGACTTCTCGAGACCGAAAAAAAAATACAAGGTAGACATACGAGACCAATGGAATAGGACTGATCAGATAAAAGAAGCAAAGAAGAGGGGCAATTATGAGGCACAGAATAAGATATATATGACATTTCTGCGGCAAGGGCGCTTTACACAAGAATTATCGCTGACCATCCCATGTCTGTTGTCTAGACAGGTTGGCAAAGAGCTGTGCGATTATTGATTGTTTTGATGGAAATTTTTCAGAGTCGTACTGGAGAAACTGAAGGCAAATACGTCAACAAAAAGCGGGGAAATAGATTTGTCAATTTGGAATTGTTGTTTGCCAAACATAACTCTCTGGCTTCTCTTTGTCCGAGCCAGGCCATAAGCCTTGGTTCTGTAGGTCAAATCTCTGTCAAAACGCCAAACTACCAGTTATCACTTTGATCCTATGCTTTCTACAGGAAGCTGTTGGAGATGAGAGCCAGTTCTGGGTTCCCAAAGGTTGCTGAGTGACGATCCCAATTCAACATCATCAATATATCACTCTACTTAACGACGTGCCTCTCCGCAGCTGACGACCACTCCCAACATCATGAGGACGTAGAGACTCGTGGCAACTACTCCCCACGCCTCCAAGCAGCATGCTGACAACGCCTTACATGTGTTTGAACCATACTAGATCAGACATCGGATTTATTGCCCCCCAAATAGCAGTGTGGTATGTATTACCGTTCAGACAACTCGTCTTTCTACATCCGCAGCACTGCTGGCGGCACCATTTTCAAGAAACCAACCGTTCGACAACAAATTTCAACCCACTTCCCGTGGGATGCATGCGTGATCGAGTTGCCAGTCGTTAGTTGTTTGTTTTACCATCAATGATAACCAAACCATACTCGGCAGGTCACTTCAACCTACAACTTTGCTACTGCAGCGACAACACACCATCACTGCATTAACAGCTCACCTTACCTCTCTGCACAGTACAATCCCACTGTGAGAGAGCATTAGAGTGGTGAGAGTGGATCCTAACTCGCTCGCGAGCGAGCGAGCCCAGCCAACATCACTACCCAAACGAGGGGGCACATGGAACTCATCCGGTCGGGGCCCCATTTCTAGCTGGCGGAAGGAAGCCCGGGAGCCCGGGGAAGTCCAACGTTACTACCGTGCCAGCTGGCCCGCCGGCCACCATTCCTTCGATTCCATCTTTCCTTTTTTTTTTTTTTTTTCCTTTTTTTCTTTCTTTCTTTCTTCCTCAGGCTCCCAGAGCCCCAAAGTCTGTGTGTGCCTGGCGCCTGTCCCCCATCACCCAACAACTGAAAGCTAGCCGTGAATAGGTTAAGCGGCCTACCCACCGCTATGTTAGCGACCTCTTAGCGGGCAGCTAATAATCCACATAGACGCCGCCGCGCCGCCGAACTTCGTCAGATTCAAAGTGGATCCCGAAGTTAACCAACTCGGACCCCGGCCGGCCGCCAGGCGGGCCTCCCGGACCCTAGCTCCTTGCCAGCCATTCATTCTTCGTCTGCGGATGAACAACACCCACCGCCCGAGCCCCGAGTCCCCGACACCGACTCGAGAACGAATGGAACGAATCGACGACACCCGGAAACGAAACGGCCTTTTCTAGCGTAGCATAATGTGAGTCCCTAGCCATAGCGACACCCACCGACGTTGTCGTCGTCGACTGGTGCTTGCATACAGCCGACCGGCCCATGCATCCATACATGCATGCATGCATACAAAAAAATTGGAATCGCGGTGAGCAGAATTTGCCCTGCAAGTACATACCTAGATCACTGTGTAATGTAGGCCTATCTCTCCACCGGCCATCCTCCTCTGCTCTGTCTGCCCCGGCAGGCAGGCGGGCCGTACGAACGTTACCGGATTCAGACTACGCAGTATAAGCACCCTATCGTCCATCGTCGTCGTTTGGTCTCGTGGAGTCGTGGAAGATTGCCATACCTCTACTCCCCACTTCTCGCGTTCCTGGGTACTATTCCCTACCAACCAGATGATGGTAGATGGGGTTTGTGATGTGGTATTCTATATGTACTACTTCAGCTTTGCTCGTTCAAAACTTTCAAAGCGGCGTAATATTTGATGTACCTGGTCTTGCTGAAGATGGGATGACATCGACGGTGAGAACGATGAGCGATGATGATGACGACGACGACGCCGATAACAATAATTACAAAGATTAAGTCCGACGACCTACCTAAGCCCGGCAATGTTTCTCCATGCTTCAACTCGAAGAAAATACTCTCTCAATTGTTCTTCATCCTCACATATCACATGCTTCATACCCTCGCCCCCCACTCTTGTTTCTCTCTTTCTCCTCATCCCGACTCATATTCTGTTCCGTTGCCTTATGCTATTCCATATTATGTTATGCCTATTATCATGTCATGTTATGTGTTATGCCCTGTCCATACACAAACCGTCCGTAATCCATTTTTACCCCATCCCGCCGCCAATCATCATTTCACCAAAAAAGAGACTTGCCTGGACTCCTACCCAAAGAATCGGTACGGTACAGATGGAACCGCGGAACCGCGGCCTTGCCTAACCTTGGAGAGGAAGTCCCGAACCACCAGTCACCACAACAAGTTAGATACATACTACACTACGCATCTTTTGAGGGTTTAAAGCGGAGTTCTCGGAGTTCCCGGGGACCTGGGTCACAAGTGGGCGATGGGCGGTGGGCGCGCGCGCGCCCTGGTTTCCTATGGTAGTATTTAGTGTCTGGGTAGCATACCCTGGGGCTAGATGTTCCACGCGACCAGGGCCAAAATTCTCGCTTGACCTACGGTGTCGACTCGGGGGAAAAAAAGAAAAAAAAGAAAAGAAAGAAAAAAAAAAAATCCCACGGTGAGACCTGGATGGATGGACCCCGAGGAAGAAATGGAACGTTCGGAAAGCTTGGCCACGTGATTGTTGTGGCCTGGCCGCCTGACTTTCTGAGACGGCCTAGCTCTCCCCGAGAGTCGACGGTGAACTGGGCGGTGGACGGATATTCGAGGGGAGTGTAGTGTAGTGTAGGGTAGTGTAGTGTAGGGTAGTGTAGTGTATACCCTGCAGAGTTGTGGTCCCGTGATAGACTGGATAATTTGCTGTGTGGACAAGGCGGTACAGGCAAAACAGGACAAGATGAACACGGAGCATAGAGAGCATGAGTGAGTAGTGACTAGGTAGATAGCGAGATCCATGAGAGCTCTATGCAAATTAGAGCTACACACTACATTGTGGCCCTTGATGTTGTATTGATTTTCTTTTCTGGGAGGGATCATAGTGGTCTCAAGAGATAGGTGTAACAATCAGCAAGACTCTAGTGGCTGACAGTCTGGAGCATACACTCTGATAGTTGATGTTGCCTGTATCAGAATTGAGTTTGTCTAAGCTTTACGAGTCAGTGCAAATATATGAGTTGTGTGGTTACATGTGGTCTATAAAGCCGTTGTACAGGAATGTGAAGGGGGGAAACGCGACATGAAGAGTGAGTTGATCAAAGCCTTTGATAGGAAAGAATGGTTAGAGAGAGGGAAGACTTTTTTTTTTCACCTCAAGGTACACAAAGAGTGGTTGATTCGGCTGAAAGTATCCAGTCCTCGAAGCGAACGCTCAATCCAATATCCAGTTTGTCTTGTTCAGCCATAGTTGATTAGGGTCAAGCCAGAAGATAGAAAAGTAAGAAAAAGGCACAGAGGTGATACCAAGATATAGACACATGAACGTGACAACTCGCCAATCACTTCAGACCTCTATTTTCAATTAGGGACCGGTTCAATGCTCAACAGGCGACAAATACTTACAGGTCACGAGCCATTGACTGTCACAACCGAGTGTTCAGTGTTTATGATATAACCAAGGTTGACAATGATTAGAATAAGGGACAAACTCGCAACTGGGTAACATCAGTTCTATGCCATCATCGTGCTGAGCACATCAGATAGCTAGTGGACGCCATATGTTAAATGATACTGTGGGTATCCAATGAAGCGATGAGGGCTTTCGGGGGTTTTATATTTTGCTTGTGTTGTATTGTATTGTACAAGTGACCATCTTCAGTCGACATCATCTTCAACATCCTTATTCTTCATCACCTTCCTATACTTCCGAATCACCGCCGGATCCCTCGTAAACACAATATCAAATACCCCCATCTCTTCAGCGGCTTGGGCAAGGATGTTATTTACTGCACTCCTCTCCGCGTTTTGAGCATGCGCCTTGACCAAGACCAGCTCTTCAAACACGGCACAGAGCTGGTTGTCCTTCTCCTGCGTCGTCATCTTGGCAGGGTCGCCTCCAAGGTCGGCAAAAACTTGCGTGTGTTTCCGGATCAAGCTTTCTATCAGTCTGCTGGCTTCCATGATGCGGTCCATGTTGCGCTTGCTCTGTACCCGAAGAGTAGCGGTTCCCGCTGCCAGCTCGATGAGCAGCTGCTCGGGCGGCGAGTAGCTGAACAGCTCCTTCATGGTTCGGGCAGCGACAATCATGCCGGCATGATCCTTGGCCTTGAGCATGGAGAAGAGAACAGTACGGGGGAGGTACGTATACTCGTCAACCGAGTCGAATTTCCAATCCATCTTGACCAGGTCCTGGAAGAACTGCCGGCCAATGACGGCGTCATCTGCCGTCAGTTTGCTGTCTCGCCTCACCACGCGGTTTACTGAGAGAGTATTATAAAGAGCGATGAAGGTGTGTGCATCAGGACGCACGTGCCGTTTCTTGGTCATTTGCTCGTAGAAATCGATGGCCTCTTGCGGCCCCTTGCTCTCGGTATACGACTTGATAATCTGGTTTATCATGAAGCTGTTGGGGCCAAGTTCTGCCAGCTCGAACGCTGTCCACAGTTCTTCGAGCTCCTCGTGCAGGCCACGAGCGCTATAGTTCTCGGCAAGAAGAGAAAATGTTTCGACTGTAGCTCTTGTAGTGCAAATGTAATCATCCAGTGTTGGTTCTCCATCACGGGGTACGAGCCGAATTGGCCGGTCCATTGCGGCGGCTCTCCGACGCAGGTCGACGAAGTCCAGACGGGCTTTGATCATTGCCCAAGCCAACTGGTCAGCCTTCTCTATGTTATCAGCAGTTTCTGTCCTAAGCCAAGCGCCTACCAGGCCGTTGAGCTGGATGGGCGAGGCTGCAACTCCCTTTTTTTGTAGGAACGTAACCACTTTGTAGGCTCCGTCGAGGTCTCCTGCTCCTATTAGCCTCTTCAGCCATTTGCCGAGGAAGAAGTGGTTGCCGACGATGGTCGGTAGTCTGGTCTTGCCGCGAATATCCATGGGGCCCGAGAACATCATGTCGACAAAGGCCTGCAGCGCATGTTCGATGTGGTTTACCGCCAAAAAGCAAGCGATAACTTCATCGTAGTCCTCGATCTGCATGGTGTCTCCGAGAAGCGCTCGCATATCCCTGTACACTTCCCACGCTTCCTCGACGTTTTCCTCCTTTGCTGCCAAGGCCCGGACGATGGGTATCATGATGCGCGGGTTAGGCGATTCTGAGGACTTGAGAAGAGTATCCGCAGCTCTCATCGCGCGGTCGGTATCTCCGTGGAGACTGCACATGCGTACTCCCAGCTCATAGTACCCTTTGAATGTTTCTGGTTTGGAGCCGATGGTGACCACGGCTTTCTTCCACGCCTCGATAGCCTCCTCTTGCCAGCCTTCGAGAAACATGGCCTCAATCGCCAGAAGCTGTTGCGAGTCTCTCAGCACCACCCCGGCAGCTTGCATGTCCTTCGCCAAAACGTAGATGTGATGCATCCGGTTTGGGTTCTCTACGCCCTCCCCTTCGTGTGACAAAATCATCCACAGAAAATCCCACACCTCGCGCGGCACGTTGCTCCATTGGGTGGCTAATGAACTGCGTGCTGCAGAATAGTACTTCCAGCAGTCGAACAGGTCCTTCGGCTTGGGGACGCCGCCCTTGACGACGCTGTCGCGTGCAAGGAAGGAATTTAAGTTGGCTACGGCTCGCTGCCGCACTCCGCTGAAGCCTGGAATGCGCAATACGCCGTATGACTCGCCTTCTGGACCCGTCTTGCCCTTGTATTTCTCTCTGAGAATCTTTTTGAACTGTTTTCGTAGCTCCTCAGCCTTGTCCTGTTCGGAACCCCCAACCTTCTCCAAGCTGTCGAGCATTTGTATTGTCTGTACCATTTTCTGCTCCAAGTCGTTGATGGCCTCGGAAATCTCGCTATCGATGCCGCCACTAACGGCGCCAAACTCGGCACCGTCGCGCAACTGTCGGTATTGCCCTTCGGTCTCTTCGTTGAAGTAGTTGACCGCAAGGGGTTCGGTCGGACCTTCGTCGGTGTCGGCGGGTTCTCCCTTCTGCGCCTCCCGTAGGAGGGCTTCTTGGAACCTCTGTGCTTGCTCTTCCTCCAGCTGTTTAGTTGTCGTCGGCGCACGTTGTCTGCGAGCGGCGCGGGCCGCACTCGAAGCGTTTCTCGTCAGCCATGGCTGTGAATTTGGGCGGGCTCGTCCTATGCTAGCGATGCATGACTGGCAAACATAGCTGCTCGTTCGACTCAAATCAAGCGCAAATGTCCGGGGAGGCATCGGTGGTGGTTTCGTGTGTCGGGTGGGCTAGGGCAGTGTGCTGTAAAGAATGAAGATAATCATGAGGAGCAATGAAAGAGTTGGAGAAGGGGAAGCTAGGTAGAACTGCGGAGGTTGAAGGATTGTGGTGAACCGGAGCTTGAAGGTGTGTTCGTCAACTTTTCGTGATGGCGAGAAAGCCGGCAACACTTTGTCCTACAGCAGCACGTCTTAGAAGGAACAGCGGCCATCATCGCCCCACCATGCGCTTGCTGCCGCTGTGACTTTTTCTTATCCCGCCCCTGCAGTTCTTATCGACGCGCAGCTCCTGTCGAATAAGTCTTGGGTATCATTTCACCGCCCGGCAGAAACAGCGGGATCCTCCAAAAATTCTGGAGAAAAGCGAATTGGAACGGGGAGACCTGCAGCGCTCGCAAAGGAGCTTTCCAATTCAGAATCATTCGCCATTAAAACCGCGACATACCCATTAATCCATCACCGACGACCACCACCCGACGAATTGGGGCGCCATCGCCTACGAAGAATTCAAAGGACTAGGAAATTACACTTTCACACGACTAAGCCCAGGACAGCGTAAAACCAACGACCCGACAACCGCCACCATGTCGGGCGAGAAAACCGACTTCATTCGCTTTACGGGGCACCGCGCCTTCACGCACCGGATCGTTCTCTCGACCCTTACCGGCCGCCCGGTGCACATTTCCAAGATCCGCAGCAGCTCGGCCACACATCCAGGTCTTGCGCCCCACGAAGTCTCCTTCCTGCGCCTTATCGAGGCTATCACCAACGGCTCCGTCATCGATGTCTCGTATTCGGGCACCACCATTACCTACCAGCCCGGTTTGATCACTGGCACGGTCGCGGGCGTCAACGCCGGCGCCGTTGGCGACGTAGTCGAGCATACCCTGCCCGCCAACAACACGCGCGGCATCACCTACTTCCTCCTCCCGCTTGCCCTACTCGCGCCCTTCTCCAAAGCCCACATGAACGTCCGTTTCACCGGCCCCGGCGTCATCACCTCGGCCACCCACCTGACCGGCGACATTTCGGTTGACTCCTTTCGCACGGCCGTGCTCCCCTTGTATGGAATGTTCGGCATCCCGCCAGCGCGCATCGAGCTGCGCGTGCTCTCGCGCTCTTGTTCCGGCCCCGGTGGCCGTGGCGGTGGCGGCGTGGTCGAGCTTCGCTTCGCCAGTCAGGTTCGCCTGCCCAAGACACTGCATCTGAATCGGCGCCCCGGCAGGATACGGCGGATCCGCGGCGTGGCGTATTGCACGGGCGTGTCGGCCAGCCACAACAACCGCATGATTACGGCGGCGCGCGGCGTGCTCAACCAGCTGGTCTCGGACGTGCACGTGGCGGCGCAGTACGACCCAGCGCCGCTGGTCGGCGACAAGAGTGGTGCCAAGAAGAAGATCGGTATCGGTTTTGGCCTCAGCTTGGTGGCGGAGTCGAGCGCGGACGGCGTGCTTTACTCGGCTGACGTGGTAGCGCCGCCCGAGGGTGGTGTCGTGCCCGAGGATATAGGCGCAAGGTGCGCGTACCAGCTGCTGGAGGTTATCGCACAGGGAGGTTGCGTCAGTAACGTATCGGCACCGACCTTACTTACACTGATGGCAATGGGATCGGAGGATGTGGGTCGCCTTAGGTTAGGCAGGGAAGTATTGGCCAGGGAGGAGACAATAGGGCTAGCACGAGACTTGAAGAAATTCGGAGCGGCCAGCTGGGGCATAAGAGATGTCGATGACGACGGTGAGACGACTGATCTAGTAGTCTCGGTCAAGGGTACGGGCGTTGGTAATGTGGGAAGGAAGGTAGCGTAAAGAATTATAAACCGGATGCTTTCCTTTTTATTGCATGTTCAAGCTCAGTTTGGTCATACTTTTGCTGTATCAAATTCGCTTTCGTGGGTCTCGGCACTAAGCATTAGTGTCTACAAATGCTTTCTTATCATGTCCCCTGTCTGGCCGCTCTATTCGCAATCCCAGCAAGTCCTCTAACTCCCCGGTTGCCAGCAACGGCGGCTGCATGGAAACCAAGGCTTTGGACCGTGTAAGTCGCAGCCGTCTGGTAGTCATTCCCCACCGTACGTATGGCGTGTACTGGATGAAAGCTACCCACACTGGCATTGCCTGATCTCATAACGTCAAACAAGTCTATGCCGGCAGATGCTGGAGAATAGTTGGACCCCAGCCGCTGTTCATCATCCTGCCCCTGACCACCACGGCTTTCTGCCACCAGGCGGTCTGTTTCGATCCCTTCTCCATCGCCTAGAGCCATCTCATCTTCCCTATTCACGCCCCGTTCTTCCGCATCCAAAGTTTGGGAAGTCTCCGGCTGGCGCACGCCGTCGCTACCTGATGCCCCCGTCTGCTGTCCAACCTGGCCGGGACCGGCCCAGAGAGGTTGTAAGGAGGGATTCACAACCTTGCGCAGCTTCTCCCGCTCCGTATGGATAGCCAACATCAAGCACTGGATAGCCAGTATCACCGCATCGAAGAACAAAGGACATAGCCTCGTCGTTGGTGGCTTCTGCCCGACAAAGTCGACAATCACGCCCCCGTGTAGATACCCGCGCGTCGCTTCGCCGGCGGCTGGTGGTGCAGAGATGATGTGTGCAAGGATGCATACCAAATTCGGTCCGAGGATGGCAAAGACATGGGGACGTTCGGCCGGTAGAAGGACGGGACCCTCTTTCGGGGTAATGAACATGAAGTGTGGGATGATGCGTACGAATAGACGGAGAAAGGAACATCTGTGATGCGAAGAGACATTGAGGTCATTCGTTAGTCATTGGTTATGTTATGCAAAGGATCTAAAGGAAGTGGCTGCTTTCGTACTCCATATAGTATAATGTGCAGAGATAGGCAAAATAGATCATGTCGAGATTTCTCTGCAGGTGGCTCATAAACTGCAGCTTCTTCTTCAGGCCCAATTTGCGCTTCTCCTCCCGTGACGTCTGGTCATCATCGTCATCATCATGAGCGCTGCCGTTCAGCTCCGTGGACCGCTCATGGTTGTCATTGCGCCGGCTGCCATCCTCGTTTGCATTGTGTGGCGGGATGTGCTGCTGCTGCTGCTGCTGCTCCTGCTCCTGCTGCCGGGCCGCGAAGCTCGGCTCGGAATCATCGTTCATAGCTCGCCGTGGTTTGAGAGGAAGGGTGATAGTTGGCGCATTAAAGAGCTGTGGGTAACAAAAGCTTTCAACGGCTGTTTGAGCATCACATATCTGGGTCTATGATTGATTGACGTCAAGGTGGTCCGGCAAACAGAATGTTCATCGAGTAGTAGAAAGCAAATGTGATGATCACGAAGGCGGCAACGAGATGGAGAATGCGCGATGCATTTCACTTCGATGGGCAGCTGTCATCAAGGTCGCCAAGGATGTGCGTGGTGCTGTAGACGTGTAGCCTGCCACTGAGGTGCCCCTGCCTCAGCTGTCAGCGACTTAGCGTCACAACAAATGAAGAGACCACAACAGCGAAGGGGAGGGTTGGAGGGGATGCACACAGCGGCCTGTGCTCATTGGCATGCCAAGACCGGCCAGCTGGCTGAGTTCCGGTCTCCGCTGTCGGCCGGGCTTGGGCCGGTGCCGTGGCCTTCGTTCGCCGGAATCCACGCACTTTGGTCCGGAAGCCGCGGGCGGAGGAGGACGGGCCCGGACTCCGATGTTGTAACCGTGAACCTGAGTGGGGGTTACCCCCGCTCCATCAGAGCCCCAGCCTGGGCTGGGCGCTTGGAGTGACAGACTTGACATCATGGGTGTCTCCAGAAGGGGGAATGTGAAATTTGGTTTGAAGATAGACACTCGCACTCGATGTCCAGTTTTGTGTCTGAGTCACAGCTCAGGATGGACAGTACATAGTGTTCTCCCAATGAGAGGTCTCGACTTACACAAGTGGAAGCTCCAAGGTCTGCCAGGAACCACACTTCCAAACTCCATGTGCGCCAGTTCCCCATGTTCATTCACGGCGTGAGTGAAGAAGGAATAAGCTTGCGGATTCTGGAATACTAGTAGTACACCATAGGCCCCCCGAAGTACTGTGAGATCATAGGATGGGGTGAGTAATTTGACTTGTGAGCTAGCAGAGCTGATATTAGTAAGGTTCCAGTGCTACAGCCGTCGAAACCCGGCCCGTGAGTCAAAGTCGCAGGCGGCGTACTGACATTGGGAATACAGCGAAGGATCTGAGCTCTTTCGAGGGCTGGCCGAGGAGAAAATGTCAAGAGGTCAGCATCAGCGAGCCGCTTCGAATTGACTCAGCCGCATGGACACGTCAAAAGCGAGGGATCGATTTTGAAGATCACCAACAAGACCGGCATCGAGGCGTCAACTATCGCCGAATAGACTGGGGCCGCGATGACTCAGCCAATCATGAAACGCGTGAATTTCCTCTCCCCGCCAAAAAGTCGTAGCTCAAAGGGCAATTGGCCAATAACATGTCAGGTACGGCCAATTCAGCCAGTTTCACCGCCAAGGTAGTCCAAATTTTGGCGGGGTTTGGGTGTTCAAAGAGACAAACCAAACTCGGAGAGGTTGGAGGTCGTGGGTACCTACTAACCATTGACTCGGTACTAGCCGTCTCCAGTGCCGTTCCGGGAGCTTGTGCCTGTTTTGGGGCCATGGCGTGCATGAGCGAACATCGGACAAACGCACAACCGACTTCAGACGACACATGCAACCTAGGGAATAGTAGAGATGATGTTAGATAGACCGCATCCAAGTTGTCTTTCTGACAGGCAAAGTGGCTGACAAGTCTGCCACAAGACACTGGTCTAGGATCGCCATGGGCGAGCTTAAGATCGGATAAGAATCATGGGAGGGGAATCTGGCAAAATGCGATGACTGCGGCCCATGCGAGCATCGCAGATCCATGTATGCCTGGCAGGTCCAGTCAGGTCCCGCACTTCTCGACCGCAGAGGACTCCGGGTCCGCTTCCGTTGTCGGAAGCTACCCAAGCTGGCCTGCGGCCCATTTTGAAAATTTTCCAACAATCCGTCGTCACTTGTTCCCAACCCGCCAGTGCCCGCCATTGCCCCCGGCAAAGGGTGGCGGATGCGCAGAAGAGCGACTCCATTCGGGGCCTCATCGTCGATTGTTCTGTTTGGTGAAAGAGCAACGAAAAGAGTCACAGCCGCCCACCAACAAATCTGGAACCCACCCTGCCGCCGGCCCCGCATATCTCTTATCGGCGCTCCCCACAGCGGCCGGTTTTGGGAATTATTTGTCTCTCTCGTCCCTCCTTCCGTCCCACTTCTCCAGTTTCTTCTCCGCTAAAATTAAAAGCGCGAAATTCCGAAAACACGGACGGGAGACTCGAGATTGAGTCAACTGGTCAGGATCCGGGGTCAACAGCTACTTCGTTGTCAGGACTTGTTTGTTGATATACAAGACATCGGCCCCCCGCCACCCTCACGAGGCCTTTCTTGGTCTTTCTTTAATTCCTACTACAAACACCTCCCCCCCATTGGACATAATGCTGTCGACCGTGCACAAGGCTGGCCGAGCTCCTGCTCTCCTCCGCCATGGTCGGCGGGTTCCCGTCCAGGCGTCCCAATTGAGGGCTCTCACCTCCGGCGCCCAGAACACCTCCATCTTCCAGACACAGGCCAACGCCGCCCAGAGGCTGTCCTCCCAGAAAAGGTGGCTCTCTGCCTCCGCTGCCGCGGCTGCTGCCAGCCAGCCCGCCCCCGACGCGAAGGCTTATATCCAGAGCGGCGTTGTCAAGCCCCGCGACCATGTCGACGTCAAGAAGGTGCTTGTCATCGGCTCCGGTGGTCTTGCCATTGGCCAGGCCGGCGAGTTTGACTACTCCGGTACGTCTAATGTCTTGGTGACTCGGTGATACCAGATACAAAACAAACAAACAAACAAACAAACAACAGTGCTGACTCTACTCTACCCATTCAGGTTCTCAGGCGCTCAAGGCCCTCAAGGAGGCCGGTGTTGCTTCCGTGTTGATCAACCCCAACATCGCTACCATCCAGACCAACCATTCCCTCGCCGATGAGGTCTACTACCTCCCCGTCACCCCCGAGTACGTCGAGTATGTCATCCAGAGGGAGAAGCCCGATGGTATCTTCCTGTCCTTCGGTGGTCAGACCGCCCTCAACTTGGGTGTCCAGATGCAGAAGCTTGGCCTCTTCGAGAAGTACGGTGTCAAGGTTCTCGGTACCAGTGTCAGGACACTGGAGCTTTCTGAGGACAGAGATCTCTTCGCCAAGGCCCTTGAGGAGATCAACATCCCCATTGCCAAGTCCTTCGCTGTTAACACCGTCGATGAGGCCCTCGACGCTGCCAACAAGATTGGCTACCCCATTATCGTCCGCGCTGCCTACGCCCTTGGTGGTCTCGGTTCCGGTTTCGCCAACAACGAGGAGGAGCTCCGCAACATGGCTGCTCGCTCCCTCACCCTCTCCCCCCAGATCTTGGTCGAGAAGTCTCTCAAGGGCTGGAAGGAGGTTGAGTACGAGGTCGTTCGTGATGCCAACAACAACTGCATTACTGTGTGCAATATGGAGAACTTCGACCCTCTCGGTATCCACACTGGTGACTCTATCGTTGTTGCTCCTTCCCAGACCCTCAGCGACGAGGAGTATCACATGCTCCGTTCCGCTGCCATCAAGATCGTCCGTCACTTGGGCGTCGTTGGTGAATGCAACGTCCAGTACGCTCTTCAGCCCGATGGCTTGGACTACCGTGTCATTGAGGTCAACGCCCGTCTTTCCCGCTCGTCTGCCCTCGCCTCCAAGGCTACCGGCTACCCCCTGGCCTACACTGCCGCCAAGATCGGTCTCGGCCACAGCCTTCCCGAGCTCCCCAACGCTGTCACCAAGACCACCACCGCCAACTTCGAGCCTTCTCTTGACTACATCGTTACCAAGATTCCCAGGTGGGATCTGTCCAAGTTCCAGCACGTCAAGCGCGACATCGGCTCTGCCATGAAGTCAGTTGGTGAGGTTATGGCTATTGGCCGTACCTTCGAGGAGTCTTTCCAGAAGGCTATCCGCCAGGTTGACCCCCGCTTCGTCGGTTTCCAGGGTGATAAGTTCGAGGATCTCGACTTCGAGCTCCAGAACCCTACTGACCGCCGTTGGTTGGCTGTCGGTCAGGCCATGCTCCACGAGAACTACTCTGTTGACAGGGTCCATGAGCTCTCCAAGATCGACAAGTGGTTCCTCTACAAGCTCCAGAACATTGTCGACTGCCAGAAGGAGATGCAACAGCTTGGCAGCCTCGAGGCCCTCAAGAAGGAGCACATCCTCAAGGCCAAGAAGCTCGGTTTCTCCGATAAGCAGATCGCCATGGCTGTCAACAGCACTGAGGATCTTGTCCGCGCTGCCAGAAAGGGGTTCGGTATCAGGCCCTGGGTTAAGAAGATTGATACTCTGGCCGCCGAGTTCCCTGCCGACACCAACTACCTCTACACCACTTACAATGCCTCTTCCCACGACGTCACCTTCGAGGACAAGGGCACTGTCATTCTGGGCAGCGGTGTCTACCGTATCGGTTCCTCGGTCGAGTTCGATTGGTGCGCTGTCAGCGCCACTCAGGCCCTGAGGGCTATGGGCGAGAAGACTGTCATGATCAACTACAACCCCGAGACCTACTCGACCGATTTCGATACTGCTGATAAGCTTTACTTCGAGGAGCTTAGCTACGAGCGTGTCATGGATATCTACGAGCTCGAGAGCGCTTCTGGTGTTGTCGTCTCTGTCGGTGGTCAGCTTCCTCAGAACATTGCCCTCCGTCTCCAGGAAACTGGAAAAGCCCGCGTGCTCGGCACTGATCCCCGCGATATCGACCGTGCCGAGGACAGACAAAAGTTCTCTGAGATCCTCGACAGCATTGGCGTTGATCAGCCTGCCTGGAAGGAGCTCACCTCCGTCGAGGCTGCTGAGAAGTTTGCTGAGGAGGTTGGTTACCCCGTCCTTGTCCGTCCCTCTTACGTCCTCTCTGGTGCTGCCATGACCGTCATCCGCAGCAAGGAGGATCTCAAGGACAAGCTTGAGGCTGCTGCCAACGTTTCTCCCGAGCACCCCGTTGTTATCACCAAGTTCATTGAGGGCGCCCAAGAGATCGATGTTGATGGTGTTGCCTCTGAGGGTAACCTTATCCTCCACGCCGTCTCTGAGCACGTTGAGCAGGCTGGTGTTCACTCCGGTGATGCCACCCTCGTCCTCCCTCCCGCCAACCTTGACCAGACCACCATGGACCGCGTCAAGGAGATCGCCCAGAAGGTCGCCAAGGCCTGGAGGATCACTGGTCCCTTCAACATGCAGATCATCAAGGCTGAGGACCCCGAGGGTGGCCTCCCGGCCCTCAAGGTCATCGAGTGCAACCTCCGTGCCTCTCGTTCGTTCCCCTTCGTCTCCAAGGTCCTTGGCGTCAACTTCATCGACGCTGCTACCAAGGCCCTTGTTGGTAAGAACGTCCCTGAGCCCACTGATCTCATGGCTGTCAAGCGTGACTACCTCGCCACCAAGGTTCCTCAGTTCTCCTGGACCCGTCTTGCTGGTGCCGACCCCTTCCTCGGCGTCGAGATGGCCTCTACCGGTGAGATGGCCTGCTTCGGCAAGGATCTCGTTGATGCCTACTGGGCCTCTCTCCAGTCCGCCATGAACTTCCGCGTCCCCGAGCCCGGCGAGGGTCTCCTTTTCGGTGGTGACCTCAGCAAGAGCTGGTTGACCACCATTGTCGACTACCTCAGCCCTCTCGGCTACAAGCTCTACGCCGCCGATAACGAGGTCAAGCAGTTCCTCGAGTCCTCTGCCAAGACCAAGATCGATGTCGAGGTCATCGCCTTCCCCACCAATGACAAGCGTGCCCTTCGTGAGGTCTTCGCCAAGAACAACATCCGTGGTGTCTTCAACCTTGCCCAGGCCCGTGGCAAGACCGTCTTTGATGTCGACTATGTTATGCGTCGCAACGCCGTCGACTTTGGTGTCCCTCTCTTCATGGAGCCCCAGGTAAGCTTCACCACTGACCTTTCAATTCATGGTGACCGAAAACTAACGTTTCCTTCCTCCCCTAGACCGCCATGCTTTTCGCTCAGTGCATGGCCGAGAAGTTGCCCCGCCCCGAGGGTATCCCCTCTGAGGTCCGCAGGTGGTCCGAGTTCATTGGCGGCAAGCCTCTGTAGATGACATGATACCATTATGTTTGATTGTTTTTCTTTCTACCTTTTGGAAAAGCGTGCAAAAAAGAAAAATCACGCAGAGGGGGTATCAAAAGTCATTTTCAACAACTCATAAAAAGGGCGTTTGGTTGTGAAAGGGTCTTGGATCTCCATGTGGATGTCTCTATAAGCGGGAAGGAACTGGTGTTATTTCTTGTTCATTTGCTTAGGATCTTTTCTTCTTGCTTTGCTGTTTGATGTTGTTGATATGTATACAGGACGAAATTTTCATCCCATCTAATCATTCAATCTTCTATGGTACCCTGGCCAAGACGTGCGATGAATAGTACCCCATTCGTAGTAGCCATTTCTTCTTTTATCCTTTTCTCTCTTCATAGCATGTACCTACACTTTTCATCATCACATTTGTTGGAAATATTTCGGCAATGTATGTGTGGTGCGTGTTTTGAATAGGAGAGAGACATGGATCATCAACTGGCTCGATTTGCATTGCAAGATGCGACCAAACCACGTGTGCAATCTCTTCAATCATGTTCCTCCTCTGTCAACCCAGGGCAGCCATCCATCTCAGCATCATCATACTTAGCCTTACACCAGAAGCAATAGTGATGCTTGTTGCGCATGTATTGCACCAAGCGCCGTAACCGCTGGTCAGGGCTGAGAGTGTTGAACTCATCCAGTTCCGGATCCTCTTCATCGAGATCCTCCGCCATTACATACGTGTTCCATGGCCTATGAACGGGAGTAGTATCCTTACCCAGAGCATGTTTGTCGTCCATATCAAGCTCGTCATCGACATACGTAGGTAGTCGCGTGGACGACAGAGTGCTACTCTGCTCCAGGTCATGCCGCATCAGAGCCTCGCGCCTGGCCTCTTCGCGCGAGCGGATGAGACCGCGGTAGACAACGGGAATGGAGCGAAGGGGCCGGCAAGAGTCGGTACGAGTCCTCCTCCTCCTTGCTTGAGAATTACCGCCGTTGGTATCATCCTGCTCCTCACTTTTCTGCACTTCCCCCTCACCACTGCCCTTTTCACCAGCACCTCTCACCTCATTCTCATGATCCTCATCCATCCCCTCCGCCACCTTCTGCGCAGCAAGTACCTGTCTCTCCAGCCTCGCCTCCTCCCTCTCCCTCCTCAGACGCTCGCGATACCCTTCCTCATCCACCCTGGCCTTCTTGGCCATTTCCCCGGCCGCCTCGGCAGCCTCCCTCATCTTGCGTTTCCGGTCGCTCTCCAGCCCGATGCCCTCGCGCCCATCTTTGATGCTGATTTTGATGGGTTCCGTCCGACCCTCCGTGGCTCCAGCACCTAGAGCATTGCCGGGGACGAAACCCATTTTGGCCATCATCGCTAGACCTTTGCTTTTTGCTGCTGTGGGTGGTGGTGGCGGTACTGTTGCTGACGAAGGGGAAGTGATCGAGGGTGCCGTTGATGGCGAAGGAACGAATTTGCTAAACAGAGAGGTTGACAGTGCGGCTTCCCGACGGGCTTCCTCTTCGGCTGCGAGCTCGGCTTTGGATTTGACACGGCCGCGTATCTCACCTTCGCGCTGGAGGCGGAGGCGGCGCTGGAGAGAGGTTTCGATGGGCTTTCCACTCTTGCTGGAGGTTGTTGTGGAGGGTTCGTCGGCGAAAGTCATTTTCATGTAATCGTCCTCGGAGTCGGAGTCGGGGCTGGCGCCGCTGGTGGAGGGGTCTTTGGTTATTGATGTCATTTTGGGTGGTTGGCGAACTAAGTTTTCGGATCTGATAATGGTGCGGTTTTGTTGTTGAAGGGTTATTGCGACGCTTCTTTGTGAGTTTGGACGCAAAGGTAAGTGTGTGCCGTCCGTAATATTGATTGTGATGTTTGGTGCAGGTTCCATTTGATTGCCGTTACCCAGAAAAAAATCGGTGGAATATTTTGTCTCTATTGTCTCGCATTGGAGCACACTTTGCACCATCCAATCTTGGACCTTGCATCACACAATTCCAAGCACGCCAGTCTCTATCATTCAAAATACCCATGGAACATTTCTGGACCGACGTTGATTTACGTTAGCATCGGCTTTAAATGCCCAATTGTCTGAGCCTTTCTGCTATGTACAGATGATTCGCCGCTGTTTGTTCTAGTTGACGGCTTATTATGAACTTCCTGATACCCCGCCCATTCCACTTTCTTCAATAAACACCACCATCTCTAAACATGTCCCATCAAGCAACGCATCTTCATGACTCGCATCTATTTAGGCAACAGAGGCTAGGGAGTGGTACTTGTGTAAGATGTCCGGATCTCAAGAGGAAAATATCAATGAACGAGCTCCGTTGCTCGGTAATGCACAGTCAAGCTGCAACACATCAAGTGAGCCAACCTCCAAGGTGTCCACGAAAGCAGCATGGCTTCATCGTCCGCGAAGGCAAACCATCGCTTTGATTCTGTCCAAAATGCTGGCTTCATTGATCATTGTCGGTGTTTTACTCACTTCCATTGCTCTTCACGAGGGAAAGGTAAGTAAACGTCATCTTCCAGGTTACAAGCTACTTCGCTGTTTGGTAGGTAGTTTCAACGCCAACTAACCACATCTATCTTAAAGAAATCTAACGGACTCACACCACCAATGGTCAACCTCACCTACACCATCTACGAGGGCATCCGTCTATCTAACGGCGTCAACGCTTTCCTAGGGATGCGTTATGCCACTCCTCCGCTTGGAGATTTACGCTGGCGAGCACCAGTTAAGCCAAGGAGAACCAACACCGTCGAGAGGGCTGATCAGTTCGGGCCAATATGTCTCAGAGCCGGTGTAAGTGCACCGTCTCCTGGTCAGAGTGAGGACTGTCTTTTTGTGAACGTGTGGGCTCCAGCGAATGTCACGGAAAAGTCAAAGTTGCCTGTTTGGGTGTTTATTGGGGGAGGAGGTAAGTCGATCTGATCGAGATTTTGACTGGTGATACACTTTGCTGACTCTTTTGAAGGTTACAATGCCCTCACTAATGCTAATTGGAACGGAAGTGAGGTCGTCCAGAAGTCCGGCCACAACATCGTCATGTTGGACTTTAACTATCGGGTTGGGATGTGGGGGTTCCTCGCCAGCCAGCGGGTGAAAGATGACGGTGATTTGAATGTCGGCTTGCTCGACCAGCGGATGCTATTGACTTGGGTAAAGAAACATATCTCCGCCGTATGTCGTTCCATATCTGGGCCCAGATACTTATCACCCGCAGTCTTAGACTGACCTCACACGTCGACAGTTTGGAGGAGACCCCGACCATGTAGTCATCCACGGTGCATCAGCAGGAGCAGGCTCCGTAGTGATGCATCTGTTGGCATACGGTGGCCGTAACGACAACCTTTTCGTAGGTGCCATGTCCGAGTCACTTTTCTTCCCAGCCCAGCCGTATGTAAAAGAGCTCGAATATCAGTTCGACCGATTAGCGCAGCAGGTTGGCTGTTCGACTGTAAATTCGGAGGAGCAGCTCAATTGTTTACGGAGTCGGAACGTCACCTCTTTACAAGCAGCTAATCACGCCCAACATTTCCCGGGCCGTGACGGACCACTCTTGCCTATCTTCTACTGGACTCCATGCGTGGACGGTGACTTCTTGCAGGACCTCCCTTACCGGCTTATCCGAAGAGGTCGTCTCTTGAATGTACCGATTCTTTTTGGTACCAACACGGACGGTATGTGCTCCTATTCCATTCAGAGACATATGATCTTAACCTCCTATCATCCTTCTTTCTATTTCCATCCCATTCCCATTCCTGTTCTTGATATCACCTCACTAATGACGAGCGCCCCCTCTCTCCACAACAAAACAGAAGGGTCAGTCTTCGCCTACGACTCCCTCACCCCGTCCGACTTCACCAACTTCTTCACCACCAACTACCCCCATCTTACCCCCTCCGACATGCGCCATATCCTCTCGCTCTACCCGCAACTGCCTCCCTTGCCGAACCGTAACCCCTGGTATCCAACCACCAGTCTTGCCTACGGCGAAGCCACATTCATCTGTCCCTCTAATAACTTTCTCGACGCTTTCGTTTCCACCTCCCCCTCTCCTTCCTCCTCATCACCATCCCCGAGCAACCAAACCCAAAGAAGGAAAGCGTTCGCCTACCGTTTCAACGTCCGCGACTTTACCCTCCAGGCCGCCGGCGTCGGCGTGCCCCACCTCTTCGACGCGGCCGCCATTTTTGGGCCGGACAACATCAGCGGGTTCGGGGCCGGGGAGGAAAGCAGCTACAAGACGTATAACGCACCGATTGTTCACATGTTTATGGCGTACTGGATCAGTTTTGTGAGAACGTTGGATCCGAATATATTGCGGGAGGGGGGAAGTCCCGAGTGGGTGACATGGGGTTGGGGTTCTTCTTCTGTGGATGAAAACGGGGATGCGGATGGAAGTGAGGGCGGTGGGATGGTGGACAGAGGTAGGAGAGGGAAGGCGAAGAGGTTGCTGGTGGAATTGGGAGATACGAGGATGGAGGAGGTTGGGGAGGAAGAGAGTGATAGATGTCGATTTTGGGAGGCGTTGGGGGATCGGTTGGAGCAACTCCGACGGGTGTCATAGTACAAGACAACACTTGACACTAGGCAGGCATTGTGATAAGTATCTTGTGATTTAACATTACGATATGTAATCCTTTCCGGATAACCTTCCGAGTACAGAGCGAAATTAGCGATAAGAGACTGGAAAAAAGACTGAGGAGTGGATGCGGGAAATATGAGGAGTAAGAGGGAAAAAAAAAGCGAGGAAAATTGAGAGAGGAGGAGGGAAAAAAAGACAAGAAGGAATGAAAAATAAAGAAGATTCTCCTCGTCCTGTTGGCAATAGGTGCAAAAGAAAAACAATATGCGCCAGCCGCGAATCGAACGCGGGGCCCATCGATGGCAACGATGGATTTTACCACTAAACCACTGGCGCTTTTGCTTGTAGGTGACTTAATGTTATAGAAACTATGTTCATGAGCCACAATACGACATGAGCAGTATCTTCAGCATCGTTAGACTAGGATATCTTTTCCATTACTCAACCTCTTTCGTCTTATTTGATGCCCAATTCATGTCTATTTTCCCTCAAAGCAGCAAAAGTCAACGCCAATGCGTCCATTGTATGTTCTCAATGTGTTCCGCCGAGGTCGGTCCAGAATGAAAGTTTCGCCGCAGATGAAGCTCCAAACCCTGTGTCGCTTTTGTTAAAGGACCTGATCCCTCAGCTCCGTGCCTTGTGATCGGAGTTGATGGTGACATTATTAAGCTATGCGTATCCTCAATCCACGTCCATCGAGTCCTATTCGGGAGGTGGAGGCGGTGGCGGGCGATGTTCGTTCAGCCTGACAGCAGCAAAACGCTTAGCAAGTGGTTCATCCGTCGAGTTGTGATTCCTTTGCATCAATGGGTGGTGGCTGAGGTAGGATCTGTCAACCGAGGGAAAACTAGCATCCTCAGTTCTGGGGCGCTTGGGTAGTCTCTCACCAGTGGATTCCAAGATCATGTGCAGGGTCCTCCACCCCTCTGTCGCCCGGAGTTGGAAGGCGTCGGCAAGGTCATGTTGTGTGGCTACGCGGCAAAGGAGTGCCTCCTCATCCTACGAGAAAGAGTCAGTATTCTGTCGAACCCAAGTAGAAATACGGTGAACTGACCTTGGACAGCACGCTCATCTGCCGGATAAAGCAGAGCAAGTGGAAGTTGCTAACGTCGAATTGATCGGACTTTTGGTTCACCTTAAGAATCTTTGCTACTGCTGAGGCTTCCTGGGCTTCCCCGACAAATTCGCGATTGGCGATAGGGAAGCCGTCATTCGTGAAAACCGGCCGCGGACTTTCAGGGAAACCATGGGTCAAGGTGACGAAGAGATACTCGACGGGAAATGCGGGCTTTGCATTCTCTTGGACGTTTGCTCCGTACTCGTTGATCTTGCGATAGAACACCTCGGGGATGTATCGCGTCCTGCTGACTGAGCCATCGTCCTCCTCCTCTTCGCGCACCAACATTTGACCGGGGTCCGTGGAAGGTTCGATGATGTCTGCCCTGACCATCTCGACCGCATCGTTCGACATCTGATAGGCTGAGATCGAAATCTCGCCCTGCTCATTGCCAGAGATGACGCAAGTGACAAAATTGGAGCCGAACCGGCCTGTATCGCTCCACTTGGTAGGCTTTGGGTGCTGTGCCTGGAGCCTCGCCGCAAAGCAGATCTCCTGAGCGGCGAGGAAGTAGGAATCGCTGTGTCTCTTGCAGATGGCACTTCCGTCACCCTTGCCAGCGTCCAGGAGATCCGTCCAGATCACACCCACAGGCTCCAGTCCGCATAGTCTTGCTACCTCGTTGACATCCTTCTCGTTTTCCCACGCGTTGAGAGTAACACCGTCGATCTCGTCAACCTGCGGTGGTTCGTAGATGGCTTCCACGACAGCTTTAACGCCGAGCGGAACAACATCGTATTCGAGATATTTGCCGTAGAGGATACCAAGCCGTTGACATCCCGTCATACGCCAGGGATTGAGGAACTTGTCGATGATCTGGGGCGTCGCGAACTCAACGTGGTCCACCATTCTGAATGGCTGGGGCTGGAGAGTGATAGCGCTGGGCTGGCATTTTGTGCAGATACCTTCGGGCCATTGAGGATGGCCCGATGGACAGTCCCGCTTGACTCTGTAATAGGGTTCGACAAGCGGGGGGATAAACGAAGCCCCAAGCTCGGGCTTGTTTGTCGCAGAGTTGATTTTGCGGAGGTATGCGTGTACTGACATGTACTTGATTTTCTTTTCCTCGAGATACTTTGCGTTAAACGGATCAAGGGGCATGCAGTAATCGCACATACCCTTGGGCCCGTGGCGACACATTTTATGATCGCGCCCCCTTGGGATCTTTCCGTCACGCTTGTCTAGCCGATCGTCCAGAGGCGACTGCCTGACCGTTTCCCACGGGTTCTTGATATGTTCATGCGGAGACGTCAGCGGAGGGGGGTCGATGGGCAAGTCTTCTGCAGGTAGGATCGGTTTGCCGTTGAGGCGGTTCGTGGATGAAAGCACGCTGGATTTGGTGGCTTCGCTGTTGCCTGGGCCGTCGGTCGCCGCATCGTTGTGCTTGTAGGTGACAAAAATAAGATCGCCATGGCTATTTTCAGGTCGCTGGTTAGTGTCTGGCACATAAATCGGAAGATCAGCGCGAGAGATCAAAGGGGTCAGCTTGCCTGAGCCCAGTCTGGCCGACCTTGAACTTTGCGACCTCGCTGAGATTCTTGGCGTCGCTGCCGGTCGGATGGTTCGAGAATGTAATTGTTTTCGGGTCAACAGTCGGGGGAAGCTTGGGAATGAGTTGACGGCCAAGATCCGCAAAGGTGTCATCTTTCTCCAATGTCAGGCGGAGCATGCCATCGGGACCGCGTAACCTCAACAACATCGTGGGCGGGCTGAAAAAAAGGTGACGTCTGGGCTGTTAAAGGGTCCGACGAATCTGGTCTGTTGTCGTTCGGCGAGTATGATCCGGAATCGGGATTCAAAAATGTGTCGCAGGCGTCGGATGTAGGGCGGTATCTATGAATGAAAACTTCTTCTTGCGCAAAATCTACAAGGTCACGCCAGGTCCTCGGACTCGGGGTGAAGGCACAACTGGTGACGGGATACCGGGTGCCGTGGTGATCGGGCAGGGAACCTAGGTGTGTTCAGGTGGTGAATTGTTGGTCGGCAGACGGGACCTGATCGAAGGGCGGGGAGCTCCACGCAACGCTGTACGATAGTTTCGGCAGGCGTTCGTCATACGTTGTGCCTGGGCGGCGGGAGTGCTGGGGCGTGCTGGGAAGTGCTGAGCAATCGAGGCATGCCCACCTGGGTTTCCAGAAGAGCCAAGAAACTCCCGGTCCCACGTCAGAGAGAGAGAGAGAGCCCAATGCCGGCCCGGCAATGAGGTGCCCCGCACCCCTAAGAGTGACAGAAAGTGGCTGTCGCGGCAGGCATTTATTTCCACTTGCGGCATGGGCCCCTGCCACTCAGATGAAGCCAGCGCGCGCCAAGGGCCGAAATTCCATTGTCAAGCTCCCCCTGCCGCGCTGCACCGTTGCAGTTGTCAAGGTGTTCTTTCCAGGCATGGGCACTGCATTTGATAACTAAGGGAAGCACGATCACATTGCCGTCGGTGTCCATCACTCACACAACCGCAAAAGGCAAACACATCCACCACCGGGCAACCTTTCAGTTGCACGACGACAATCCTCACGCCGCCGCCTCTTGGTTCACTCTAGTCGCTCGCTTTCTTCCAGAGTAGAGAATACAGACATCATTTCTCGTCCGTCAATTTGACACACTCCATCCCGAAACATGTTCAGCCTCGACTGGCGGGGGCTTGTGCTCCCCTTCGCCTATCTGATTGTCCTGACGGGCACCTTCATGACCTTTTCCACAATCTACCGCAAGAGGAAAGCCCGTATGCAACCCCCTTACCCAGAGATTTCCATGTTTCTCTGGATAGAAACCTAACCATGTTGATTCTTCCAGAGCAAAGCGCAAACCTCGCACCATGGTTCGGTCCTCACCTCCAACGCAACGTCTACCTGTCACTCCTCCACATGGAGCCCGAGAACGGATCCGAAAAGGCACCTAAAGTTCCTGAAAGTGTGCTCCGGGCGGCTCTGCTGCGCCGCGCTGTCGAAGACATCCACCGTATTATCCAGATCCGCGCCGCTAAGGCCGCCTGCAGCTCTCTTTTGCAGCGTGGAAGCATCGGCGATGATCTGTGGCAAAGGTTCCAGCGTGCCGAGAAGGAAATGGAGGAAGAGCTTCGTGATGTTGTTATGGAGGTGTGTGTTCCTTTGGAGAGGGTTACCCGTGCGGATTATTGGATTCCAGAAATGCTAATGCCCGATTCTTCAGGCCAACGCACTCGCTCCCAACTGGGGACAGAGCATCTTCCAGACCGCCAACGAGATTGCTGCCAACACTGTGCTGCGCGAGCGCCTTGACGAGATCCAGGCTCAGGCAACACAGGAGAAGGAGTGGTGGGAGAAGCGCAGGGCCACCGTTAGAAGCGAGTTCATGAAGGAACTGGAAGGGGATGAGACTGGTACTGGTACCCCTGTGGACACCAGCTCAGTCACGTCATCGCCGTCGAACAAGAAGGGCAAGAACTAGAGGTCACGTCCTAGCGAGCGGTGCATGAGAGTGACGTGAGCATCTCGCATAGAGATCTCCGGGGTGGCTGTACAATAAGAAGAGAGGTATGGGAGGGCAGGGCAGCGTGGGGCTGCGTTGGGCAAGCAATTGCATTCTTCCATGGCGTTTATGGGTTGGGACCTGCAGCAAAATATTCAAGGGTATACTTTTTTGGGGGAGCCTCTTCAGGTCGTTTACGGGTCTTGGTCGAGATATAGTACAGCCCACAGCGTCGTTGGGTTTGGGATTCTTACGTAGACTTCAATACCTACATTGGTCAATATACGAATGAAAGCGAATCAGGCCTCGGCTTGGATAGTTTGAAATTGGTATATCGCGCTGTTCTACGCTCTAGGTCTGTACCGATGTTGCCGAGCACCAGTCCTCGTTCAGTACCTCTAGTTAACCTGCCTGGCCATCTAGACCTTTTCCAAGCGAATCCGTCGGGAACTCCAGATCTTGCCCGTCTTGCTATCCCTACCTATCGCAAAAAGTCACTGTCAACCTAAAAATACCAGCCCATCTTCCTCCTGATCTCATCCAACTCATCCTCTGCTCTCCTGACCCTCCTCTCCGTCTCTGCAATATCCTCGCCCGTCGTTCCTATCGTCGACTTCAACAGCGCCGATATGTACGTCGACATTTCATTCTCTTCCTTTTCCATAGCTGACATTAGAGGCGGGCTCATGCCCTTCGAGAACGCCCGTTGTTGCTCCGTCTGTTGTCCACCCATTTCCAAATCTGTATCAATCCCCATAGCGTCATCATCTACTGCTCATCCCCCTTCTTTTCCCCCGTACTCATCTGCCGCAGGTCCGCGTCTAAACTTGTCACCGTCGGCAACGGACTCTCACAGCCCCTCAGCCCAATAAACCGTCCAATCCTCCTTCTCTTCTCCTCAATCCCCATGCCCGCCGGCCATGACACCGGACAAGGGTAGTGCGCCGTCCACTGGCATGGCGTGCGCTGGTGATAGAAGCTCGCTAGTCGGTCCAGCTGGTCGTCGGTCAAAAGCCAGAAGTTGAGCAACGTCTGGGGAAATTCGGGGTGCACGGTGCCACTGGTTAGCTGCACGAGGGGGGCGAGGGGGAGGGCGAGTTGACGGAGTTTGGACGCGAAGGTTGGGGAGAGGAGGGAGCGGCGGGTTGTGAGGGTTGGTGGGTTTTGTAATTGGTGAGAACGGGGTTGAGGGGGATGTGGTGGCTGTGACGCTGCTCCTGATGGTGGGGGAGGCGGACGGCGGTGATGACCCCGAGGGTTGGGTTGTTGACCTGGGTGTTGCCCGTGGTTGGACATTGTGCTTGCTGTCTCTCTTTTTCCCCCTGAAGAATGATCGCGTTTCTGGCTATGAGGGTAGACTCTCGATACCAAACCTGGCCGGACTGCCCACAGACTCGCCGTTCCTATTTCGGTAGCCCTTGCTCAGTGGTTCAAGAGGAGGACCTCGAAGGTTTTTATACAGTGACAAGCAAGATCTGAAGAGGATATACGAGACGACAAGTTCCCGGTGAATGATCAGCTCGTGATCAATTGGTCTGCTCAACGTCAGCGCTCGTTTGCGATGGGTATAACTGCGATCCGATTACAAGCGAGTAGGTTTGCGAGAAACTTGACGAGGGAATTTGTACTGAGTAAAGGGTCCGGTAGGTATTGAGGAACATATGATACTGAAGTAAAGTGAAGGCTTTTTTTCTCGTTTCTTTTGTCGGTTCGGTTCGTGCACCCGTTGTTGCGGCAGAGTAGAATGAATAGTTGTATGATTTCTTTTGAACTATTTGGTACCCTCCCACAATGGACGTTTCTGAAAAGGAAGGGCTACGAGATGACCTGCTGAAAAATAAACCGAAGACGACCTTTTGGATACACGAGCGAAACGAAACGAAGCAAAAGCGATTCACGATTCAAATAAGCAGACCGGAAATGATCAAATAGCCTAGCGAAGATGACCGCCGTCTCTGTTGTATGGTAGACATTGCTCACGAAAGCATGTTTTTTATGTCTTCGGTGGCAGAGAAAAGCCGCTGGCGATTTCCAGAAACAGCAGAGGTAGGCAGCAACACCGGAAGTTGGGATGCCGTCATGGTCTTTTCTTTGTCTTCCCCCTTTTTTTAGGGGGGGTCTTTTTCGAAGTCTTTTGGTAGTCGGTGAATAGCCTTGATCAAATCGTTCATTTATCGGCTGCCGCCTCTTCCTCTTTGTCTCTTTCATTTGGATATGAGAGGGTAACGGGATTGTGCCAATCGAGGACATTGTTCGGCCTTGTATGAAGGTCTTCTCGTCGAAAACGATGTGAATGGAATGAATGCCAATGACAGTAACAATGCATTTTCCCCATGTGGCCACGCAAGATGCCAAACATAGCTTCTCATTCCATCCACATCCAAGGATGAAACATTCGAGACGAACAAAGAACGCGAACGGAAAGGACGCTCTCGGTTCGGTTCTTCCCCTTTCTCCTCTTTCCCTCCATCCGCTTCCCAGCCGCCCCCCCCCCCACACACACACACACACTCACATACGCACAGTACACACACCTATCCCGAGCCGATTACAGCAGCCACTTAACCTTGGCAACATGATCCGCTTTCTTCTTGCTGCTCTTAACAAAGCCCATCAGCCTCAACTCTGCCAAGCCGTGATAGAACTGCACCAGCGCCTCTCTCTCGCCCAGTCCACCATCCTCCGAATCCTCGCCCACAAGCGCGTAGTACGCAGACCATAGATCCGCGACATTGACCAACGACCCCGTCTCCAGGTACAATCGATATAGAATACACGTCGTCGGCAGCGTGGCCGACAGCGTCCCGTTGGCTTTGCTGCAGCACTCACACCCGAGGTACGCATGCGGCCTCGTCAACGCTCGCTCAAAGGTCGTTCCCGGCCGCGGAACAAAGACGTCCCGGTACGGAGCCTCGGCGTCATACGCCCAAGCTTCGTGCAAGAATAAACTGTCGACGGGATCGCTGTAGATATGGTGGGTGAGTAAGTCCACAAGAGCGTCGATAGCCTTACCGAAAGCCTTGTCTTCGTCCGTTAGTTTGGCCGTGTCCTGGCTGAGCTGGACCTTTTGGGCAATGACGGTTGTGCGGAGGACTTTGCTTTGGGCGGTGAATTTGCTTTTGAGGACTTGTTGGCCTTTTTCCTGGGCTTGCTCTGCTAATGCCTCGATCTCGTCGCGGATCTCGCAGAGGGAACTGATGAGCTCCTCGGCTTCGTTCTCCCAGCCTGGCAGGTCGAGGTCGGGACTGCCGGTTCGGATGGCTGTTAGTAGGCGGTTGATTAGGGCAGGGACGTCGTCTGCTCCTAATCGTTTTATGCCGTCGATGGTGGGCGTTAGATCGAGCCCCCCTGCGAGAGCGGCCACGTAGAGATCGGTGAAACGGCCAGGAACGAGATCCATGCTTGTCAGGAGGTGTAGAGAACGCAATAGTTGCATCAGGTAATCTTGCTTTTTCTGCCGCTGCTCAACCATCTGGCGAACGAGGTAGCCATCATCTTCGACGAGTAACTGCGCATGGTTAAGCTGTCTGGCGTCCACCGCGGCCTCGACGTGTGCCTTGAAGGAGTCAAGCGTCCGCACAGCCTGAATGTGCTCAGGTTGAAGAAGCTGACGGGTGAGGGACTTTTCATCCGCAAGCAGGACACTCAAAGGATTCGCATAGAAGTGACATATGTAGGCGTACTAAATGATACCATAAATGTCAGCCATGGTAATTGTCCTGATGAAGAATTCAGTCGGACTTACCTTGATAGAGCTGATGAACACCCGAATACCAGCAACCTGATCCCGCTGACGATCGAGCAAACTCCTTAGTAACGTAGGCCCCAGGCGAAGTGTCGCCTGCGTCCCAGCAATGGCGCTCTTGAAGACATTATCAAGAACCAAATCTGCCTGGACGACATCGAACTTGGCACCAAACAATTGTCGGGCAGTAGACTTGAGGAGTCGCGCCTGGAACAATTCCACCGAGGTAGCGATGCCAAAGAGTACGGAGAACTGAATGCGCCCCTGCCATGAACTGTATTACCCAGACCTGTTTAGCCACGCCGCCTCGAGGGAAAAAAAGCAAGGAACGGAGTAAAAAAATTGACGGTCAACTTACTGGAAAAGACCAAGCAGATCAGTCAACAATGAGCTCTCAAATGCCTCGCTATCCTCAAACGCCACAACAACTCGCCGTGACGAATCCTGCTGCACGCCGAAAAAAGCGTGTAATCCCTCTAGGTCATAGTCGAGATACTTCCTGCCATCCCGGCCTAAGGCGACCTCGGTGTCTTCATCCCCATCGCCGCTGTCAAGAGACACCTGCGCAGTGGCGTCTCTTATTACCTTCTTGAGCGCCGCCTTGAGGTTGGGCGCCCCAGCCGCCCGTAGACGAACAAACCGGGCTTGTGTGGCTTTCCCGAGAGCCTCGGAAAGTTGTTCGAACAGGAGGTCTTGGGAGGCGATATTGGGGCCGGTGATGATGAAGCCGGCTGGAATTCTGGTTCCTCTTGTTCTGTTTTGCGTCAGTGCCGGTTTCCCTTCAACTAAGGAGATCGGGAAGGGCGCATCACCACTTACGCATCACCTTCAGCGTCACGTATAAACGAGCTGACATCCTCCAGGGTCGTTCGGTTCGCCTCTCTTAGTACGTTCTTCACTCGTAGAACTCAAGTTAGCAATTTTTGTCCAGAAACAACAACACATCCAAAGCGCAATGCCACCCCCCCCCCCCCCCCCCGCGTCTAAGCCTACAACTCCCCCAGGAGATCGAAAACTCATCGGCAAGTCACTCATCTCCATCCCACCCCCCCGCGACAAGGTAGAGACCCAACAAATCACACAAATAACGAAATCAAAACCTACCTTGATTCGTCCATCCAGAACCGGCCACGCCGTTTCAAACACCTGCCTCCTCAACCTCGCAGCTTCCACACTCTCTTTCCCCCCGAACAGTTGAGAAAAGGCAGCAGCAGCAGCAGCAGCAGTCGTTGTCGTCTCCGTCTCCTCGTCTGCATGTGGTGCTGCTCCCGCATGATCGGCGGCAGAGGCAGACCAAGCTCGTTTACTACTGACTCTCCGCTTTTTTACTGGCCGTGTTTTCTCTTGTGGCAGGGAGGTATGGTGACCTGCTCTTGGGTTGAAGATGTAGACTGCCTGTTTTCACGAGTGTGAATTAGTAAGTAGAGCTGCTGTGAAGAACCGCGTTCGGGGCAAATTGTGAAACAAGGGGACATAAAACGTAAACATACCCGGTGATCATCCTCCTCAGAAAAAGCTGGGTTTTCGTCGTGTGTTTCTGCCATCTTGAATGGTGAGGTTACCTTGGCTGATTACCAGAAATCGGGTATTTTTTCAGGGAAGCGCGAGGTGTTAAGAAATGTAAATGGATTCAAGGTTTAGAAAAAAAGTCGAAATGTTTGGACACTTATCGATCCCCGTACGGCTTTCAGGTAGTTAGATACTAATGGAAAGTACTCGACATCTTCCTGTGCAGCCGTTACCGGAATCATTCAAGTTCAGGGATGTTTGTCTCATGAAACGGCGTCGTCAATATTTTGAAGGAACGCGTCTCAAACATGGAAGCTCCCTCGTCCATTCACGTCCCCGGCCATGATCTCAGGACACTCACTGCTGGAGCTTGGGAGGAGCAGCGCTAAAGGTGCAAGCCACAGCACCTCATGCGCCACTAACACTCCGACTTTGTAGGGATTAGCTCGTTAATAGCCCCTGTGGATTCCCCGGCGATTCGCCCCGGGCCGTCCTTCGTGAACTTTGACCGTCTGTTCACATCATGCCTTAACCGATTTAAAAAAAAAAAAAAAAAAAAAAAAAAAAAAAAAAAAAAAAAAAAAAAAAAAAAAAAGATTAAAAATTGAACGAGGTGAATCATGATGACTACTTGACTACTTGGTTGCGCGAGTAGTTTAGATCTTGCCGTCATCAAATCACAACGGGAATCATTCTCATTCACTCAGCAGCAGCCTGAAAGAGTGCTTTCATCCAACACTTATCGTCAACTCAGTTGGTATGGACATTTCATTTCATTAAACATGTAATTTTAGCTATACCCTCGCAAGTCTTGTCATCATAACCAGCCTCTCCATCGGATCACCCTTCAACCGAAGAAGCGCACCCCATCCTAAGTGGTCCAACCAATTTGCCGTTTAGCACCAGATCTGTCTGCTTTAGTAAAGGAGCGAAGCATACAGCCAGTCCCAAAGTAGAAACACGAAAGCAAAGGACCACAAGCTCAAAGGACTAACTTTGTTTGTCGTCTCGAAACGTCTTCCTCTTCCTCCTCCTCCTTACTTTCCTTCTTCTCCTGTAGGCAATTGACCAAGAAAGACCTTGATGGAAATATATGAAAATAACCAAATCATCATGATCGTTAAAATGCCTGTTTATACTCATCATTTCGGCGTTCTCTTCTTCCAATCCACCTCGTTGAAATAACTTGGCTTTTCCTTCCCCTTTTGGAATCCCCTTCATTGATCATCGTGTTTCCAGATATTTGTAACAACAAGACAGATGAATGCAATAGAGAAGGCAGTGAGAACCCTGAGGAAGGATCCTGTACGGCCTGAATACCTAGGAAAAGGCATGCATGTATCTCGTAAAAGCCAACAAACCCCACAAGAACAACAGCAAAACGATAACACCCCTAGATAGTGATTTGATGACCAATGGTTGAGTATGAATATGTTGCGCGAGAGACCAAAAGACGAACAGATGGACAGATAGACACCAAACGGAATCAAAAAGGGAAGAAGGAAATGCAAAACCACCACCAACTAGTTATACAGAAACATCTTCTTTCTTTCGCTGACTCCCCCCCTTCCACATAACTATGACCGATATCCTCATTCGGCACTTCCATATCTAAGTCCAAGAAAAGGAACATCAATGCGGCACTTTTTCGCCTTCTCTGAGAATTTCAGTATTTCCTAGAGCCTTCCACTCAATAGCATATTCAAAGCGGTGACTATAAAACAGTTTCGCACAAGTCCTTATCGTCAGTTCGGACGCAGACAAACACAAAACTTGTTTGTTTCCTGGCCTTTACGCATTCGTCAGGAACACGGGAGACACTCGAGAGAGTTTTGTATACAGCGATCGCACCGACCGCCATTGGGGGGTTGCCGGACACACTTTCGCTTGCTCGTTCGGCACTGGCGACATGGAATCGGCTTCCCTCTCAACCCGAGTTCTACAGGCTGCTCGGGAGTACTGAGCCCGTACCCTCCTCAAGCAGCAGCCTCAGCCGTCTCAGAAGACTTTGTCTGCATTGCCTTTCATTAGTTTGTGTCTTCATGTCAAGTGACTTGTGCAGTCTGGGGACAGATGCAACATACCTCTTCGGTCTCTGCCTTCTCAGTCTTCTCCTCCGCGTCCTTCTTCTCGGTCTTCTCCTCCATGTCCTTCTTCTCGGCCTTCTCTTCGGCCTTCGCATCGGCCTCCTCCATCTTGGAGTCGCCATCCTTGTCCTTGGGGGTCTCCTCAGCCTTATCAGACGTGGACGGCTCCTCGTTCTTGCCCTTGGCGCCGTTGGTCTTGCTGCCGTTCTCCTTGGCCTCCTTCTCGGCCTCCTTCGCCTTGCCGTTGACGCCATTAGTGGTGGCCTCCTTATCAGCTGAGGGGGCGGGCGCGGAGGCAGCTTCGCCGGCAAGGAGCTTGTTCCATTTGTCCAACAGTGTTTGCGAGCGAGGCTTAAACTTGAACTCCTCTTCCTTGGGGATGTTCTCGAGCTTAAGGATAGCCTTGAGAACCTTGTTGATCTTCGTGGCCCTGATGATGCTAACTTCAAGATCTGGGAACGCTTCCAGCTTGGTCAAGAACTCAGACATGACCTTCATCTCTTCGGGCTTGGGTTCCTGGTCTCTGGTGAGCAGGCCCTTTTGAAGCTTATGACGGAGGAACAACACCTCACGCTGTTGAAGTCATGACAAGTCAGCAATTAGCACTCTTTAAACTCGAGTTTCCAGTGCATCAACATACCTCCTTGCGGGTATGTTTCTCCTCGGGCGTCAATTCCTGCTCCTTGGGAGTAGCAGCTTCCTTCTCGCCCTTCTTCTCCTCCGTCTCCTTAGTCTTCTTGGCCGGCTTAGCCTTCGAGGCCTTCGCTTCCGCTGCGGGCTTAGCAGTCTTGGGGGTGGCCGCGGCACCGTTGGCGGTCTTGGCGGTCGAATTAGTTGTCAACTTTATCTTGGGCTTCTTGACCGACTCTGACCGCTGAGGAGTTTCCTGTTTCCGTATCAAATTAGTTAGCGCATGTTAGCCACTTCTTGCCCAGACGCAACTACGGCTCACCTCTACCGGCTCCTCTGCCTTTCTCTTCTTTGCCTTCTTCTTGTCGGTCTGGGGCTGCTCGTCGCTCGCATCGGCCATCTCAACGTCCTCATCCTCGCTGGCAGCGGTCTTGGACTTCTTTCCCTTGGGAGTGGCGGCAGCCTTGGCAGCCTTGGCCTTCTCCTGCTCAATCAGCTCCTCCTGGAACCGCTGCAGAACCTCCTTGTAGAAAGACAGAGGGTGGGACTCGGCAGCCAAGTGGTGCGCAGCTGCAAGGTCCTTGCGCATCTTGTCCATCTTCATATCCTTGATGGCTGCAGGATCGAGCTCGATAAGCTCTGTGTTGACCACCCAGCCGCTATCGTTCGAAGTAAAATCAGTCTGATTAGCTAGGGATCCGGAATGACGGCTAGATGGAGCACACAAGCAGGTTCGCGACGCGACTGCTAGTCCGAAAACTTACAATTCGTTGGTGTGAAGATACATGACTGGATAAGTACGGTCGTGTGCCCTCTTGCCGCCATCGGCAAAGTCTTCGCGGTAGGTGCCATCAGGACGCATGGCGGAGACGGGTCGCGACTTGATGAGCGACTGGGGAAGCATGTCCTCATCGCAGATGATAACTGGCCATTGGGGGAAGCCCTTCAGCTTGACGTAGTAATGGTCGCCAGGCTGCGCGTCGAGATGGAGCTGCTTCGCCTTGGAAGCCTTCTTGCTGGGCTTGGAGCCACCGCCGACGGACTTGCGACGACTGCTCGAAGACTTGCTCTTGGACGTGGCGGCCGCGGAAGCGGCAGGACTGGCATCGTCGGTCTGCTGAGTTTGCGCTGCCGACTCGGGGGCGGGAGTCTGGGCGGCACTAGCATCGGCCATTTCAACGTCGGACTTTTCTGTTTGGTCTTGTTCGGGCTTATCTGTGACCTTGTCGTCGGACTTGTCGACGGGCTTGTCCTCGGTGTCTAATGATAGGAGAAGGTTATAATTAGCTAAGATGCTCTGAAGGGATGATTGCGGGTGGGCGGATAGATGGATGGCGGATGATGGGTGGTGAATAGTTGCCCCCTGGGTGGCCGGGCAGGTGAATGGTGGTGGATTCTAGATACCTGATGCAGCCTTGTCCGACTCTCGTTCGGCTGGCGCTTCGCTAGGCGCAGGCGCAGCAGTCTCACTAGCACTGGCCGCCTTCTCCTCGGCGGCGTTGGCAGCGGCAGGTTCCTCCTTCTTTGCCTCGCCGGCTTGGGTAGTCGCAGGTGCAGGCACGGCCTCCTTCTCAGCAGCGGGTGTTGGCGACGCGGCCGCAGCAGCCGGCGCGTTGGTCGTGGAGTCGTCAGACATGGTATGTGATGGAGTGGGTGATGGTACTAATCCGGGCTGCAGCGGGTGGCGACGTGATGTCAGAGAGCTAGAGCTAGTATCAACGGGCCGTGGGTGATGGATGCCGCGATGGTCGAAGTCGGATTCCAATCAGATGCTGATTCCGGTCGGGAGGTGGATAGAAACAAGAAAAAAAAATAAAAAAAAATAAAAAGACAGAAAAGGGACACGACGCGTGATTGCGCGTGGAGAATTGGATGGATGGATGGCGGGTCGAGGCTACCGAAAGCTTGTCGGCTCGTTGGTGGCTATCTACGTCAACGCGCGCGTGACTTTTTGTTGATGATGCGATAAGCTTCCCAAGGTAGAGGTAGCGCTGATGCTGTCGAGTTGCAGGTTGATGATGATGATGGCGATGATGATGGATGGGCAACGGCAACCGTGGACAGATGATGGGAGGACGGGGCGGGTCACAATGCGCAGAAGCTTGGACAATGGAGAGGATCCGTACTACTGGGCGGGAAGGGAAAGTAGTCGAAGGGAAGCTTTGCAGTTAACAAGTCCTTGTTTCTTCTGTCTTCGCGAAAGAGAGAAATTATTTGAAGGTGAGCGAGACTTGGTCCGAGCGTCGCCTGCCTTCTATGGAACTCTAGTGATGTCTTGCGGCTTGTCCGCGGGAGGAGCAAGGAGCCGAACGGAGCTGGGCGCGCTGTATGGAGGGATTAGCAATGAATGCCATCCATCGGCTCTACCTGGCCGGACGAATGACACTCTGCCTTTGCTCGCTCCGTCATCACCACCACCCTTACCCAGTCAGCATGTACACTACGTACGGAGAGGAGAGATATAGACGTATACAAGAACCCATGTTTCCGCCCGCCACCTCCTCATGCATCAGGCCAGATATCCATCAAGATCCCACGACTCGATGCCAACAACCATCGTCCACCGCGACCTGACTGAGTGAGCCCTATAGTTGCTGCCCATCCGGGTTGGCCCAGCCAGCCATGAATCCACAGTTGAACTGCTGTCCCCAGATCGTCATCCCTCATTCCCCTTTCCATCTATCCACAACCCGGAACCCCCATCCCAGCTCAGCCCCAAACATTCCTAGACAGGCCTCTCCCGACACTCTCACGCAGCGGTCGTGAAACCCCGCACCACTCCAGACTTGGGCCTGAAGCTGACACCCTAAGCACCACTAGGCGTGCCAAAACCACCCGGCACATGTATCCGCGAACCGATGGGTGAGGAGGGTTGCTAGGTAACCGAAGATGATACATTCTCGTTGAACTACTGCGTTTTTTTCCCTGTGTCATACACATCCACATATACCGTACCGCCTCAATTGCCAGGTAGATGGGTTGTCAGCACTTGCCTTGCATTACCATACATAAACACCTAATCAGTCTCCATTCCCTACACTTGTCCACCACAACCTCCTCCTCCTCCTCTTCCTCCTCCTCCTCCTACTCCTCCTCTTCCTCCTCCTCGTCGCTCTCATCAACATCCATTCCCTCCTCCACCATGACCGAGAACGCCGGATCCTGATCAACACCGACATAGCTGTCGCTCATCAACATCAGCTTGAGGTCGTGGCGACCAGGCGTAGGCACCGTGAACTCCAGCCTGACGTTGAGCTTCTTGCCAATGGTGACCCGCTTGATCGCCAGCAGAGTTTTGGAGCTCTCCTCGCCAACCACCAACCACCAATTCTCCGTCTTCTTGCCAGGGTAAAACGGAGCGTGCACCGTAGGATCAAACTCCTCGTCCTCATCAACTTCGCGCTCAATGTTGATCTTGAGGTATGCAGGCTCATTCGCCCGGATGTTGTCCTTGTCTTCAAGCTCGAACTCCAACGAGACGTCGGGGTACTTGTTGTTGGTGAATTCGGCAGCCTGGGCGAGCTGGGCCTGGGATAGACCAAGGTCCCTGACCAGAGAGGCGTAGTCGGCGTTCTCCTCGGGGTTCATCTTCTCCATAAAGTCGAAGATGTCCCGGATACCGTACTTGTTGGCCGTTTTGATGACCTCCGTTGTGAAGTTGGGAATCTGCTTGAGCGGGCTATCCCGATCCCACATCGCTTGCACCACCATCTGGGACATTTCCATGGCGTTCATGGCGTTGAGGTGACCATCCGACGAGAGAATGTCAACAGTAGCGCTCAGCAGGCTGAGCACCTTGGTGAGGATGACCTCTTGATCCTTTGCGAGATCGATGGGGAGGTTCATCCTGGAGAAGTGGGCCTGCAAGAGAACGAAGGCCTTGAAATGCGGTGAATCAAAGACAGGCTCGGCCATCTTTACGGGGACACTCTCGTAAATGCGACGCAGAATGACTTCTTCATGTCTTCTGATCTGGATCGCTTCGAACTCGGTAGCCGACGTCACGATCTCGAGGATACCCTTCAGCTTTGTCTTTGCCGTCAGCGAAAGAAGGAAGGTTTGCATCGTAATGTACGAGATGTTGTAGTAAGCAGCAATCATGGCAGCGTTCTGAGGAGCAACGGTGCCGTCATCCTCATCGAAGTCGATGATCTTGGACTCGGCCAGATCCTTCAAGGTAGCCTCAACCATGTCGGAGAGATACTGGCTGAGACCGTCGTGCGTAGGGTCTGTCAAACTGTAGTAGCTTGGGTTGGCGAGCAGGCGGCGGTAGAAGTAAGTAAAAGTAGCCCAGTTGATGGCATCTTCACCTGACTCGATCATCTTGGTGCTGATTTCTGTCACAAAGGCATCGTGGAGGAAATTGTGCAGATGAGACTCGACAGGGAGGGCTTCGTTGAGGAACTTCTTGTAATACTCCCGCTTGACCGCAGGAACCATCAAGACACCGCAACCACGCCCAGCCTTATTCTGCTGGAGGGCCTTGCCAAACATTTGCAAAACCTCGCTCAGGGGATAATCAACATAGCGGTGCTCCCTGCCCTCGAAATACTGGGTGCCCATAACAACTACCAGATGAGCAGTGCAATCAAGCTCCCAGCACACATCACGAGAGGCGATCAACACCTGGATGGCGCCATTGTTATAGAGATGCTTGACGATGCGCTTGTCATTGAGACTCAGGGCTTCGTGGTAGTAACCAACACCGTGCTTGAGGGCCTCAGCCAATGCCGCTTCTTGAACGCGATCAAGGAGCTTTTGGATCTGCTCAACGTCAACATGAAGGAAACGATCCTCATCATCGTCAGCCAAGCAGGCGGTGAGGATATCTCGTGCCGTGGCTCTTGTTTGCTTCCGACTGGGTACGAAGATGAGAGCAGGCTGGTCGGGAGAAAGCTGGGTAACGGCCAGATAAGTAGGCTTTGCCATCGCCAGCATGAGGGACGGAAAGTGGGGGATGGAGTATGACTGGATGTGCAATTCCAATGGAATAGGTCGCACATGCGGGCTGAAGTTGTAAATGTCGTGCTTTTTTGCGTCGATCCATTCGCCAACATCACGAGCGTTGGCAAGAGACACACTGAGGCCGACAATCCTTAGCGGCAACTCCGTTTGGGTCCTGATATAGTGCATCCGCGAGACGATGATCTCGTAGACGTAGCCCATCTGGCCACCAAGCAAGTGCAGCTCGTCAGCGATGAAAAGCTCTACCGTCTGAACGTTCTTCCTCCTCTTCCACTGCCGCGACAGGACGTCCCACTGCAGCGGTGTGGCCATGATGAGGTCGCCTTGCTCCAGGAGCCTAAGGTCAGTGGTCGTCTCTCCTGTAAGCTTCACAATGTCCTTGCCGCCGCGGAGGTTGGCAAACCGCTTCTGCCAGTCCAGGAATCGCAGATCTACGAGTTCCTGGAAAGGTGCGATGTAGACAGCCCGGCCGTGTTCCTTCTTAGCCCAGTGGCGCAGCAAAGCAAACTCGGCGCAAACAGTCTTGCCACTGCCCGTTGGTGAGCAGATGAGGACGTTGTTGTCGGTTTCGTACAGGGACTTGAAAGTCTGTGTTTGCACCTTGTTAAATTGTTGCCAATCAGGATACAGCGCGGAATAGTCCTTGGCCTTCAAGGCGTTGACCGGTAGTGGTTGCAGGTCAAGCAGTTCGGTGTGAGGAGGGAATCTCTCTGGGAGAATGAGTTTCCTGAACGACACGGGCAGACGTGTCTCGGAATGCATCCACCTGTCGGAAATGACGGAGATAAAATAGTTGGGGGGCATGGGCTCAGTAATGGGTACAGTGAATTCAACAATGTGTTCGTTGGACTCGGACTCCGCATAGTCCTTGCGCAGGATGAACTGATCATGGAAAAGAATGTCTTCCCCATCGCAGTCTTCTACGATAATCCAAAAGCTCTCGGAAAGGCCATGGATATCGGCATCCCATTCGAAGTTTGGCGTGATCGCAAGCTCAATGCGCAGCATCGACCTTGTCATGGGCTGCACCTGGGCTTGGACTTCGACGCGGGGGAACTTGGCCACCAGGCTGCAAACAGTCTTGCCCGCCTTGGGTAGTCCGAGAAGCTCGCCCATCCGAGGAGGGTCCAGATCGAAGTAGCTGGAAAAGGGCACGTCGATCCTTTCAGCCTTCCTGATAATCTCAACAGGACAGTTGGGGAACTGTCTCAGCGGCGACATCGTTGGCCACATCCTCTTCTCGGCCATCTTGCACAGGTTTAGGGCCAGCTTAGCAACTGATGCCCATCCCTTCTTCATCGTGATTTCAAAGATAGCCCGAAGAATACGACCAGCAGATTGTGTAACGTAGACCATGTCAGCCATGAGGGCGAGACCCTCCAGCTTCAGACGAGAGATGTACGCCTGTAACAATACGTTGATCTTTGCGGTAGGCTCCTCAATGCTCTCCTTGACCGGAATGGGTACCTTTGCTAGGAGCTTAGCCAATTCCAGCTTTTCTTCTTGCCGAACGGGAATGTACTTGAATTCGGCGCTCTGGGCGAATACTCGGAAGAGTTCGACATCGGTGATGGAGGGTTGGATCAACTTGTTGTAGGTATCCATCGAGCCATAGCTGATGTAGTAGTGCGAGGCGATGCGGCCAAGTTCAGTGGACTGCAGCTTTCCGGTCTTCTCGTCGTACTTGATCAGATTTGACTTTTTCAGCACAGTAGCAGCGGAATGTATTAGGTCGACACGTTTTTGCTCCAAAGCTTCATCATCCTCGTACTCTGCCCCAACTTGGTAAAGGCCAGGAGAGCGAAGCATACGAACAAAGAGGTAGGTATAGCCAAGCCACTCTACACCTTCGTCACGGCTTCTGACATTGCCCAGCACGATTTCAGCGTTGAGGTTATCAACCAACTTGCTAGCAAATTGACTTTCAATGGGTAACTGCTGATTAAGGAGCGAAAGGTAGTACTGCATCTCTCCCTGGGTGGTGATGATAATACCTTCACCATAGGTGTCGAACTGAGGACGACCGGCACGACCAAGCATCTGCAGCACATCCTGAGGACTGAGCTCAACCCAGCTACCTTTTTCAGGCGAGTACACTTGCGTGCCCTTGATGATGACGGTATGGGCTGGAAGGTTGACACCCCAAGCAAGAGTGGCTGTGCACACAAGAACCTGGATATGGCCGCTGGCAAACAAATCTTCGACATCGGTACGATCGGCACGACTCATACCAGCATGATGGATACCGAAGCCATAGGGCAAGATATCCTTCAGATCGGTGTTGTTGACAGAGTTGGAGGCTTCGCTCAGGACTTCACGGGTTCCGGCGTCGTGCTTCAAGATCTGGTTGATGGTGTCCATTTCCAAAGCCTTGTCCCTGATGTACCTGGCGGTCTTTGCCGTTTCCTTTCTGGAATGGACGAAAATGAGCATTTGATTGCGATTCTGTCCTACGTGTTCCAAGACCTTGTGGTAGGTGATATCATTCATAGTCTTTAACTGCTTGATGGCCTTTCTGTCCGTGACGCCGATAAACTCTTGACGGAGGGGGCAAGGGCGGAAGGTACCATCGAAATGGAAGAGCCCGGTGTTCGTATCCACACGGAGGAAGCTCGCTACGTCGCGGTAGTTGGGCAGAGTGGCAGACAAGCCCACAATGCGAACAGGCTCACCGGTCTGCTCTGTCTTGCGGATGGTTCTGGCAACGATGCTTTCAAGCACAGGACCACGGTCATCGTGAAGGAGATGGATCTCGTCAATAATAATCAGGCGGACCAGGTTGGTGTAGGAGAGATCAGTAGCCTTTCTCGTGATGACATCCCATTTTTCGGGGGTCGTAACGATAATCTGCGTTTCCGAAATCTGTTGCTTAGTGAGTTGCCGATCACCAGTGAGTTCGGCCACCCTGATACCGAATGGTTCGAGACGCTTTCCGAAGTTGCCAACCTGTTCTTGAACAAGGGCTTTCAAGGGCGCGATATAGACGATCTTGAAGGCGTCCAAGTCGATCTCGCCGGCTTCGTTTCTATGCTTCCCGATCTCACGAAGGATGGTAAGCATCGCCACGTTAGTCTTGCCAGAGCCCGTCGGAGCACAGACAAGCATGTTTCCATCGTTACCAAAGGCAGTAGGATAGCACTTTGACTGAATCTTGTTTAACGACTTGGCCGTGCTGAAAGGTATCTGGGCCCACTCAGGCATTTCAGAAATCGGGACATGGGCGTCGCTGGGGTCGTTGCGCTTCTTTGGTGGGGGCACATGGATTTCTTCATAGCCCTTGAAGGTGCGCTTCGTCGAGCCCTCGGGAAGTCGTACTTTGGGATTGGTCATAAGGTGGTTACCCTGATCGAATATGAGGTTCTCCAGGTTTATTAACTTGCGTGGCTGCAGACCTCCGACCAGCTGTCCCTCGGGACGCTCAGGCTTTTGGCCTTCCTTATCAGCAAAGGCTCCCGAGTCAATGTCCATCTTGATGTCCATCTTGATCTTCTTCTGGCCGCCGTCGGTCTTGCCTTCCAGCTCGTCAAGAATCCAACGCAGACCCTCAGAAGCCATCTCCCGCTTGATCGTATTTTTCTCCTCATTCTCAGCTCTGGCCAGCCGAGTAAGCCATACGACCTTCTCCCGGTTAGCAATGAGTTTTTGCACAAGCTCGTGGTGTTCGTAATCAAAAAGCTCCATCAAGTCGTTTTCGATGTCGCGGAGCTGCTTTTCTTCACCACCTGGCTCATCGGGCTCGCCGGAAAGAATCTTGAGCGCCGACATTGTCTTATCATGCTGGATATGTGCGTCGGGATATAGCCGGCCAATCTGGCGTTGTAACCAGAACGCATCAATATCTCTGGCTGGGATCGAATTGTCGTCAGACCCGCTTTTCTTTCCTTCCGGTGCTGAATCAATGACCATGGCCTCGCCGTTTAGAATATCTTCGACCATCTCCTCCTGACCTCCTTCGCCATCGACCACCTCGTTGCTGTCAGGAAGCTCTTCATCCTCCGCAAAATCCTCCTCATCGGAAGACTCATCCCGAACAACATCAACCATGCCATCATCATCTTCATCGTTCTCGAAGTTGACCGCAACACCCTGGCGACCGTCAATCTCGTCGTCGCCTTCTTGCCTAGCATCGCCCGCATCCTCATCTTCATCTTGAGCGTCGTAATCCGTGATCTTTTTGCCGAGATTTATGAGCTCGTTGAACTGCTTGGGCCCCATCGAAACTCCAAGAATATCATCAACCTCCTTCTTCTTGTCAAAATCCTTCAGGTCGTCATCCTTGAGATACTCGAGAACCGCGTCAGCAGCACTGCGAACGACCTCATGGGGCACGTCGCCCAAGTGCTCGGCGACAATGGTGAGGATAAGGTTGAAGGCATCGCGCGTCGGCTGCGTTCGAGGGCGGTAGCGGAGACCTTCGATAAGCGCGTCGGCTCCAGTAAGGATACCTCCTCCTCTTGTAGCGGACTCGAGTTTGCCCTTCTTCTTCTCTCGTTGAAGGATATCAGCACCTTCCCTTAGACTGCCCCGCTCGACGTCGGGCATGGCGCCCGCCTTCTTGGGCTTTGGTGCTGAGTCGCGAGCAACTCTGGAGCCCATATCTTTGATGGACAGACGCCCAGCTAGGGACTCGGGGTCTCCCGTGGCCTCATCGGTACGCCTCGTGACGAAACGACGGTCCGCCTGGAGAACCAGGTTGGACATGGCCGAGTATTTGTATTGCGACACATCGCGGTGGTGGTCCGTCATCTTGCCAGCTCGGTGAAGAAAAAAAGGAAATCTATGAAATGTTTTGAGGTATACGTCGAGATCGAAGTAGAAGTCGTAGCGGATGGAAAAGTCTCGATCTGGTGATATCTTCAACTCAGTCTTTGGGGATAAAATGTGCTTGTTCTTGCGTGCACGCAGTGGCGATAAATTAGCCCGAGCCCGGCCCGAACCAAGCGTTGGTTTTGCTGGCTGATAAGTAGTATTTCGCCGGTCGCATCGATGGGTAGATCGAGAATCTGGGGTCGGGCGGAAACAGAGATGATGGGTTTCCGACAGAAGTCTGTCGCGGTTGTCGCGAAAGGAAGGTTGGAGTTTGGCGTTTGGAAAGGTTGAGCCAGAGGCGTGGTTGCCAGCCAGCAGGAACTTGGCTTGGTAGGGGTGGCAAGCGGTGCAGAGATAGGTGTGGCTCCAGTCATGACGGCTGGAAATTTTTATGCAATGCTGCCGTCGTCGACTCTCATTGGCTGCCTGGACAGCACGTAAACACACTGAGCTTGACCTTGCTGTCAGGGCGGTGTTAGTGCATGGGCGGAGACCCCGTGGAGTGTGTAGAGGTCGGTAAAGATGCACTAACAAACATCCTAGAGGTGGTAGGCACAATCATCAACACGATCTCAACCCATCGAGCAACTCGAAATAGGTGGCAGATGTCTGATCCATGGGCTCCGACTTCTACGATACTTCTTTTTTTATCCCAACAAGAGGGATGAATCGTGTTACTTCACGAGCTATTTGAACATTCATTTCAATGCTGGAAACTGAGATACCTTTGGTTCATACCACGCTCTCTTATGTCCGTCCTGCTCACATCGGGCTGAGCTCGTCAATGATCACTGTCGTTTACAATTTGACCAATGAGCTGCCTTATGCCTTGGTATGAAACGAAGCCAACACTGACTGAGAGGGCAAGCTGAGATTATCGACACGATGGACTCCTTCCAAGAAACGCTAGAAGCTGTTCAGAAGGTGCTGCAACCATACACCAGGCCTCGCGAGGAAGCCGCCCATATCAGACGGATCTTGACACTTCACCTCAGTTCGGGCTTGAAAGACGGAGCAACGCTAACAGAACCGTTGTCTCTCACCGAGTCAAGTGAAGTACCCCCCTACTCACAAGATACTAGAGGTCTGTATAGGGAATTCCTCGAAGCATTGCGCGCGAACATCAAAGCCCGCAAAGAATACCACACACTCTCACAAAAGCGCAGTCATCATGAGGTTTCTATCCCTAAACCAACAGAAATACAGTCTAACTACCTTCTCAACCATCTCACCAACCTCAAGATACAAAAGAGGCAAGAAAAACTTTTAGTAGTCAAGAAAAACCTTGACCTCTTGAGGCAGAAGCCGGCAGCATCACCGGATTTTCTAGACCATCAAAAACTTTCCAGAGTTTGCAGACCGCTTCCTGAGGTTCCAACCGAGATTATCAACTCTCTAGCGCTCGAGGAAACGTCGGAGAACATCACCGCATCTAGCAGTGTCCGGCTCGAGGACCTCGTAGAGACACTCGAGCACCGTACTTTCCAAACGAAACTATCACTCAAACAGGAAGAGACCCTCCTCGAGAACGCGAAATCCCACCCCTTCGCCGTGCAACCGGAAGAAATCAACCCAAAAGCAAAGCTTCAAGCATTGAATGCCACTCGTACTGAGCTGATCAACTGGGTCGAGACCGAGCTAGGGAAAGCATCCGGAGAGGAAAAAGACGGAGGAGGAGAAAGGGCTAGACAAGATGACTTCCAAGTCCAACGGGACCAACAGCTCACACACAAAACCCAACTCCTTAACCAACAACTCGCCAGCATCAAAGAAAAATATGCCGAGTATCTCTCCAAACGAAAAGCTCTCCTAGAGCTGGTCACCACCCAACTTCGCTCCCTACCGTCCCTCGATTTCCCCGCCATCACTGCCTTTTCCTCCTCTCCTTCAGCGGCATCTCATGAGCGATCTTCAACACAAGCAGCAGCAGCAGCAGCAGCAGAGGCGCCTACACCCGCTCCCATAATAGACCACCTCCTCACCCCAACCCTCACCCACCTCCTCACCCTCTCTCACGAACATAAAGGCCTAATGGCTCACAAAACCCACATAACCACCCTCCTCACCAAGCAGCTGAGGGAAAACGCCCAGGTACTGGATCACCTGGTGGAAGAAAGCCAGTTGATACCCGCCCACGCCACGGCAGTAGTAGTGCACAAGAAACATGACGATGACCCCAACGCCATGATGTCATCGCGTCTAGTCAACCCGTGGGTATCAGCCGCCGACTCAGCCAAGATCGCAACTTTTGAGGTGGTAGTGGAGAAAATTGAGAAAGGGCAGATAGCGCTGGAGGGAGCAATTCGCATGCTAGGCGAGGCTGATCGGTTGTTGGGACGTGGGTTGCAGCAGCAGCCGCAGCAGCAGCAGCAACGACAGAAGTCGGTTAAAGCGGCTTGCGGAGAGGAGGAGGGTAATGATGATGATAATGATGGTGATGATGATGAGGTGGGCGAGGAATCTGATATATGGCTTGTCGAGGGGCAGAAATCGCTGAAAATCACAAATTCAACTGGTGGATCGGGACTTGGGACGAGATACGATGAGGGAGGCAGAAAGGGGAAGGAGACAGCTGGCCACCGTGAGGGAGGGTGTTTGAGCATGTGGAATATGGTGGATGTGGATGTAGGACTAGAGAAGACTGGGTAGAGGCAGCCATAACTATCGTGTGTTGCGACGGGAGATACCTCGGAAGACAACTGGTGAGCGAGGTGCCAGGGATAAAAGACCATTGTCAAGCATTTGTCAAGAAAGAAGTCCAGGACTAGAAACACCAAAATATGACCTTGTAGTGCGATGTAAATGACCTGCCATTTTCTGTTGCCCAAACCGAAACTCCGAACCCAGTGATATATCGCCTATCTTTGAACCATCTGCTTCTGTCGTACCCTTTCAGACTCTTTAAGCTTTGGCCGTTACCTCCCAGCCATGATACCCGATATCCGTAGCGCCAGGTCGAGTACGGACAGATGTTCGTCTGCGCCGTCCACCAGCCTCTTATCCACCTCCGAGAACACCATAACAATCTTGTTCTTTTGCACATCCGGGATCATCTCGTCGAAAACCACCGCCTGGTAGAGCTGCGTCATGGTCTGTCCAGCGCTCCAACCATCCGCCACCATCTCCTCGACCACCTTGGCAACCGCAGGGTACGTATCCACCCCAGCGCGGGGCCGCATCGCCTCGAGTAACCTCTGGATGGTGTCGTCCGGGATAACACCAGCGATATCCTCCACGACCTTGACCGTGACCAATTTGGCGTCCACTTCCATCTCGTCGTCGCCTTCGGTTTCTTTTTGCTCCCCGTCTTTAGCTGTAGCTGCCACGGCACCGACTAGCCTCGCCGCACTCTGCAAATACGTAATCGCCTTTCTCAAATCGCCCTCGCTGCACTTGATTAGCGCATCGATAGCTCCCTCTTCTAGCCCGACACCCTCGAGCTGGGCAATCTCCTCCAGCCTCTTCTTGGCGTTCCCCTGGTCGAGGCTCTTGAACCGAAACTTGCTGCAACGACTCGCCAACGGATCGATAATGCGAGTGACGTAGTTGCATATCAGACAGAAGCGGGTGATCTTCGAGTACGTCTCCATGGTGCGGCGCAGTGCGCTCTGAGCGTCTTGGGTCATGCTGTCGGCCTCGTCGAGGATGATGAGCTTGAAGGGTGGACATGGGTAGCGCGCCTTGTAAGCCGCGGAGGGATTGGTAAGCTGCATGCGAGCAAAGTCTTTGACCTTTTCGCGAACGATGGAGATACCACGCTCGTCGGAGGCGTTGAGCTCTAGGACGCGGGCCTTGATGAGTTCGGGGCCGTAGAGCTCCTTGGCGAGGGCAAGGATGGTCGAGGTCTTGCCCGTTCCTGGAGGGCCGTAGAAGAGCATGTGTGGGAGCTGGAGGGTTGACGAAACAGGTCAGTGGCTGCCAAATTTGACTTGAGAGAGACATGAAGGGGAAATAAGCAGATTTGACAAACATTGGAAGCCTGTAATGTCCTTTGGAGGACGGTAATGGTGTGATCTTGGGCTGTGACATCGCTGAGGGTCTTTGGACGGCTGTCGAGGAAGTCGTCAGAGGTTAGCTAGCTGAACTGCCGGCATTGAACTTGACCACTCTTGCATGGCATACTATTTCTCTACCCATGGTTGCGCCCTGGGAGTTTCCTTTGTCTGTTTTTCCGGGTTTGGAGTGCCACTCGCAGCGGCCGCCTTCCTGGCCTTAATGTCGAAAAAGCTTGCCATGATAGAAATAGATCTTGGCCAGCAAAGTTGCGAAAGGTACGTTTTAGTGAATGTCAAAAAAAGAGAGAACGTGGGTACTGGGTGAGTGTCTCGCTGTCGTCAATCAAGGTGTCGCAACAATCTATTGTTGAGGGGAGCTCGTAATTGAATGGTGATAGTAAGTAGAACTCCAAGCAGCACTTTACGCGATCACAGGAAGAGAGACCGCGTCTGGCGCGTTTCCTTTTGTGGGGCCGCTTCAATTAAAGTGGATCTTATAAGACCCTAGCTCCTAGCCCCCTCCCCCCCGGGGCCGTCCGCTACCTAGGTACACAGTAGAGCTCCGAATGTTGGGGTCCATTTTGTCCCGTCGGTGCCTGGAGCTTCTCCACGTCCAACACCAGGGCGGACACGGAGACGGGACCGGGGAGCCGGGCAGCCGGGGATCCAGGGCTCTTTCCAGCTTGCTTCTGTATTCTCCCGAAAATCAAACATTTCCGTTTGATCACACTTGTTGATTTTACAAGGTAGTGATAATGGATGTGGGGTTGGAATCATTGACCTCCGATGTCGTCAACGCTGGGACATATGAAAGCTCAAAGGGAATATATCAATCACCCTGCCTGCTTCCGTCTTCCATGTTTATGTCCCGTCGTGTGGTAAAGCATCGCACTGTAAGCTCCAGTCTCGTACGGTATTCCACTTCTGGCATTTCGTTGCTGCAACCCACCTGCATCTTGCACTTGCAAATGCGGGGCGGCTACCCTTGAAAATGGTGGTAGCAGCCCACCACCAGGTGCCCCAAGTTGTCGGGATGTGACTGATTGACACTGCTTCATACTAAAAAGTACCTGGACTGGTACGTGGAATAAAAGAATGAATGGAAACCCTCCATGTTGCTTTCGTTGATATTGATGCTGATTACGCACGCAAGAGGATACCTTTGGCAGCGCATAATATACACGGCACATACAAGTATTCAGAGACGCTTCCATCCTTCTTTGGTTGCCACCTCGAAGTAAAGACAAACTGTCATTGCTTGCTTTGGAGAGGAAAAAAAAAAAAAAAAAAGAAAAAACAAACAAAGCGAATACAAGTTTGACCAACGCTGGAAATGTTGTAATTACCTACACACTACAGTACCTACCTTACAAGTTTACATAGTCTAGTACGTCGTGCATTACTGAGTGCACCAATCGCTTGCTTGCCATTCATTCACTCAGTTCCTTTCGTTTGAACTCTGCCCTGCCCCGCACTCAACCTTCCACTTCCACTTCTTGCCTGAACTCAGCTTGGTGTTGTCGTCTCGCTCGCTACTTCTCACCTCAACCACCGATTGCTACCTGAATCGGAAACAGAAAATACAACTTAAGCCATCACTCATCATTCCTCCAACCAACAAGACATCCGCATAACAAAGACTTGGCCTTACTACCTTGTCGGCAGCTACCCGGCCATTTAATCTCCAGAGTAATTTCTTCCTCGACCACTTCGCACGACTTGTCCGCCAGTGTTTTTCTTCACGTCGCCCAATCACGGTCCCCGTCAAACTGCCTACTATTTACTACTACTTTGCCCGTAGGGTCGACCTTCGCGATTTCGAGTGGTCCATTCCACCCTCCATCTTCCCCCAAGACTTGGTGAGCTCCAAGTCAGAAACCATGGACCAATCTGTATTTCGCATTACCAAGGTTCGTTTGTCAACATATCGCATTATTCCCAGTCCCGGCACCAGGAATCATGTCCACCATGCAAGAGCCGCAATACTGGCATATGCTAAGTTGACTGTTGTCAACGATAGGAGCTGAGCGACCTTCAGAAGGACTCTGATTTGTGTAAGCCTGTGCATCGTGTTTCCTGCCCAGTTCATCAATGACTGACATCACGCTGTGGTAGCTCTTGCTGTCGCCTGCCGCGATGTCGATGTTCGCAATGTCAAGGCAATGATCATCGGACCGCACGAGACACCCTACGAGTTCGGCTTCTTCGAGGTACTGGTGATTATGTATGGTCTGGGAGGGATCTGATTCTCGCTGACTGTCTGATAGTTTGCCTTCGTCTTCAATAAGGATTATCCTAGGAGGTCACCTCAGGTTCAAGCCACAACTACGAACGACGGTCGCACCCGGTTCAACCCAAATATCTACGCCAATGGCAAAGTCTGCCTGTAAGTCTAACGTCACCTGGCTCGACTAAAACTGTTACGATGCTAATTCGACATCAGATCGATATTGGGGTAAAATCACTGTCCCTCTAACAAAAATCCGCATGATCAGGTTTCGGGGCTAACATGGCACAGAACATGGCGCGGGGAGCGTGGAGAACAGTGGTCTGCTGCCCAAGGCCTCGAGTCCATTCTATTGTCCATCCAAAGCTTAATGTCCATGAACCCCTACGAAAATGAGCCGGGCTTTGAAGATGCAAAGGAGGCTCATGACCAGAAGAACCAGAAGGATTACATACAAAAGGTGATTAGAGGTTTTGCGCCATGTTGAAGTGTAAGCTAATATCTGCCTAGATTCGCCACGAGACAATCCGCATCTCTGTCGTTCATCGACTGGAGGAGTACTTAGGCATCAACCCCGATGGCACATTTGCGCCAACAAGTGTCAGCGGGGAGATCGCTTCACTGGGCTCAGGCGAGAGCGACATGGATATTCTTGACGAAGAATCTAGCGTCCCATTCGAGCCTTTCAAAGACCTTTGCAAGCGACGATTTCTCTGGTATTACGACTCCTACTTGGTTGCCGTCGAGAAGGGCAAGTCGGAAGTCAAGGACAACCAGTCATTCGCCAGAATGCCCTTTGAAAGCCTTGGCAACGGCATGGAGGGTAAATTCAACTACACGGAGCTGGAGAAGAGACTCAAGGTTATCAAGGCAGCCCTCGACACCGAGACAGAGGGATGGGCCGCAGAAGGATTGCAAGCTAAGGCCCAGGAAACCACGGTCGCCGTCAACCTGCAGAGGCAGTTTGAGCAGGTTGTGGAGCACTTCAAACGCAGGGATCTGGCGCACAGCATCGAGCTCGAAGACGGCAATCCCTTCGTCTGGCTAGTGACATACTTCGGTAAACCCATGACGAACCTGGACGGTGGCCTGTTCAGAATCAGGCTTTGCTTCAGTGCACGATTTCCCGAGGAGCAACCTCGGGCGAGGTTCGAAACCAAGATCTTCCATCATCGTATTGCCGCGGACGGCACACCCTGCTACTTTGCGCCGCAGAACCGCCGTGAGGATGTCAGGACGCACCTCGAAGCCATCATTGATGCTCTTGAAGAGGAGAGTCCCCCTTATGATCCGCGAACTCTAGTCAACCCCGAGGCGTTCAAGCTGTTCTGGGGCTCAGCCGATGACCGAAAGATGTACAATCGGCGTCTTCGCCGGTCTGTTCAACAGTCAATGGAGTAAGATACCACTTTTGGTGACTAAAGTAATCAGTATTTCAAATGCTAACATTGTACTCAGGGATTTCTAACACAACGGTTGACGGCAGCGTTGGAAGAGTCCGAGGGTTGTTTGAAGTTATCTGCGCATCTTTGCATGGCTAGCATGGGTTCTGCTTTCTCTCAAGAACTTTCTGTGGCGTTGGTAAACCAATAAGGGTGTGGAAATATCCAGGGATCAAAGGACGGGACAAGGTGTCTAACAGACAGGATCGATTTTTACACATGATGATTTCGCATGCAAAAACGTATTTGGTGTTGCGTCTGGCTGACGGTTAAAGCGTGAAATACAACGAGCCTAACTGTTACTTTTATTCCAAAATGATAGCGAATTGTAGCATAGCGAACAGGGGCAGGCCGAATGGTATGAAGAGGGTGCGTATGAGTAGCTCCAGATTTGGTCTGTTACAGGTAGATAGGTCGTTTAGATATCTTCCATGCTTTGATTGTCCGTTCCCACTTCATATCAAGTAAATGTTCAACCGAAGGGGGGGAAACATGTGTGTGAGAGAGAGAGTGAGAGAGTGACAGAGAGAGAGAAAAGACGTTGCTTTACACCGGGAAGAATCCGCCGAAGAAGAATCAGGTAGGTAGGGCTCGTACGGGGAGAATAATGAATAGAAAATTTTAATTGAAAACCGAGAAGCCAAACAGAAAGGTCGCTCTGCCTATAGTTAAGTAGATAAAATAGTAGTAAAAACCTCGAAGAAAAGAAGGAGTAGTAAAGCTCCTCCTCCTACTCCTCTGAAAGGAAGCCAAGAGGACCCAATGATATCAAACAACGATGCCCGACAAAAAAAGAGAGAGGAACAATCACCACTTCCCACCGCCAGCCGGCGGGATTTTACTAAAATCCTCTCCTCCTCTTCTTCCTCCTCCTCCTCCATCTCCCGAAAAAACAACCAACCAATATGGCAGGTGAGGTAGGAGCCCATGCAGTGCTCATGCAGTGCCAGTAGTCACCCCGTTGTTTGGCCTGCCCCAGCCGGAATTCCGCCATTCCTTCCTCGGCCCTCCTCCCTGTTGCTGCTGCCCATTGTGATTATGCAGCCCACTCGTCGTCGATCCCCCATTACGATTATAGTCACCGCCGCCTGGGGCCCCATCCCCTCCTCCAACTCCTACCGCGTTTCCACCCTGTCCTCCTCCACCTGGTCCTCCTCCACCGCCGCCGACGGCAGCAGCAGCGGCTACGTGTTCAGGTGCGGGACCGTACGGGATAGGCTGTTGTTGTGGTCCACCAGGACCACCACCGTCTCCATGTGATTGTGAGAGTGGATGTGGTCCCATTCCTCCACCAGGTCCTCCACGCTTTTGTGGTGACACGGCTCCTCCGGGGCCTCCCGTCCGATCTACCATTCCTCCTCCATTGTTGCCTCCACTACCACCACCACCACCACCACCACTAGTGGGGCCAGGGCCGAGGTACGCCGCATTCTCGGTTACCGTCCGGACGCTAGTTTCTTGCTGCCATGACGTCGGGTCGGACTCAACCCTTCGCGGCGGTGGCCGGCTGGGGTTCTCGTGCCGGCCGACGATCTCGACAACATCGGCGTACTGTCGCGAGCCGAAACCGCCAGTATTCCGTTCAGAGTACCGTTTGAGAATTTCCTTAGTGGTGAGCTCTCCGTCAAGGAAGGCGGGATCGCTGATGTATTGTACTAATTCATCGGGAACCTGGAACGTACATGTGTTAGTCAAATGTTGCAATAAACTGAACGAAAAGAGTGACAAAACTTACCAAACACATCTCTTCAATATTTGCTATTAGAACCTCGACTGCCTCAATCGCATACATTGGGTCGCTACCCAACGTGGACGTCGCAGTTCTGTCAAACAACACGTTTGGCGCAATGACGGTTGCCAAATTCTTGATGTCCATTTTGGAGCCTGATTCTTCGTCGACCTGGTGAAACGAGCCGGCCCACTTAAGGAAACAGAACAGTATTTCCATCGAATCGCGGTGACACTTGGGCATCAGACAGCATATCAGGTGGAGACACTGCCTCTTCTTGTCCTCGTCCGAGATCTTCGCGGCTGCCAGCCAAAGTCGGTAAAGCTTCTGGGTCATAAGCGGATCGGGCAGCTCTCGGAGGTATCGTTTTAGCAAGGCAGCCACCTGAACGACGTTGTTACCGCTGAGGTCCACGTTCCCTTCTTTGTCGATCTTCTCAACAAGCTCACCCAGCTTCTTGATATTGCCGTTCTTTCTGAAGACGCCTTCAACCGAAAGGTCCATTTGCCTCATGAGAGATAGGATATCGTCAATGACTGCCGGGATCCTAAGCGTCCCGGGCCCCACGCCGTCTGTGGACTCAGCTCCATCCCGTTCGATAATAGCTTCCAGGGGTACGCCGAACACACCCTTCTTCTTTCGTCCGTCTTTCTGAAAGGCTTTACCGATATTCTTCCAGAAATTGGGCGTTTTCCGTGTTTCGATAAGTCCGATCAGTTCTACCAGGGTAAATTCACCTTCCACCATTGGAGCCATGGTGACGACGGCAAGATGTCGGATGATGAAATATTCCAAAGCAGAGAGTTCGGAGAAGTATCTCCTACCAACACGCTGAGGCGATGGTTCACCAGCAGTACGCGGGTCCCCACCCTTGCTGTCGGAATAGCTTCGCTTGTGTCCACTGCCTGATGACGCACCGCCAAATGAGGGCTCAGTGGCCGGAGAACGCAATAGCTCATGCCTACTAGGCGGACCTGTTCGTTGTTCTCGTGCCTGCTCGGCAGCAACGATCCGGGGAATGTCCGCAAGGGTGAGGGCATCCTGATTAGGCAGCATCATATCGTGGTCGTCTCCGGGTCCCATATCCTCCTCGATTCGCATTCTCCTGCCATTAGCTGGTCCACCATCGACGCCTGAACCAGGCCCGGACCCGGGCTGCGCACTGCTACTCTCGGGTCCATCCATAATTCGGGACGTCCTGGCTTTCCTAAAGCTTGAGGAGAGGTGCTTATCCAAGCGAGTGCTCTTCAGCCTCTTGACATCATTAAGAGCGCTCTCATAGGACGATTCTCGATGATGTAGTGACTGATCGCCCCCGGGGAAACCTCTCTGTCTACCATCCATTGACGGACGGCCATCGCCTGCATCAATTCCATTGTGACCCCTTGCTTCAGCGGCGGACGGAAGCGCACCGTGCATGCGTAGGATCTCCAATAACCTGGCCAATGCCACCTGGAGCAGGAACATATACTGCTGCAGCTTGGACACGCGTTCAAAGGGCGGCGCCTTATCCGAGCTGTACGTTTCGCAGTTGTTGCAAAAAATCTTGGAATCGTACAGGTTGAGTCGGGCATCTTGTAGACTCCGGCCGAGTTCTTTCTGGCAACGTGAGCAGTTGACACACGTGATATGCCACCTCTTGTCGCCGCTCTTTGCACACTCGTCCTCAATGGGCTTTTTGCAGAGGGTACACGAGTCCGAGTCCGAGGCCGAGAGGCGAGCCATGCCGGACGTTAGCTGCAGCGTCGTCGTCGAGTTATCTTCGGTCTTTAGCGCCTCAAGGTCATTGAGCTCATCCAGAAACCCATCGAGACCATCGGCGGTGTCACGCTCTTTCTCGATCCGCAATGCTCCTTGTAGGCAGATTCGAATAAGGAGCTTCAGGTAATGGGCTAAACCAGTAACGAGTGTTAACAGTTCTTGGGTAACACCGAGCTTACGGGCACCCTTATCCTGTGTTTTGGAAAGTAGCGAGAAGAATGCCACGATCTTCTTGCACAGAAGCTTGGCTTCTCTTCCATACATCAGGCCTATAATTCATCAGCCACCATCATCATTAGCTTTTCGGGGATGCGCTCAAGCATCCTGGGGGATTTTCTCACCTGTCATATCTAGCCGTTCCATAGTAGCGTCAAGCCTATCCGCTGAGTGGAACAGTATATCAACGTGCCATATGAACTTTTTAGCTACCATGACACCGTCGACATATGCTCCATTGCTCACGTGGAGAAGCATATCCGATATGCAAGCCGCCGACGACTCTTCGAAAGTCGAAAGCACACTCCAAATACGGTAGACCTTCTCCTCCATGCGTTCCTCTTCGTCCCGGACTAGTTCACGGCCAGCAGGGTCATCTGGCACCGGCCCGAGAGCTTTCTGTGGGGGATTTAACCTGACGTTCCAGAACTTGTGAATCATGTAGCATTCCGGATGCCAGTGTTGATTTTGACCGTTTCGGAATATCTCGACAAACTGCTTGAGGATGGCAGTCTGGCAGCCACTGCAACGTTGGGCGTACTGTGTCGAATAGTGGTAATGGCAGTAAACATGTCCATCATGCTCGTAGTAGCTATCCTGAGCGCCGAAGACAGTCGGGCAAAGCGAGCAGGTAAAGTGGTCGACGTGGTATTTGCGATCGAGGGCCGTGATGTAAGAGCCCCGAAGAGCACCGCCACACTGGTAACACAGCAAGCCTAACCTGCGAAAGTAATCCGTTTCGCAGAGCGGATACTGACCCTCGCCGTTGTTGTCGTCGGCTGGGAAGAACTTGGAAGCCACAATTTGACCGCAGTCCTGCACATGAGCTGGTTAGCCACAAAGTCCACAACGGGCGGCTGAAACAGGGACTCACGCGACACTTGAAGCAATCCAAATGAAAGGTCCCATCGAGTGCGCGAACAAACTGGCCCGTCAAAGGTTCACCACATTTCTTGCACACTCGCACTTGTCCGCTAGCTGTCCTCGACCCCTTTGGCTTCGACCTGTTCTTCTCTCCACTGCGTCTTGATTCGAGATCTGTAGCATCGGCGGCGCTCAGCGCAGGCGATCCTGGAATGCGAGTCAAGTGGGCATTTGTAGGGGCGCCGTTTTGTGATATCGTTGGCGTGATATCAAGATGCTCGTCCTCTCTCCGATGCGCAACTTCACCTTGTGGGTGCCCCTGGGGATGTCCATGGGTGTATTCGCGGTCGCCCACGGGGCCGCCGCCGTAGTCTGAGCTGGCCATCTCGATGTTGGTCTTTGACCCTTGATGTAGTTCGAAACCCCAAGCTCCTAAAATGTTTCGATGTATTTCCAAAGAGGGGCGAGCAGCGATCGCGAACGCGGCGAATTATGGATGTAGGTTGGCGGACAAAGGCGCGTACGTCCACATCAAGCGGGGGCTCAAGCCCAGTTGGTCGAGACGAAAGGGATACGGCAAACTAAATGCCAGATGTCGCAAAACGACACCGCAACAGCCGCAGTCGAGGGTTTGCCAGTCGGTCTATAGTCGTGCGCGTAACTGCCTAGCGCGCTGTTCTGGCGAGCCCGACAGTTAGGGGTTAGTTGCGACTGGGGGGATGAAAGGGCTTTGGTGTTGGCCGCCTCGATGGGGACACGGCGTGGATGGTTGTCGACGTGAACTCAATGGTCGTGTCGAGAGGCAGAAGGGGATAGTTTGATGACCCGGGCCGGTGTAGCGGACAGGGGCTTGGAGAGCGTTCGTGGTCGTTGATTATGAACTCGGGCGCCGGCCCAGTGTGTTCAGACAGGCCAGGGCAAGCAAGGATCGGGCAATCGTCAGTCGGTCGGGAAAAGGGCGTCGACGGCCACGGGGTGAAGATGGATATATGGGGTCGAGCTGGTCGAACTCGAATCACGATCACGGCGCGCTGAGTGCAGTCGGCGCCAATCAGTCGGCGGCGGTGGTATAAGCGGTGGACGGTGGCCGTGTTGGTGGACAAGTGGACGTAACGGTGGACGGGGGACGGGATTGCGATGGCTGGCAAGACGGGACGCCCGACTGAGTGCCTCTCTGCTGCTGCTGCTGCTTGTACACGAGGTGTATCGAGATGTCGGGGCGCTAAGGTCGGGGTTTGGCGAGGCGGCGGCCACAAGGGCGTGGAGGTGGCCGGGGGGAGGACGGTCGATTGGTAGCACTGGAGAAGGGAACCTGGGCTTGCGGTCGGGCGTGGTGTCGCCTGTACTTGGGCGGTCATAGAGGTAGGTAGTCCGCGGTGGAAGTGCGGTCGGGTGTTAGGGGAGTCCAAAGACCTAGAGCTGGAGGTACTGACCACCTCCCGCAGTCAGTGCCAGCGGCCCGGTGCGTCGGGTACCTGGAGGTAGGTACAGTACATACACCTCTTAGGTAGGTACCTCTAGGTACCTAGGCTGCAGGTGTCCCTGGGTGTTTTGCTGCATTGAGATTGTGGATTTCCTTGTATGTAGGCAAGTTTGGGCCACCACCTCAGGGCGAGATTCCAGCGGATCTGTCCCTGCACTTTTAGTCAGGTACCTCTAGAGGTACTCCCCTTGGGTCGGGCAGGACAGAGCGGCAGCAGCAACAACTTGAACCTAACGGACGGGAACAATGACTTTGGAGCAGCAGCAACAGCGATCTACGGGCCCCGCCACAACGGCGGAGTGCAATTTCCAGGCCTGCCTCTAAAAACGAGGTGGAATAGGACCAGCCTACCTAGCATTTCCATCCGACTTTCCTACCTACCTACCTACCTAGGTACCTTTAGTCTAACATCTGGCCTGGGCTACCCGGCAACGTGAATCAAAATAATAATAAGACAGAGACAACTACCATGGCGGGCGCCTGCAGAGAAGAATATATAAAAAAAAAAAAAAAAAAATGACACAGAAACAGGCAGCGGAGATCCCTCTTACGGTGCGTCGAGGGCGGGCAGACAGGCATTTAAAGACGGGATGTTAATCCTCGATCTGTGCGTGTGGCCCTGTGGACGGAACAGCCCGACACGAGCTACTACTACGACTAGGTACTGCGAACGGAAGGGGGCCGGCCGCGGTTTACATGCAAATAACACGTATGCCCTGTCACTTGGATGTTTGGGAAACCTCATCAGGAACGAGGGGCGGGAAGGGGAAGTCGTACACATCACCCCTGGTTTAATTGCTAGCTCGGTACATACAAGGGTTTTTGACAGGGGAATGACAAGGGGGGTAACAGGGAATAAAACCAATAGATTTGCGCATGTAGAGCCTTCGGATTTTGAACTGGGAGAAAGAAGTGACGGAAAATTAGTTAATTTACTATACTAAAACTAGGGAAAACCGAATACCTTTTCGTACCCGCTACAATCAACTAATATTAGGTATATCCTCCCTTCACCTTAATAACTGCCTAAATTCGTTTGGGCATCGAGTGCACTAACCATAGAAGGTAATCTTCTAATATAATTTCCTATACCTATAATATAATAGATTTAAGGGTTAACCCAATTAATTATACTAAATATTTATATTTAATTTAACTCTTTATTCAATTCTAGATATTTTCAATAGGGTTAAAATCGGGGGAATAAGGGGGCTAAGGGACAACCTTTATAAAATTGAAAATTTAAATTATAAATACTTTCGTTACTTATAAACTATAAAATAGCGTATTATTCTATATAATATAAAAGGACGAATTTTGTAACTAAAATTAGTATAAAAGAAGGATAATATATTCTTAATATAATTTAGTAATAATAGTACCCCAATCCTTATAGTTCTAAAAAATAAAAGTACCCTTTATCTTACCCGCAAAACAAACCTAAAACATCTATCCCCGAAATTTTAATTTAATTTTAGCAAAATTATTAATATTCTCGTCTTTAAAGAAGGTAATAAATTAACAGCCTTTATTAATACTATTTACCTACGTTTTATTAAATTAAATCTAAGACTCCTATTTAAATAGGGTAAGGCTAGCTTATTATAAAACGAATTCGAAATAGAAATAATAAATCCTTTTACTAAGGGGGAGGTACGTAGGTTATTTTACGTAATAAACACCCTACTATTCCAAAGTAATTTGGATAGTACGTTCCCCGTATAATATAAATTTAAGAATACACTTCTTAAATTCCCCTAGAGTAAAGAAATATTTGGACTTTATAGGAATATTAATATAATAAAAAACAATATCCTTAATAATAGGAAGAACAATAAGTCGCTAACTATAGGTATTATACCTAGGGATATTAATAATAAAATATATATATTACACCTATCTATTCTTAAATTAAAATCTAAGTACTAATAAATTCTAATTAGGGGATTATTAACTTTATAATTAGGTTAAAGCGTTTAGTAATAACTTTATACTCTATATTAATATACTACTATAATACTTTATAAATAATACACTCTTTATATATAATAATAGTAACCTTCTTCTTTTTAGGGGACTATCTCCCTATAAAAAATAATTTAGTAAAGTTAATTAATAAGGAGAAGGAGGTATTAACACTGGGCGAAAGTAATAATAGGGGGTTTTATAATAATTATATAGGTAGTACGCAAATATTACGGGCTTAATTTAATTAATATTATAATTAAAGCGGAGTAGGACCTTCGAATTTAAATAATAATAATTGTAAGCGAAGTATTAAGAATAATAGTTAATAATAAATAACGTATAATAACTATTTAGAAGGCCGATATACTAACCGGGTACGGCCGTAGTAGCGTAGTAATATAATAAAATAAAAGGAAGGATTTATAAATTATACAACGGATTCCCTACCTTAGTACCGTACTCGCTACAACTACAATCCAACTCATACGTACAAACGAAATTTTCGTCGTCGTTAGTAAAAATATCGCTATCTTCTTTTTAATATTAAACTCCTTCGTTTTAAAGAGGGGGTTAAGGGTTAAGAATCTAAGGGAATTAATAAAGTACTAAAATAAAAGAGGGTTAATAAAGTAAATTGAATAAAAGAAAATAAAAAAGAAGGTTGTATATAAAAGAGTAGATTTAAACAAGAAAAGATTATATATAACTAATTAATTAATTATTAATATTTACTTATATATAGGCTAAAGGGTAGTATATACGCGAAGTAAATATATATTTTAAGGTTTTAAATTTTATTAATTTTAATTGAAATTCAGTATTTATACTACTTTTTAAATTTATTTAGGTAATTTAGGTAATTTATATACTTCTAATCAAAATTATAATTTTTAGAAAAATCGTTAATTTACTAACTATTTTAGCGAGTAATCCTAAAATCTAATTGGTTAGTTAAACTCAAATGCCCTATAAGTACGCTGTAACTTTACTAATTATAGAAGGTAATAAGGGGGTTTTAAGTAATTTAGGTAATTTTGAGCCAGTATAAGAAGGATTGTGTGTGTGTACTCTATCAACTCGTTCTCACTTTGAAATCGGTCGATTTCAGCTAATCAAAGGCTGTAAATAGACGTATCCCGCCTTACAACCCCCTTTATAAAAGTATATAGGGCAGGAACCACGCTAACAATTAAACAAGGGTTAATGTGTATATAACAGCATCCACATGGGATGATGGGAGGTAACACAGCATTACCCAGGCACGGGGGATGACATCCATACCTTACATCTAAACTAAAGAAAAACGAGAATGAAAAATAAAACAGGACCCAAAGCTCTAAACGTGGTCACCCCCCTTTCAATACATCGGAGAGGCGCCTACCTCTTCCAAGCAAAGCTCGGCTTATCTAGGTAGAGGTCCCTAACTGTTGTACTGCCAGCCTGCTTCGCAGCATCATCTGCATGCTTGATATTTTTGTCATGTTCGAGGTGAGGAAGATCATGGACAGCGCGCGGCTGAGATGATTGGGAAGTGAGGGTCTTGGATGCCACTCCGTCGTCAACGACAAAGTGGAGACCTTGCTCAGGCATGAGACCCGAGAGTGGAAAAAGAATATTGGGCAATATGAACCCCTTGAGGTTTCTGTTCACCTTCCACATGGAACCCCTCTTCATCAAGGTCTCAGCAATAAACATGATACATGGCCCCCACGTATATCAACGTCTTCACAAAACTTTTGGCTCACCAGTAATCACATCATTCATTGCTCCGTGTTCCTAAATCCAAAGTGAAAACCAAGAGTAGCCCGAGAGGTAGTTGATGGAAACAAAGAAACTGAAGTGTCCAATATCTTGTCTAGACCCACCAAGTACACATACAATCTCCACTGAATAGGCTCAACGATGGTGCCAAGAGTTCGGCCAAGACTTTGGGAACGACCCTGAAATCAAACAGCCTAAAAAGATCCCCCCTATCGCCAACCAAGCTGCCGAACCTAGCCAACTTCAACCGAAAATGAGACAATGCGGTGCTATACCGACAACAAAATCCCATAAGAAAAGAAAAACATGAGTGAGTGGTGTCCGGTTTCGTGTTACAAGCCAACCAACCTCCTCAGTCTCTTCTCAATCATCTCGCGTCCCTCCAAAGTCCGCCAGACTTGATGAGGCGCCTGGTCTACAATGTCCCAATTTTCCAGATTCGATGTGAGGTGGGTTAGATCTCGTTGCTGTGTATGGTAAATATTGACATCAGCAAACGCTTCCTCCTGACAGGACAGCAGAAAGAAGAACACGTTGGGCTATCGGGCTTCATGACATACCTTGCTCTCCCACTCGCTGTCCTTCCGCATCTGCACCCCAGACGTCACCACCACCACGGGTGTGGTCTTATACTGGATGGTTCTGCTGGACACCACATCTCGTCGGGTGAGCGAATTGGCCACCAGACTCTCCTGCAGCTTCGCAAAGATCACCCCTCCGGACTGGTAAGCAGACCCGCCGTAGATGCGGTCCCTGGCGCTTCGGTGTCGGAGGATGGCGGCGGGGATGCGATCAAGACCGCATGGGGAGAGGACGCCTTGCAACCAGAGGCGGAAGCCACGGCCGGGAGCCCCGACTCGTCCGAGAAGGTCTTCGTGCAATGGATCGATCATGAGAAGGCCGCGCACCTCTTGGCCGTGTCGCGAGCTGAAGACCCGTGAGTACAGGGAACCGATGCCAGCGCTGGCAAGCACCCAACTGCGAGGAACATGGTTAATGCTGCTGTGGAAGGGGGGAAAAGAAGGGGTTTATGGGGTACCACATACGGTCCTTCCTCTCCTGCGCGCGATAACGCTTGACTCAAAACATCAGATGCCATGCTTGCCGAGAGTGGTGAAGGGGCTGCGTCACTCTATCAAGTCCCGATTTGTTAGTCCATGAACCGAAGAAAAGAGGAGAGACGTTCAAATTCACATACCCAGGCGATTCCCGGCCGATCAGCAAAGCAATATCTGGCGATGGAACCGTTTTTGACCGCGTTGTCAGCAAACTGCCAGAGCTCACGCTCAACCGCATCCTCACCACCCTCAAAGAGCACAGTAGTCGTCCTGTTTCCATGAGCATCCACCTTGGGACCAGAACAGAACAGATGGATCTGATACTTGTCCTCATCGACCCAGTACCGCTCTCCGGGCGGCGCTACTCTCGCGTCTAGAGCGCGGAGTGTGAGCGTGCAAGTCGTAAGCAGCACAACGATCGACACGAGCGTCAACATGATGCTAGACAAAAGCACCTGTACCCATTCGAGCAGTGTACGCCTCGTCTCCGGGCGGCCCGTGAGCCGTTCTTCTTCCTCAGTTTTGCCCCACTGGCAATTCCAGCCGAGTGTCAGCACGTTCTGTCAACCAAAGGTTTCCTCTCCATGATGTTTTCAAGAGAGAAAGAGAGCCAAAGAAGAAGAAAGAAAAAATCTCACCTGCACAGTCCGATCAGCCGCCACCGCCCAAACAGCCATCAAGGTCGCCCATATCACGCTAGCCACGCCTACCCACAACTCCTCATGCCTCGTCTTCTCCACCGCCAGCATCATGACCACATCCACAAGCAACAACGCCGCCGTAACAATGCTCACCACTCTCGCGGGTTGACTCGGCACCGCAAAGAACAGCAAGCTGGTAATCAGCGTGATCAGGGCAATTGTAGTATAACTAAACGCAAAAAAGGGCGATCCGCGCGCGTGCAAACCGGGCGGAGTCACAAAGACCGAAACCAGCATCAGCACCCACCAGATGAAGGTGAGGCAGGTGAAGATGACGGTGATGGCGCGCACGAGCCGAACCGTCCAGAGGTTGTAGGGGGAAACAGCTGGGTCGTCGGGTGAGAGGTAGGAGATGCTGGTGCTGTCTACCCGGTTGGGGAGGAGGCGGGTGTGCTCGTCGGGTTCGTGGTGGTGAGTGTCGACGGAGGACCGGCCAACGGCGAGGTCATCCCGGTCCCGGCCGGGGTCGGAGGCTCCGTGGCCGTTGTGGGGCCAGTTCTTGGTGCTCATTGTGTTTGGTTGGTATCAACCCAAGATTGCGTTGCTCTAGGACGGCGAGGAAAGTGTGTTGAGAGGGAGGCTTGTAGACAGGTTTGGACCCGCCAGGTATAGATGGTATCGATGATCGAGCTAAAAATTGCTGGGGTTTCGATGTGTCTCGTCTCACGAAATACTACCTACACAAGACATCGGTAAAAATGAGTGTGTAAACGGATGAGCAACCAAGCACTTGCATGAGGTTGAGCGGGTTATGGCTCAACTGTCTTATGCAATGAATGGGTCAGTCTAACGTCGTCCGCGTAACATGTAATCCGCTTATCTCTGGAGATTGTTGCAGGGTTCGAGAGCCGGAGAGGAAGATATCAACGAAACTTGGGACAACTCCTGATTCTATTAAGTCTTTTTTCTCCAAAGTGGACGGACGACAAGGGATAAAAGCTGGGTGTGAACAAAACCACCTACGTCATGAACCAACCCCACACTCATACCCGATTGGTCAATCTCGGTTGGTGGTGTTAATGGTGCTTGTGTGCCCCCCTAGACCAACTTTCACAAAACAACAGAGTGTGCCTACTCATCTTGCGCATTGTTCGAAATCCTCTGAGGGCACCTGATTGTTCAGATCGGATCATGGGTTATTGTATCATGTCGCGTGGTGTAAAAACGCGGGGCAGAGCCCCGCCGTGTTGCTGGGATCGATCGGCGTGTTTTCAGGAAAGGTACGTATGGTAAGTAGGACCGTGTTACCGGTGCGTACGTTGTGGCGGTTCATGAAAGGTTTTGATGTCTACATAGTAGGTAGGTACTGGGTGTCAACCGGAATATGGAATGTACCCGCTTATAAAAGAATACTTATTTAAGGTTCATCGCTCAGGATTTTGATAAGTGTGACGACGCAGTGGTCGCACAGCGGCGATGGAGGCTCGGGGGCCATGGGAGGAAACCACCAACTTCAAGTTGCGTGTCCAGTCGAGATCACTGGACTATATGGAATTCAATTTCCAGGGATGTCCAAACCATATGAACGACCCCGACGTGTTGATGATCGAAGTGAGCTAACATATTAGGTAGTGAAACCAAAGCCATACCTTCACCATATCCCGCTTATATGCATCTTCAAAACCCGTCTTCCCGAATATGGCCGAGCCAAAGCAAACTTTCACCATCCACTCGTGTCCCACGGAACAGCACTACTCCCTCCTAAAACCGATCCCTTCCTACTCGACCCCGACCCAACCGTCGACGAAGCAGTCCCGGTCCCGGTTCCAAACCCCAGACCCCCAGACATAGTAGACGACGACACTGAGCCCAACCTGACAGGTGATGACCCTCCTCTTCCACTACTACCTATACTCCCCCTCCGTAGTTCCTCCTCTATTTGCCTCTTCTTCCTTTCCGTCTTCTTCCGCATCAGTACCTCCTCCGGCGTCGGCCCCGTGGTCGGCCTTATCGCGTCCTCGGGGATCTTGCCCATGGGCGCATGCAGTTTCGTGTGAGCCTCGGAGTCGTTGGGTGATACACCTGCCCGCTGGAAGGCTTCCTGCTTGTATTGGCTGAGCGCTTGCATGGAGGGCTCGCTGGTTGAGGCCCAGTCGGCTACTTTGCGAAAAATTCCGCCCAAGAACTTGCCGCTGGGTTTCCCGCCTCCTCCTCTAGCCTTGGAGTGTTTGGCGGTGGTTGTTGTTTTTGATTTGGAGGAGACAGAGCTACTACCGCTGCGGCTTGTTGATGTTCTTTGGATGGCCATGATGCTGTCGTCGTCTCGTGTTGGAAAGCTGCTGCTGCTGCTGCCGGTCTTGGACATCTTTTGAAAGTTTTCGTGGAGTACCCGTGGGTGTGTGTCCCACCTGCCAACACTTTTTCAATTGCCAAGATGCTTCAAGATGGTGGTAGTGTATATATCCGGTCTTTGGTACATTGACAAACGTCCTGTGTAGATGGCTTTCGACTCTGGCAGCTTTTCTCCAAGCGGTGTGAGAATATGTCCAATAGACCGGCCGTTCAGCCCAGAAAAGATTAGGCCACGCTCGGCCACGTACTGGCAAGGACAATCTGGCAAGCCTCAGCTTAGGACCGAGACCACAACAACTACACAGTAGGTTCGGTTCCACAAGACGGGACACCGGAGCAGCCTATATCAGAAATCTTGGCTTCTGTATCTGGAAAGTCTGACCCGACAGGGAAATGCGTGAAGAAACCGGCCTGTATCCGAGACTGAGAAGGATAATGAGGTCCATCATTGGCATAAAAACATCGTACTATTTCGTCGCTGTTGCCTTTCCGGCTATTGAGTTCGTTGTCTGAAAGTCGAATGGCCAACCTGCGAAAGAAATCTCTGTGAAAGTCTGAACGTCCTTTTACGTGGGTCAGCAAGGAGCGATAAATCATGTATAATCTCATGCGGTATCAACTGACCTATGGTGGGTGAGATATTCAAGTCCCTCTTACAAAACAGTGGTCTCTGGGCTTGGCGAGCTTAAACGCTTATCTCTGGTCTCGATCTGATGATATGTCGTCGAGAATGTTGGGGTCGGAAGACAAATGCGGCCGCCCAGCGAGGGGGGAAAAAAAAATAAAAAAATAAAAATAAGAGAAAGAAAAAGGAGAAAAAGAAAAAAAAAGACACGATATCTGCAAATAAATTACTGGAAATTAGCACCCAACTGAATCACGACAAGAGCTGGACGGGAAACACGAATAGAAGCAGAAACGGACGTGCTGGAAGCACAATACTTATTAAGCTTGATCAGATTCTGTCCGCAGAAGACAGCCGATGGTCTTGAAGAAATTCCGATGGCTAGAAGACCGAAGCGGGTCTGGCCAAGTACCCTGCTACCGAGTAGACTATGGTAGAAAAGATAGGTACGTTAACGTAGTGCTACGCAGTGTGTAGACTTCAGCTGCATATTTGAATGTCGCAAGACAGCATGCGCGTTAGCGAGTCAAAAGCAAGCCGTTGCTGCATGGTCGTGACGGCATTTACAACATGTGCGAATTAAGATGACTATGTATGTTCCTCGACTTCCATATTCTGAGAGCCAATAACCACAACCGGCTTAAGGACCGCGGGGCCGGGAGCTGAAGGGTCGTGTTCCATTGATAACGTGGAAGCCATGTGCGCGTATCAGTGATCAACAGGGCGTTCAGTTTCCCAACTACACTAGTGTACTTGTGGAACAGCGCCTTCACCGATTCTCCAAATGCTGCGCGCACTGGTACAGTATCGTGAAAAGCAACCAGTAGGGAACATGATCGAATTACAGCATTAAAATTTTGGGGAAATCTCAGAGTTACCATCCCGCTTGGCAGTGATAACATGAATGCAAGCCCACCTGGATGCAGCCGAGGTGCCTTGTTACTGGCATTCCCCCAAGCCAAACAAAAGCCACCGATTCGCAACGTATTCCAGGTTGGCGTTGTTGGTGCAGCACTGGACGGGAAGTCTGGCCACTCCACCGGGAACAGCATCACACAAGGCTCTGCAATATTGGATTTGAACATCAGTAACTGGCCCAACATCTATACCGTTTGTGGCGTCCGTCCAAATTGTTGTTGATGTTGGATAAATCACCAAATACGACCCTTACCTACAGTTGTATGGATGGTCGGTCCTTGGCCTTTCGAGTTAGGAGAGGGAGAGAGAGACATACCCCTACTCACAGGCAAGTGCGGGTGCTAAGGGATGAAGGCTCGGCTGTCAGATTACGCGCTCAGATATTCCATGCATGACAGACCCGGACTGTTCGTAGTTCGTATGCAGTGGAAGACCGGACTTGAGTTTAACAGAAAGAGGCCTAGCGACTGGGTAAACGAAAAAGCAAAAGGCGCCCCCCTCCCAAGGCGGCACCCCTACAAAAAGAAAAAAAGAAAAAAAAAAAAAAAAAGAGGGAAAAAAAAAGGGAAGAAAAAGGCGAAAGGAAGAAAAAGTGCCCGGGAAAAAGAAGAGACACAGGACGGAAATCGTGTACAATCGAACTCTCGGCTGCAGTCTGCGAAGCTTCCATTGCATGTAGTGTATTGTAGATGGAGGCCAACGGTCAACATGTCTCGTGCGGTTCACCCGTTGCATGCGGCGATACTGTCCGTCGAGTGCTGACTGGATCAGATATTATAGGCAGACCCGTACATAGTAGTTACCTAGGTAGGTAGACAGGAGTCGTCGGACTCATCATGAGGTAAGTAACTGGAGATGGTTCCCCGAGGAAACAAACCCATCCCGCCAAGACCTGGACGGAGTCACACAGTGTAGCAGGGACTACGGGGCAAAAGCGAAGCCTTCCCGAATGGGAAGATTACATAATCAGATAGATCTAACGCAGCGAGTACATACCTACCTATACTTACTATAGCATCTTCTCCAATAAACCTCCCGACTTCACTGCTCCGTGCGCAGGGATTGGCCACTGTCGCCTATAAACATCACAACGCCCGTCGACAAGGGTGCAGCTGCCTGTTTTTCTGCAATGATGAACGGATGATCCAACTTGAACCAACCGCTTCATAATAGTTATTACACCAAGGGAGCTGAACAGAACTTGCACAACACCCAGCGACTTCCATTCCGGTGATTCAGCAAGGATTGAATTTCCCGGCAGCCGGCAAGGCTACTCATTTACACTAGTCGCACCAGACGGATTGATTGTTGCGGTTGAGCCCCTTCCCGGCCCCTCTTCCTCTCCCCTTTTTTTTTCCGATCTTCTAGCATCAGAAAAGGGGCGGATTCACACATAGACATATCTTTCTGGGCGCGATCGTGCACTCGTCCAATGGGTTTCATGCCGGGCCTTACAATAACCACCCGCGTCCCCCGGGACGCCGGGACCACCAGCCCGATCGGCTCGAGCGGCACTGCCGGGGATGTGGGAGCCCCTGATGCGGAGACCCCACAAAATGCGCCCTCACCGACCCGCCCGCCCGTTAGCCCCATCACCCCGACTCAGGAATCGGCACGGTTGTCCGGTCCCGATGGCCATGGAGATGGTCCGATTCATGAACAAGCACATCGCCATCGTCACCGTCAACAACATACAACCTTTTCATCATCAGCATCAACATCATCACATTCACTGACGCCACCCTTCACAAGCACTAACAATAATGGTAATAACAACAACAACAACAACATCACCAGCTTCGCCCGAGGGCGACCCACATTCACGCACTCACAAGTAGACCAAGTCGGCATTCCTCCGCCGCCACCGCAACCCATAGCCTTCGACGACAACCCGGACGTGCTAGCGCTCAAGAGCGCCATCACCATCTTGCAGCTGCAGCGCCAGCGAGCCACGGCAGACATACAGGCGCTGAACCGAGCCAAAGCTGCTGCGCTTTCGGACCCAGGGGCGTTCGTTGCTGACTTGGCGGCGGGGAGGATTGGGATGGATGGTGATCCGCTGCTTAATGGGCCTGGACCTACTGGTGATGGTAGTAGTGACGATGATAACGATGATGATGAGGATGGGGATGAGGATATGAACTCGGAAGGAGACAGTGTTGATGGCCAAGATGATGGCGATGATGGAGCAGAGGTCCCCCACGACCCAGACGGTGATATATCCATGTCCGGCGCCGGCGCTGGGAATACCTTATCTACATCTACCCCTAATTGTAACAGCAACAACAGCAAACGCAAAATACCAAGGAGGAAAGACCGCGTCAGCAAGACAACAACAACAACAACAACAAAACAGCCACAAGGCCTCTCCAAAACCTGGCGCTCCCTTCCCAAGCCGCAAACGGTCGTCCGCTGTCCGCCCATCAACTGGGCCCAGTACGCCATCGTAGGCGAGTCGCTTGATAAGCTGCACCGCGAGCAATTGACGGCGCCTACGCTGGGGGTACCTGCGGTTCTTAGTGTCGGAGGGGTGTATGAATTCAGAGGGACAGCGGCGGCAGCAGGAGCAGCACCAGGAGGAGGTGTTGTTAGCGTTGGTAATGGGGGCGGTTATGCCATGGGAGATACCACGGTAACAACAGACCGGACCTCTACGCCACCAACGACAACGATGGCAACCACGGCTGGAACAGAAGCGCAGCAGTCACCAGGGGAGACATCGGGACAGGGACAAGGGCAAGGGCAAGGACAAGGACAATTTCCAACACTAGGACGAAATGAACAACCGCAGAGATTGGTTGGTGTTGCAGCGCCGTACACGCCAGGCAGAGATAAGATCGAGAGGACGACAGGCAGGAAAGGAGCCAAGCGCTGAACTTGACATTTCCCAAGACATATGAAGGAATTCGAAGTGGCCTACGAATGGGATAGCATGGCGTTAGGGTATTATGGGGTATGGGATTAGCAAGAGAATTTAGTTTAGCGAGCGATCAGGAATGGAATGCTTCTGTTAGTCACTTATGGACCGGTAACAGACCCAATCTGGAAACTACGTACACGCACCGGCATCATACTGTTCAGTCTGGGCTTTGTTGAAGGAATTCGTAGCTTCGTATGACATGTTTAGCATCTGTCCGTGGATCAATATCCAGCTCACCCCTTCATCCAGCCAACATGTCTTGAAAGAGGCATGCCTAGTCGTCCATCATTCAAATGTCATTAGATATTATTATACGGCGGGACAGACAGTACGGCGCGTTCCAGCACGCGAGGCCCGACTTAATTCGCCCCATCAGCGCTTGTCCAATGTTTCATATACAGTTATCATGCCTTCCGTCGATATTTGCTTCTTTCACCACCACACCACCACACCCTTTATCCCTTCCACATCCAATGCCTGCTACACCTATTGCAACTTCTCCCCCTTCTGCTGCTCCAACGTCCACTTAACCGACCTCTTCACCGCCTCATCCAACGGCACCAGCGGCTTGTATCCCAACCGCTTCTTAGCCTTGGAAATATCGTAGTACCTCGTCATGCAGCTATAAATGATGCGCTGCCTATTAAACGTCGGCGGCTTGCGAATGATCCCAAAGAAGACTTCCGACAAAAAGCCCAGCACAATACCAACATCGCGCGGCAAAACCCACACGTGCTCAGTCCCATGGGGAGATCCCGCAGCGTTCCACACAGCCCGGCAGAAATCCCAAAAGTACACGGGCGAGTCGTTGGTAATGATGAAGGCCTCGCCGTCGACGCGCTCATGGTCTAGTGGGGCGATCTTGAGCTTGGAGGTTTGGAGGAGGGCGACGGCAGCTAACAAGTGACCGTGCGCTACGTTCTCGACGTAGGTGAAGTCGAAGAGGTTGTCGTTGTCGCCGACTTGAACGGAGGTCTTGCCGTTCTGGTACAGCTTGATAAGGTGGTAAAGCGTCATGGTGTCGCCTTCGCCCATGATGCCTGAGGGACGGATGGAGCAGGTGAGCAGGGAAGGGGCGGCGGCGGAACGGTTGGCCTGGAGGACCAGTTCTTCGGCGGCGGCCTGGAGGGACGGGGAGGTTAGTCTTGGGATGCATCACTCTTGGGGTATATGGGAGAGAGGGGAAGTAGGAGGGTACCTTTGTCTCCGAATAGTACTCGCTCTGCTGGGCTCCGCGGATGACGGGCCAGCGTTCGTCCGCATTGATGAGGTCGGACTTGTTATCACTCATCACACTGGCGGAACTGGTGTAAACGAGGGCGGTAACGCCCGTCTGCTGACACGCCTTGATGACGGCGGCGGTGCCGTCGACGTTGACCTTCTTGAATAGCGCATGGGAGACGCTATCGTTGGACTGGGCGGCAGGCGACGCGGTGTGGATGACGACCTGGGGCTTGACCTGGTTGAAGATGGTTTCGAGCCTGGCGGCGTCGGTGATGTCGGCCTCGAAGTATTGGACGCCATCCGACTCGGGTCGCCGGTTCCGCGTGCAGCGTAGGTCGATAACGGAAACGGAGCAGATGTAATCGCGGAGGAGCACGCGGACAACGTGGTGACCGAGGAAGCCACAGCCGCCAATCACCATGACGGAGCCAAGCTCCGGCTTCTTTTCTGAGGCCATCGTGGGATGTATGCGGGGTAACGACAAGGGAAGAGCAATGGATTGGAGCGTTGGGAGAAAGGCAGGAAATATGGACTGAAGGAGGGTCAATTGGAAAACTGTCTAGTTCTAGAGCAAGGGACGTGGGATGGGTAGGTAGGATATCTTCGAAGCTGGGGGACAAGGATGCCATTTTGAGCTATAGATTGCAACCTATCAGGGACATGCCACTGTGTGTCTGGCTCCGCGTCTCGGCTCCAAGCGCGCCACTTACCTAGCTCTTGGCAGCCAGCGAGGTACCGACACGGCGACACGCCTGTGGAAAACATCGTGACCCCCTTTTTAAGAAGCTGGATTTTGGGCGGAACGGAAGGGCAAAATGAAGGACCCCTGTTGTCCATCAAGGTCGACGGGGTGCGGCTCGCAGTGGACCTGAGTGGATGAAGGCGCACAGGGACCCGTGCTCTCCCATCTTCCAAGTTCCAACATCGTGAGACCTTGCCAAAAAGGTGGAACCTATCGATCGCGCCTGCACATAGAGGTACCCAATGCGACGGGCACGCGGTTTTCCTTTTTCTGTTGCCGGATGCCGTCGTGCAGCCAGTCAACAATGCGCATTTGCTCCCTTTGTCCTCCCACAACGGCCACGGCGTTTCTCTTCACTTCCACCTCGTAAGAATCTGGAACACTTCACTGCCTGTCAGGCAACAGCCTTCCATTCAGCGTCTCACCAACTACCCATAAACTCATGATCCAGCGCACTTCCAACTTCTACATCTCGATTGCAACGCAGCCCAGCCCATTCCATGGCACTCGACTACCACAGCCTAAACTGGTGCCCTGATGCAGTGTGATGAACAACAAATCCGCGACCGAAATCCTCGTCCATATCACAGCTCCTAGCAGATCGAAAGACGATGCCAACTATAGAGCACTCGCCAATGCATATCACGACTTTGAGCCCACCACGCGCACATCCGTGTTCAGCAAGACAATATCACCAAATGCCGTAGTTCATCAGGCCGCCGTACAGCCTCAACCCGTTGGAAATGGCTCCCTAGGACCCTCCACGCAACCGAATCAGATCCTCCGGTCGTCTGAAGTAGCAGGATTCGTTGAAACCCCGGTGTTATCGTGGCGCGATGCCGCGAACAATTTAGCATCGCCCAGCTTGGGGATGAGGCACGATGAGCCTAGCCAATACTCACAGCTTTCATGGCAACCTCCTGCAAGCGTTGTTCAAGATTCACTACCAGACAACAATGTGACTTTGTCTCAGTTTTGCACACCGACAAGGCTGTTAGAGGACTATCTACATCCTGGTGATTCCAGTCAGTTTCTGTCGCCAGTCATAGAGAGGGCCCCGAGAGGACAGCAACCAACAGCCGCCCGGATCCAGAGTCAGCATGAGGGATACTCGACATTCCCCACCATCAGCCATATCTCGCAGCGGCGACAGGTGGTTACTGGCGAGCCTCGCATAGCGCTGTTACCACCGGATTTTTCTTTACAAGGGAACAGCCAGGAACATGCGGCGGAAGGCGATATTCAAAAGACCCTCAGTTCACCGATCAATACGGCCAAGAAATCTCATGTAGCTGCGCCATCAGAAAGGGACTTATCATGTCGTCAAGGCGCTAGGCGCATGTCAATCACAAAATATTCTCCCAGACGCCAAACACCAGCAGATCCCCGAGGAAAGGTTATACCTCTCTCGCCAGTGATAAACACCAACAACAAGCGCCGCCGACCCGTCCAGCATGGGCCGTCTCCCTCCTCCCGAGACAGCGACTTCACAATAGCATCATCACAGCCTGCTGCCCAAGAGCAAGTTCCACCCACGGACACCATCCTTTGCAAACAAGACTTGTCCAAACCATGTTTATCGTCATTCTGTACCGAATCCGAAGCACCACCAATCAACAAGTGTCGCCGCACATGTCCCGAGCCAGCGCCAGCACCGGCATCATCGTCACAAGCAGCCACGCCCGCTTCATTGACGTTTTTGTCCGCCCCCTCATCTTCTGCAAACCCAATCTCAAGTTCCGGAAAGCCCCTCGTCCGCTCTTCCAGTGATATCGGCCCCAGACAAGACGCTATCAAATCCAACCAGATCGCCTCACGAGGCGCCCGCCTCTCGTCCGTTCTCGAGCTCCACTCGCCCTGTCCTCCAACGTCCGATTACGTATTCGATCTCTCATCTTCTTCTTCAAAGGAGAAAGGAGAAGGAGAAACAGAAAAGGACCTCTCATTGATGACCCCCGTCCTCGCCAAGCTCGCCATCGACCTGAAACTCCCCAAACGATTTCAGCCCTCACTCCGAACGCGCGCCCTGCGCCCTTACGAGCGGGGCTACTGGCTGGTGGACTGCACGTCGTGGGACCGCGAGCTCAAGGAGTCGTGCTGGCTTTTTCTAGCGGACTACCTGGGCAGCGGGGCGGCGGGCTGGGGGGTCTGGTGCACGCGGGACGAAGCGTTCACTCGTTTGAGATTGTATTGCTGGGGCGCGGTGGTTGGTCACCTATACCTTGTCTTGTACATAATTAGCAAGCGGGAGGTGCTGTATACAGGGACGGAATGGGTGGATGGAGGCGGGGAGGTGGTCATTAGGATGGAAGCTAGGTTGCGGTCTGTGATGGCCACGGGGGTGGGCATGTTGAGTGCGAGGTAGGGCTCTAGGTTGTTGTGGCAGATTTGCATGGGCGTGGGAAACTGGTCCTGGTCTCAAGTGGACCGAAGCTGGGTGTTGCGGGCTCAGCTGATGAGTTGCGGGCGTTTAACAACCTACAGCCCTCTGTATCAGTGATATTGGGAGGCAACCAAAAACTTGAATTTGGCCCATGACTACTCTTCGTGTACATGAACTTTAGGTTTTGCGATGCAGTGTACTTCTGGTCCCGTCCTCATTCGGGTTCCTAGTTGGACACCCACACTCGTTCCTTTATTGATCCATAAAGATTATCCGATGATTCGCCTCGCTTCCCCAACAACCTTACAAATACATTTCGGTGCCACTCGAACAATAGAGTGCGACGGAGCATCGGCAACGAACCCGGCTAATTGTGCGACGATCGGAAGCTCATGGAGGTCGCTCGGAACCCATATAAATTCACGTGAACCGAACCGGAAAAGGGGCGTCGAGGGGCGTGATAACCACGCTCAAGCGGCAGCATGAGCGGCGGCGGCAGCAGCCCTCTCACTGAGGTATCTCTCCTTATCGACTGCAGCGTTGTCGATGTAAGGCTGGGTGAAGCATACAGTTGTTAACACGGTGATCAAGTCCGGCAAGAACGTCGTTGCGAACGGGGTAAGAGCCTGTCGCACTGCGATGGACAAGAGGGAAATGGATAATGAGGAAGGATTGAAAAGACCTACCTGTTTTGCCGCATCGTCCATGGACTTCCACTCCTCGGACAAAGCCTTCGCTATTTCCGGTAGGGGCTTACCAGCATACATGTCGTCCTTTTGGCGTGACATGCAGAAGAACAAAAAGGCACTCCTTAGGCGCTTTGGGCGCCGGTCATCGGGGATAGGATGGACGACCGAAGTGACACCAAGGCGCTTCAGCGCATGACGGGCATAATTGGCGTCCTCGATCTCCATGGGTGTCTTGGTGAGCACCCACGCTGCCCGCGTAGCCACACCATCCTGGTGAGCCTTGTCGGCCTTAGCTTGGTAGCGCTGTGTATAGAAAGACCGCAGTCAGCAAAGGAACAGGACAGAGTGTGGTACAAAGTTGAGAAGTAGCTGAAGGGTGGCAGAGGGAACATCACGGCATGGAGCTCCATAGGGCAAACTTACGGCTTTTTCAGCGTCCGACAGCTCCTTCCACTGTGCAGCCAACGTTTTGAAGTACCCTCTCCGCGTCGCGATATCATCGCCTTCTTTCAAGACGTCCTTCATGTGCTCACTTATGTACGCGGACCAAGCAGGAACTCGGTGGGTTTTGGGATCTTCTTTGAACAGCGCCCGCTGCTTCAACAGTCTGATCCTGAGCTTCTTCTTCTGCTCGTCCGTCAGCGGTGCCTTCTTCTTGGGCGCCTTGGGCTTCTTGGGCTTCTTGGGCGCAGCCTCCTTCTTGGCTCTAGGCGTCTTTGCCCTTGCGCCGGCTCCTGTAGCGCCCTCAGCGGCCGACTTCTTGGACTTTGCGGCGGCAGGACGAGTCTTGTTGGTCTTGGTGACCGTAGCAGCAGTATCGTCCGATTCGGCGGTGGTTTTCTTGGAGCGAGTTAGGGCGTAACCGCGCTGCTGAAAGACAACGCCGCTGCGGCGAAGGAAGCTGGGAGCAGCGGAGCGGGTGGTCAAGCTGGTGGACGCAGCCACGGCAGTACGAACGACCAGCGTGGTGCCAGCGCGCAGCTGACGAGCCGTCGCGCGCGCAATCTGCGAGAACATGTTGGGCTGTGGCGGCGACAGTGAGGTCGGGGTGGAAAATGGTGGTGGGAGGGAAGAGGGGAGAAGCTGTCGCGGCGCAGGTCAAGCAGGAATGTGTCTTGTTGCACGGCCAATTGCACAAGTTGGAAGGGAAGAGTGAAGCAATAGTGACAGCCGAGAGCCCTGTCCAAGCGGGAAGCTGGAGTGGGTCGGGGAAGATCAGTTTTACGCAAGATGGAGCCCGCACGGCAGACGGAGGGGGACCTCGAGGGCTCGTGCCCAGGCACTTGTGGATTTCGAGACTTGCAGGCGTAGTGTACACTACCTAAGTAGGTACCGTAGCGGTACGCAAGGGGACAGGTACCGGATGCTGTTTCAGTTCCTTAGGTACCCTAAGCGTGGTCCGATCTCGTGGGATTCCTCAAATGGAAAAGCCCGTCTCAAGAGGAACGGTAGATGATAAGGTGCGGACCGTTTTTGGTCGATGAGAGCTGTATTATGACCTTCGTTTACCCAAAATATGTATCTCTCTGTCTTGAGGTACTTGAAGGGCGTGTCCTCGTCAACGTGGACATGCGACAAGACGGCAAAGTTACAGGTAATATACGTCACATACCTAGATCAAGCTCCACAGGTTTGACCTCCATGGCACCAGTGGGTGGAGGCCCTTACCTCAGCGCGAGCTTCATCCTTAAGAAGAAACGCCTCCGCTTTAAGCTTTATTAGTCTACTAGAAGATTATACGATACCTCTACACACAGACGGAGGTCGAAGAGTAAACGGGATGTACTCAGCAGCAAGTAGGCTTCGTATCTGCGCGAAACTCTACATGTTGACAAGGTACCTTTACTTGGTACCCGGGTGATTTACAGTTGCGTACATGTATTTCTTACACTACACGGGCAGGCATTTGCAATTGAAAACCATATTGGAGCAAGCGCACGGTCCCTTTGGAGTCTGGGAGTTGCAGCACCCGCTTGGCGCTTCCATTGGCAAGTGGAACCACAAGCGAAGCCCAGGCAGCCGCAGAAGGCCTCTCCGGGGTGGCCACTGCACTCAGCAGCCCATTCCCGGCTCTTGCAAACTACAAACTTTCAACTTCCGCCTTGACGGAACCCAACGCTTAGTTGCCTCTTCGCTTCCTTCTCCACAACCCGTCTCGCGTCTTTTCAGTTTCTGGCCGCACCGCCGCACAACGCCTTTCCGACCTTGGAACTGACGCTCATACCATCGGCCGGATCGAACACGACGGAGGGCAGCCGAGTGCGCAAAGACCCTCTGATACGCTAACTGTGCATACCACGCGACTCGAAGTACCTCTCACCATCAGTGACATTGCTGAGCCAACGTTACTACCAGCAGTATGGCTCGGCTCAGGGACTCGCGCTCACCATCTCCTGCAGGAAGTCTCTCTGCGAGAAAACGAAAAGACGACGACCGCCGTGACCGCGACCGTCGCGATGGCCCTGTCGACCACCGCCGCCGTTCTCGCAGCCCCATAGACGTAAGTCGACCGTTTCCCCGTCCCAAGAACCCCAATGGCTGATACGTGCGGTATTCATGCAGCGCCGATATCGCGACCGGGATCGCGACCGTGGACGAGATGGAAGGGACCGCGACTCTTATCGCCGTAGGGATCGATCTATAGACCGCCGAGATGACGACTACTATCGCGGCTCACGTCGTGATGGTGACCGCCGTCGGTCACGCGATAGAGGCCTGGACAGGCTTCGTTCCCCAGACCGGCGTAGGGACCGAAGTCGGGACCCGGACCGAGAGTACCGCCCTCGGCGAGACGATTCGCGTGATCGGGCCCGAGTGCGTCGTGAAGGCACTGCTGAATCATCCTCACATCGTCGTGATGACGTTCGAGCACGCGACCAGCCGAAGCCAGGCAGCACAACAGTTAAAGAAAACGAGGTACGTTTTGGAGGACCCTACAAACAAGCATCCCCTTTTCCAGACCGTTCACTGACGCAACGACATTCTGTAGCCAGCTAAGTCTACACCAACCCAACCGCAAACAGAGGCGGAGAAAAAGGCTGAACGACTACGAAAATTGCAAGCGATGAAGCAAAAGCACGCTCTCAAGGAGGCAAAGGAAGCAGACGTTACCGCTGGGCTCACTAGGAAACTCTTCTTGGAGATGGATCAGAGAGCCAGCGGCGCCGTAGTCGGCAGTGGTACCAACAGTCCTGCGCCTGCGAGCCCGGCAGCCGCCGAGTCCCCGGCAAGCCCTGCCCCCTATGTCGGCAAGTTTGATCCCAAAGCCATTGCGCGGAATGCTAAACCAGCACGTGCCAGTTCCCCGGTAAGGTTAGGCGACGTGAAGCTAGGTGATGTGAAAGTAGCTGCCCCGGTGGCGGCGGCGGCGGCGGCGAGTATAGCTGGCCAGGGGAAGGGTGCCGCATCGGGCAAAGCAGGCTTACTGCAAACTGGGAGGCCTATCAGTACATTCGGGTTCAACAAATCCGCCGATGCCCTCAAAACGACAGCTAAAAGGAAGATTGACATGGGAGATGAAGAAATCATCAAGCGCAAGCTTGTCAAACTCCCTGACCTGGCCCTCGAGAATGCTGACGATACCCCATACGCGGACGACGACGTGGCGGAAGACGCGGAGAAGGATTTCGACGTACTCCTTGCCGGCACCGAGGAGGACCGCGCTGAAGCCCAACGGTTGCTGCGCGAGCGGCGTGAGGAGCAAATTCAGAAAGAGAGCATGGCTATGGAAATCGACAGTGCCCCTCCCAACATCGAGGTTGCAACCGAGCCTGTGGCGCAAAATCCGAGAGCAATGGATGTAGACGACGAAGTCGACCCACTCGATGCCTTCATGGCTGGACTTGAGCAGACAGCCTCTGGCGAGGAGTCGCACCTTAAAGCCGATACGCTGACCGAGAAGAAGAAGGGCAATATTCCGCCCGAGGCCTACTTCAGTGATGATGACTACGGCTATGAGGCAGATGGGACCGACCCTACTTCCATTCTCGCCATGGCTTCCAAGAAGAAGAAGAAGGATATCCCCACGATCGACTACAGCAAGCTCGACCTGAATCCTATCCGGAAGAACTTCTGGGTTGAGCCGTTTGAGTTGAGTCACATGAGCGAAGAAGAACTGGCTGAGTTGCGATTGGAGCTGGATGGCATCAAAGTGTCCGGGAAGAACATCCCCAAGCCCGTTCAGAAGTGGTCTCAGTGCGGCCTCACCCGTCCTATTCTCGATACCATTGAGAGCCTTGGGTTTGAAAAGCCTACGCCGATTCAGATGCAAGCTCTGCCTGTCATCATGTCAGGGCGTGACGTGATTGGCGTTGCAAAGACGGGATCTGGTAAGACAATGGCTTTTGCCCTGCCGATGCTCCGCCACGTCAAAGATCAAGACCCCGTTACCGGCGACGATGGTGCCATTGCGCTTATCATGACCCCGACCAGAGAACTCTGTACGCAAATTTACTCGGACTTGCAACCGTTTGCAAAGGCTCTCAAGCTTCGCGTTGTCGCTGCTTATGGTGGAAACGCCATCAAGGACCAGATCGCCGAGTTGAAGCGCGGTGCTGAGATCATCGTAGCCACACCAGGTCGTCTAATCGATCTTCTTGCGGCCAACGGAGGACGTGTAACAAACCTCAAGCGTGCTACTTATTTAGTCCTTGACGAGGCTGATCGAATGTTCGACATGGGCTTTGAACCCCAGGTCATGAAAATCTTCAACAACGTCCGCCCAGATCGCCAGACTATCCTCTTTTCTGCAACCATGCCCAGGATTATCGACGCGTTAACCAAGAAGGTCCTGCGGGACCCTGTCGAGATCACTGTGGGTGGGCGCAGTGTCGTAGCACCCGAGATCACACAGATCGTTGAGGTCATGGACGAGGGTAAGAAGTTCAACCGTCTGCTGGAACTCCTCGGAGAGCTTTATGCGGACGACGACGATGTCCGTTCCCTGATCTTTGTGGAGAGGCAAGAAAAGGCTGACGATCTATTACGCGAACTCTTACGGCGCGGCTACGGTTGCATGTCTATCCATGGAGGTAAAGACCAAGAGGACCGAAACTCGACCATCTCTGATTTCAAAAAGGGTGTGTGCCCCATCCTCATTGCAACCTCGATTGCGGCCCGTGGCCTGGATGTCAAGCAGTTAAAGCTCGTCATCAACTACGATGCCCCTAATCACTTGGAAGACTACGTCCACCGCGCTGGGCGTACTGGACGCGCCGGTAACACGGGTACGGCAGTCACCTTTATAACCGAAGAGCAGGAGAATTGCGCATCTGGCATTGCCAAAGCGTTGGAGCAGAGTGGCCAGCCCGTTCCAGACCGGTTGAATGAAATGCGCAAAGCATGGAAGGAGAAGGTTAAGGCTGGCAAAGCCAAGGATGCCAGTGGGTTTGGCGGCAAAGGTCTTGAGAAGCTCGATAAAGACCGTGAGGCCGCTCGCATGCGTGAACGCAAGACCCACAAGGCGGAAGGCGAAGAGGACGATGTCAAAGAAGACGCTCCTGCAGAAGATGGGGAGAAGAAGGACAAGACCAAGGTTGCCATCCAGTCCGCTGTATCTGCCATTGTGTCGCGTGATGCCTCCAAGGCGGAGACCGAGGACAAGCACGCCATCCCCGCGGGTGCCGTCAAGGCCGGGCATCACGCAAGCAGCGGCAAGAGTGGAGGAGCTCTCGACAAGGCGGCGTCTGCCATCAGCGAGATCAACGCACGTCTCGCCCGGGCCGGTCAGCTCCGGCCTGGTCAGCCCATTGACAACAAGGGTCCCGACGCGGGCGCGTTCCACGCAACCCTCGAGATCAACGACTTCCCCCAGAAGGCTCGTTGGGCTGTCACCAACCGCACGAACGTTGCCAAGATCCTCGAAGCCACGGGGACGTCGATCACCACAAAAGGCAACTACTACCCTCCTGGAAAGGAGCCAGGTCCGGGTCAAGAACCAAAGCTGTACATTCTCATTGAGGGTGATACCGAAGTTGTCGTTGGCAACGCGCTGTCGGAGCTTACTCGTCTGCTTAGAGAGGGCACGATGGCGGCGGCGGATGCTGAGAGCCGTGCTCCTGCTAGCGGTAGGTATACGATTACGTGATAGTCTGGGGAAAATAGTGGGTGTTCCAAGTGTAAAGGTCAGCTTTTCACTTGACGGGGTTTTTACCTAGTTAGGGTGACGTATGTACACACGTGCGAAGAGGTGGTGGTTGGCGATATAGTATATCTACGATCAGGTAGTTGCTCATAAATGCATTATAGATAGATTGATACGTCCAGTTTTCTACTCACAATAATCACAATTTGCGTATGGAGGATGGGGGAAAATGTGTGCTGTTCATGCTTGGGGCAACGGCCCCAAAAAGAGTAAATACAGACGAGTTCATGGGCACAGAAAAACAAAGCCATTCAGTTAGTAACATCAATATGCCCCTCGTGAGCCATCGTTAACCACTACAAGCACCACCCACTTCCAAATCAGTGATCCATACTCCCAACCAACTATCCCTTCCGCGAAATCAGTCGAGCATCGTCAAAGAACCGCCTTAATTATAACTCCTCGCCTCCGCCGCTTGATCAGCCGCCCTTCGCGCTCTTTCCCGCTCACTTTCTTCTTTGAGTAGCGCATCGCGCGTCATGCCCTTTTGCGCTCGCAGCTTCTTGGAGAGGTCGGTCCCTGACCCTTGATCTCTTTGAAACCGAGCCTATTTGTTTGTTTGTTTGTCAATGTGTGCATAGGGTTATTGAATGGTAAGTGGTGAGTGACTAGGTTGTAGCTTCCTCATGACTCGTTTGTGGTGTACTTGTAGATTGATAATTTTTTTTTTCTTATATATATATAATGAAAAGTGAAGATGAAAGGACAAGGAACGACGGACGAACGGAACGGGGTGAGATTGGATACTAGGTAGTAAGATGAGATGAAATAAGATGGATGGGGACTTGACGGAAATCGGAACGTACCATAGCAGCCTGCGCAGCTTTGCTCTTGGGGTCATCGCTTCCGCCTTCTGTTCCTGCTTCTCCTGCTCGCGGTCCTTCTGAAGCGCCCCCGAGAGTCCTGCCGCCACTCCCACTACCGCCGGTTGTCCTTCCCGTTGTCACATTTGGTGGAACAGAAGAAGAAGCGGGTGCATTGACGGTTCCGTAACCGCCGCCGCCGGTCGTTGATGATGATGGTGCCGGACGCGCCGCCACCGGTGTACTGCCGCCGCCACCTAAAACGTGTCCTTCGCCTCGAAAGTTCCCGCCGCTGCCACTTCCGGAGGCGGATCCCTTGCTGAAACAACTTCCCATCTCTTCTTTATCTTGATCTTAATGATAGTGATGCCCTTCAGTTCAGCGCGAGATTGTAACAGACAGGTGTTCGTTTAGGATTCGCGGTGCGGAATTGCGGGAATTGGGGGAGTTGACCACGCTCCTCTTTCACTATAAGCAATTGCTAGTTGTGTTCAGTGGTAGATTTCAAGTATCTGGATGGATCATGTAATTCTTTTGAGAGTCGTGGCGGAAGGTGAATCATGGAAGTGAATTGAGTGAAATGCGGGCAACGGACGGTCGAGGTTGGCTCTTCGATAGCGGTCTTGGTGGTCTTAGTATTGCCTTAGTATTCCGAGCGTCACACGGCCCTGAGCCAAGAATGGGATCAAATAACCTGGCCAGCCACAATCGAAACTCTCAAGGGCCGATCAGTACCTTGAGCAACATGACAACCTTTTGCCATATTTCGGCAAAGTTGTCTGTCCCTGAGTGATGATATGGAGGGCTGTAGAATTATAGTTTGTAAGAAAACAACCCGTTGCTGTAGCTTGAGCTGCAGCCGGCAATTTGGCCTATAAAAGGTCAAGTCGTAGGGGCAGTGATCGCTATCGATGCGGCAGCGATTTGATGTAGGAGCTGACGAGGCTAGAGAGAAGTGATGGCAAGGCTCACATGCTGGGCCGAGATGATGATATAGTGATGATAAGATAGTGGTAGGCCCTCGATCATTTCACTCCGCCGTAAAGAAAGTGAGAGAAGGACGTTTCAAACTTCGATGCCGGGACAGACCGTGATTATGGAACTTGGCGATAGCCCGCATCAGCTCACTAACAGATTGGCCAAGGCCCCTGTCGAATCTTGCTTGTGACAGTCAGATGGTCCCGGCCTTGTATACATACATCTGAACAAAATCGAATCGAGCGAGACTTAAGCGGTAGAATACTCGAAGTGACAGTCGATCTTATTGACCTGACGAGCAGAGGGCCGCCAAGATTCAATCCGTTGCGAGTTTTCAAGGGCCCTTTTGCGCACAGACATTGGTTCCCCCACTTCCCGTCACTTGGTGGGCCCCCGCTTTCCCATTGCAAAGTGGAAGGTCTGAATGGTAAGGTATGGACACCTCCACTACTTACCACCTAACGTTTCGCATGACGGGCTGAGCCGCGAAGGCATTCTGCCGTGCATTTGAATCCGACATGGGATGATTTGATGATTTCGGATACCCGTTCAGGTTTCCACTGGGCAAAGAGTTTGTAGACACTCGGCATCACCACACTACCATAACAGTCTACTGCATGCTGCCCTCCTGGTAGTCTTCTGGTGCATCTTCGAGACGAGGGCTGCGGTACTGCCCTTGTGAGCACCATAGCAGCCCGTAGAAACATGTTGGTCTCCTCTCCTTTGGTTGGTGCATCATCCGCGCAATAGATGGATTGGGAGGATGAAGCCGTTCGCCAACCGAATATTCTGCAGTGCGGTTCCTGGGTGCCTCTAGCCGCGAGACCTCGCTGTCGAACACTGCCTTGGCAAATGGAAGCAGCCAGTCAGCGAGGATGCAGGATGGTGAGTGCAAAAGGCAAGGGCAGGGTGCGCACTTTGGTAGCCGGAGGAAGGTCGAGAAGAGAGCCCCACGTCGGTGACAGCATTTTTCTGGGCCGAACTCCGCTCCCAGCGCGAGAAAAAAAATTGATGCAGCAAAAAAAGCGTACCTGCCCTGGACAGAGCAATGGAGCATCACAGGTCGCGCCCTTCCATATTGTTCCACCATTCGCATTTCGACTCCCCTTACTACGAGTCTACGGTAGAGGTACCTTGATGGTGCCCTCATGCTCAGTTCGCGTCCAAGCTCAACTGCCGCCCTACGCACCAAACCTGAACCCTAGGTACCTTACCTAAGCTCGACCCCAGGAAAACCCAGAGGACATCAAGACGCACGCACCCCTCGCCGGCTGCCCCAGCCAGAAGCAGGGCCCAGAGACCCAAGGCCATCAAGGTTCTCACCCACGAGCAGCTTGCCATAACATTTCAATCCACTGCCACCTTCCATCCAGCTGTTCTCCCTCGACACTCAGACCACCGTCACCCGTCTGACTCGACCCAAGAATCCAGACTGGCGAGCCCGGCACTGCTCCCGCTCAATTCTCTCCGGCGCTCGTCCACAAAAACCCATTCTTCCTCCGTCGGATCGCCGTGCTCGCCGCTAAGATTCGGGGCTGACCAAGCTTTCGCCCATCCGGACCGGAGCCGCTCTCGTTCACTCAGATCTCTCAGGTCTCCATACCAGAACCCCATACGGTAGCCGCTAGCCAGTCCCCTCCTCGCTACTGCCAACACGGTCGGATTATCTTGCCGTACAGTATTTGATTTTCCAACTGCCTTCAGTTTCACACCCTCATCACGTCGCCTTGCTGTTCTTCTTTTTTTTTTTTTTTTTTCTTTTCTTGTTCTGGGCGACGAGGTGGAAAGACACCAAACATTGGTGCGAGATACCCCCGGAGCGACAGTCTCTTCAGTACTCTGATTCTGATATCGATGACGTTTCCCGGACTGCCCTGACTTTACCAAATTCCGAAGCACGCTGCTATGCGTCCTGACCATCACGATTGCCGGAGCGACATGGACGGCCACTTCGGCCACCGGCCTGCAAATCACAGCCAGAGTCAGAGTCAGACCCAGAGCCACAACCATGGCCATCACGGTTCTCTCGACCTCCGTTTTCAGTACTTGATGGACTCTTCCCGTCAACGACACACACCGCTCTCCTCCGATGCGACACCCCAGATATCTCCTTCAACGGCAAACGATGACTCTCGCTTGCCCACAAACACCACCGTCGGCTACGAATCCCACGATGATCTATGTGTTGATCACTGCGAAGTCCTTGGCCTCTATCAGGGTGGCTCTCAATTCCCGAACCACCGTGGACTTACAGCCAATTCACTCGGCCACTGGTCACGGCGATACATAAATGGCCAGGATGCTTTGCTTGATACTCCTCATGTCGACCTATTTGCCCACAACCTACCATCAAACGATTTCATGCCCATGCAGCAATTCGGTGCCTGGTCTCAATGGCAGGACCATCAGAGTCAGCGATCAATGCAAGAGTGCGGAGAGGATTGCCAGTCTAATGCCGAGGACAGTTGCTGCGATAGCGAGTGTGCCATGACTGGCAAATGCACTAACATTGCGTGTGCCAACGGCGAGGACGTCTGCGTGGACCAAAGCTGCCCCGAACGTTCCATGGCTTTCCCCTCCGATCTTGTCGACGGCGCCGCCGCGCTCTTATCCATTAATCATGGGTCTGACATGCTCACTCAGAGCTTCAACTTTAGCAGCATGGGCGGCATGAACAGTATGTGTGGCATGGGCAGTATGGCGAATATGGGTAACATGAACCATTTGAACGACATCGGCAGCATGGGTAACATGAACGGCATGGGTGGCATGAGCAACATTCACAACATGAATGGCATGAACAACCCCAATCACTTAAATAGCCTCAATGGTCTTAACCAGAATAGTAAGCCGCCATTATTTCCCGTTTTCCTCTTGTCTGTCTGTGTTAACTTGTCCGCGCTGGTTTAGTGAACCAAGTCATAAACGGCATGAATCAAAGTCTTTCTCGAAATACCCAGCAGACATCTCTGCTGTCTCCAAGTTGGCTTCCGAACCCGTTAGGTAATATCACGAGTCATCTGTTGTCAGCTCACGGAGATGGAGAGTCGTCAAACTGCACCCGGCCCTGTCTGCTAGACGATCCCCAAAATTATCCCAACTGCCATATCCCTGTGTCTTTCAACGCCGCCCAGTTTGGTCAGTACAGCTCTGTGGCTAGCAATTTTCAGGCAAGTCAAGCCTTGCAACAATGTGGGTTCGAGGCGAGTGATCCCGAGGCGTATATCAGGCACTTCAACACACAACATAGGCCATATTTCACGAATACCGAGCTCAGCAAAAGCAACAACAGCAACGGCCAGCTCGCTTTACCTAACTTGATCCCTGGCTCTGGAGGTGTGCGGAGTAGCAGAACATTGACAGCAACCGAGGCCTTGTCCTCGTCTCCAGCCACTCCTCTCGACACATCTGATTCGGGAGCATCCATGAACACGCCTTCTCCGCTAACACCGGTGTCGGAGGCAAAGACGCGGGCTCAATCACCCTCCCATACACGCAGCTCATCCGCAGATACGTCGGAAACCAGCTACAGTGATAACATGGATGGAGATAATGACGAACACAAGTGCCTATGGCGGGAGGACAATGGTAAGCTTTGTGCCCAAACTTTCACAGAGGCGGGGGATCTCTTTGACCACGTTTCGAATGTACATATCAAGCATGCATCCAAGGGGAATTATGGCTTTCTCTGCGCCTGGGACGACTGTCCCCGAAGCCACCCTGGCGTGCATGGCTTCCCACAGAGGAGCAAGATCGAGAGGCATATGCAAACGCATATTGGTCGTAAGTGGTTATGCGCCTTGCTATTTACGATCATCTCTAACGAGTACAGATAAACCGCATGTCTGCAAGATCTGCCACAAAGGATTCTCGGCAAAGCAGGCTTTGACTCAGCACATGTACATCCACTCTGATCAAAAGCCGCTGGAATGCAACATCTGCTTCAAGACCTTCAGATATCCTAGTGCCCTCAGTAAGTTTATTCACAGGAGCACTCTGTCTTGCCTACCCATTATTCTGACCGACATTCTGTCAGCAATGCACATGCGCGTCCATTCAGGCGAGAAGCCGCTCCAATGCCCTATCTGCGGCAAGAAGTTCAGCGAATCTTCAAACTTGTCCAAGCACAAGCGTACCCACGAGGTCAAGGGCCGTTTCAATTGCAATGTGCGCGGTTGCTGTCGCAACTTTCACCGCCAGGATCAGCTCCGTCGTCACATGAAGACGCACCAGAAGGATGTCGTCGATGGCCGAGTGGTAGACATCTACACTAGCCAACTTCCGCTGCCCGCTGACTTTGTCTTCTCATTGAAAGAAGGATCAGCAGATCCTACAGTATTCAGAGATGAGTCTGCTGAGATTGGTGATGAGGGGAGCCATTGAAAAGCCGACCACGAAAGCAGGATCACATCTTCTTTAGCGCCGGTGTTCCCGGCGTTTTAGTGATTCTAATCGGACCTGTCCTTTGCATGGTGTACTCAGGTCAGATGTGGGTTGACAGGTGCTAAACTCTTCGGCTCACTTGAGCAAGGCGCAATTGGCGAATGGACTACAAAGCGGCGTGGAAAAGTTCCGTTTCGTTTGCTTTTTTTTTCTTTTTCTTTTTCTTTTTCTTTTTTCTTTTTCTTCTTCTTCTTCTTCATCTTCTTCTTCTTTTCGCTCTTTTGGCATTGCCCTACTCAAGGGCTTTTAACACTGGATTATCTAGGAGGCTATCATGAGGTTTTGCTTCGGTTCAAAACAAATTTAGCTGGGCTGGTGGTAAAACTTACGATGAGCACAGAGGCAACGAGTGGAGTGGAGGAGGACGTGGCGTCCCTTGTACACTGCTGACTACAACCCCGTGGAGGATTCCCCATGATGGGACCTGCTCGCTTGCATCTTGCGCAGGGCGTAAGGTGTAGTGTCGCGGTGACAAAGGAGGAATGGGATGGTAGTGAGTGAGCGGGAGAAGTTGAGAGAAAAGATACCCCAAAACAATCAATCATTTCTCCCCTATTTGTCAAGGATTGTTGTTCTCTTCGGTGGCATCGTCTTCGAACTCTTGCTGAAAACATATTGCTGAAACCGTATTATTATTGATGTGGCGCTTGACACTCGGATACTAGTTCGTTACATGATCAAATTCTTCTTCATTGTATGGATCTTGACAGTCACATAGGGATACCACCCAGATCACGACTTCATAGCCCTGTTTGATAGTACTGTGGGCACAAAGCCTTGGTAGTTTGACGCCGTTCTAAACGACGTGGACGTATTAAACAGCCGTGATACCTTAAGCATGTTGCCCATCGTGCTCAGATGTAACCAGCTGCCGGCGTCCTCCAATCTGGGAAAGATATAAAACGGACCGATACCAGTAGTGTTGTATCTTGTGAAGTATCATCGACAGCATTCATCAGCAACAACACTTACGTAAACCCACCCATTGAGAAACATCAACCTTCAGAACAGACAACCCAATATCTGCAGTCCACACAATTCCTCAAAATGTGTGGCCAACCAAAACCAAAGCACGAATGTTCCGACTGTTCCACCGAGGTCTCCTCCACTAGCGAGAATGTTGACATGCGCAAAGGCAAAAGGCTGTGGCGACTGCGGCAGCACCAGCTTCAACAATGGAGGGGTCAGCAAGATAGCCGACAACACATGCTCGTGCATCGAGGGGAAGAAGACCGAGGAGATGGTTGCGGCTGCTGTTTCTATTTATGCATATACATATAAGTAGTCAATATGGGAGTGGGACTCCTACGTTTAGATGGTTGTAGCTATAATAAATCAAGGGGAGGAAGCTGCTTGGGAAGGGGAATGGGAAGCGAGGAGAGGAAAGAGTTTGGGTAAAGTGGATGAGATGGAAGAGTGAAACTAGCATGGAAAGGTGGGATCAAAAAATAGATTCAAAACTGAATGTTTGGGATATCAATATGGGAAAGTTGTGTTTTGAAGATGCTGGGAAACTGGGGTAGGTACACTATATCCAGCTCTGTGGATAGTACCGTCGGTAGGTAACTCTAGGGTAGACCAGCAAGATAACGTACAAACGCTTATCGAAAGAACGATTACCTACTAACATCAATGGTCCATGCTCGTATAGGATATATAAGAGTGACGCCATGAGAACCACTTGTTTGGGAACTCCAATGATGAGCATCTGTTTCGTGTCGGCTGTGTCTGAACCCTGGATGCAAGGTACTTTCATTCGCTCTTTGATCATCAAGAACCAAGCATCGAGACTATTCTCAATGTGGTAGCTTGAGCATTCGCATGTGCCAATTCATTGTTATCATTGAAATCAATCAACCTTTTTGATCGGTTAGGTCGGCTCTCTATAACCTCTTGAGACTCAGATACTCTTTGGACACTCGTCATTCTTACGTACGCACAATGCGATATCCATACATGTCGACGAGTCAAGCGAAGCGGTTCACACCGTGAACTCGAACTTATCCTGCTGCCTAAGTATCGGCACTGCTTGCTGCAACTAAACCTGGAAGGAAGGAACATTGTCACAGCAAGCGTGGCTTGGAAACAGTAACTGCTCGAAACAGCTAATGATCAGCGGTTCGTGATCAAGCAACAGCCACGCAGGTAGACGCCTTCGACATTATTGTGGGTTCAAGTCCGGCACGTGTCCCGGGCTGGGCAGAGGATTGTGTTGAAGAGCGCAAGAGTGCCGATTTATTCCCGGACTTGGGCCGCCACCACGGCGCTGCGGCACGGCCCCGAACCTTCTCGCTTCCCGTTCCGGTACCGCGGAATGGCAGTACCCAAACGGGCAACCGTGCCAAGATTAGGGGAATAACAAAGCATATAAAAGTCGCGATCCACCCCTCATTCCGTCCGGAAGGGAAACTTGTAAGTGATACCAATTTATACCCATCACACCCAACCCACCTTCACAAATTTCATAAAGAACCTCCATCGATAGCAACAATGTCGATCGCAGGCATGCCCTACCCCTTCTTCACCGGCGGCCCCGCCTACCGGTCCAAGGTATTGGTTCCATCCGAAGAAATGGACGCCAGAAACTCACGAGAGCCGGATTCACACACCAACTTGATCAGTCCCAGTTTCGATGGACGGTCTACTTTAGCCGGCTCCGACCTGGTCATGGTGACCGCCGCAGAATTAGGCGCCCCTTTCCTTCGCCTTCGTGGCATAACAACCGCTCATCTCCCACCCCCAGGCACTTCACCGCACGAGTTGATTCCTTTCCTGACGGCCCTCTTGAGGGAGTCAGTCCCCTTCATCGATTCCGTGGCGCCTAAACCTTCCAACAGACCTCATCAACCTACTACCGAATCTGGCATCGCGCGAAGCGAGTGGAAACCTTTGAAAACAAAGTCATCAAAGGTAGACGACAATGGCAACACAGTAGTGTCTCTCTACGAACGCACCCTTTCGGCACCCGAGCTGCGCGCCATCGAGCGCTCGGCCGGCCTTGCCACCAGCAATACGGATAATCCCGAGACATGGGCCTGTCGGCGCAGCGTGCACCGTGACTCAAATGTTCCCGGAGACGGGTCAGCTAGCTGGGGCGAGTTTGTCACTTGCTTCAAGGACAAGCACGTCGAGTGCGAGGAGGCGTTTACCCCGAGCATTGTGGGTACGAGAGTGTTGCGGGACTACGATGTTGCTGGCCTACTGCTTGATGATGAGCACGGGGATAGGTACGGAAATCCTACAATGAAAGTGGTGGAGGCGAGGCACAAGATTGGGATTAAGCCATTACTCAAGGACCGGGTGTTTACAGTGTTGCAGGTTACCTGCTCGCTGCTCCCTCGGGAAGCTGGAGGTGCTGCTGCAGACTGTGACGAGATTCTGGTCATCAGCATTCCGGTGTCAGACATTGAGAACTTTAATACTACTGCGGCAAGTCCCATCAAGGGGAAAAGCAGCAACAAGGAAGAGGATCCGTTTCGAAAAGATTCCATAAAGGGGTCATATGTCAGTGTCGAGCGAATCAGGAAGTTACCAACAACAGAGAACCACAGCCAGGCACAGATTGAATGGCTCATGGCCACGGCATCGGACGCTCGAGGCTCGCTTCCTGGATGGGTACAGACCATGGCGGTACCGGGACAGATAGCCAAGGATGTGACACTGTTTCTGGAATGGGTTGCGAAGGAGCGGGAAAAGAAGGGGGGTTTGGTAGCGTGAAGGGTGGCATTTCAAATTCTTTCAGCTGTATGTCGAGGCTTGTCAAGTGAGCCGTGTCAAGGAACACGACTTGATGTGTTTGCGAATGGTGTTTCAATCGACGTACAAGGCTGATAGCTGTAATTTTTTTATGGATGTCTCGGGAATGGCTCCAATTGCATTGCTCAATCACAATAGAGCCTTGACCTTATCCACAAATCCATACAGCTATTCCCTATCCGCCCAGCTCTGGATGATACCCTCGGGCGTGGCATCATAGTGCTTGAGACTAACCTTGCCAGTAGCCTCGTCCAGATAAGTGTTGGCCTGGACGAACACCTTTCTGGGCTGCTTGTTCTTCAGGACAACATCGCGGACCTTGGTTCCCCAGTATTCCAAGCCGACACCGGACATATCGGTGAAGAACTTGGCACCATTCTCGACATCAGCGGTTGACTTGTAGATGTGGATCTTCTGGAGGAAATCTCCAACAGCTGCGCTAATAGTTAGCCGATCACGTCCTTTATCGCACCACCAACGGGAGCTCACTTACCCTTTCTACCGCTGGTCAAAATCTTGGAGCGGTCAAGCTTGATCTTCAAGTCGGATAGATCCTCCTTCTCATACTCAAGCTTGCAGAAGTCATCCTCTGCCTGAAGAAAAGACTTGAGAATGGCAAAGCGAGCCTGGCAATGAGGCTGTCCCCACTTCTGGCTCTTGGGATCCCAGAACTCGACCGAAGTGAGACCAGCCCGTGCCATGCTAAGGTAGGATGCATATAGAACATCACCAGCCTCGCCATCCATGTCAACAGTTCCGTCACCGAAGCCGAAAATCTTGAGAGCCTGGAATTCGCAGCTCAAGTGCATCGCAACAAGCTCAGCACGGCATTCCTCGTAAGCGCCAGCAAGGCCACCGAACACGGAACCCCATGTCTGACCGGGCTTGTACCAGGTCGTCACGGGCTTGCCGGTCACGGGGCTAATGGGTGGGTTAGTGTGGTCGAAGTTGTACTCCCCAGGAGAGGTCTCCTGCAGAAGCTTTCCACAGCCGTGACCTAACTCTCTGTCAGTCGTCAAACCCTCAGCGGTGAAGGGACAGATACTGCCATACCAGTAAGCTCATGAAGTCCGACCTGGACCTCAAAGGCAGCATCACGATACTTCTTGTAAACCTCGAGATCACTATCGGCAATGAAGGGAATCTTCTCATCAGGAGCCTTGGCGCTCAAGACGTTACCTAGAATTTGGTCAGACAACGCGATTCTCCTGATTAAGATAAATCCCAGAACTTACCCAAACTGACGTTCTTGAAGCCTTCCTGTTGCCTGATATCGTCGTAGTTGGGGCTACAAGCGTGTTAGTACCACTCTGAGGCTTTAAATCTCCCGTGTACACATACATGTTGATACCAGCAGGGATACCAGACCCTGTTCCGATTGTTTAGTGCTTCAGTTCATCATCACGCCCTGTTTCGCGTTGTGTTACATACCGCAGAAGGTCAAAACCTCAAGAGAGGTAAAATCAGGAGAGAGGAACTTGTCCTTCTCGAACTCCTTGGACCACGGCAACAGAGGGATCAGACTAGGTGCAGACCTAACCAGCTCTCCGAAAGCACGTGTCCTTTCCTGGTTGACAACTGCTGCGAAGCCCTCCCACTCACCACGAACACCAGCCGGGTCGCGGTAGGTCTCAATGAAGCCGATGTTGCACTCAACCATGGGACCTTGATCGCGGATCCAGTATCTCTGGGAGTCCTTGAAGGCTTCAAGAGAGCCCTCCTCGAAGGACTTGGCATAAGCGGTATGCATCTTTTGTTGAGTCTCGTTCTCCGCGTTTTCGGCCGCCTTCTTGGTGTACTCGGTAATAGCCTTCATCTCGGCCGCATAGTCGCCATAAACCAACTTGATGGTCTTACCCTCAAGAAGGCCATCGGTGATCTTGTACTCGGTATCCTTGCCAATGTCACCACCCTCGCTGGGGATGGAAGTAACAGCAGAAGCAATCAGAAGCTCAAAGACCCCGTCCTTGGTCTTGCGCAACCTGGTGTTTTCAGGAAGCAAGCCGGCCTTCTGCATCCACTTAGCAACAGCATCAATCTCATCCTTGGTGATATCGGGAGAGTCGGGGTAGTAAGTGGTCAGGTGACCTTGATCCGTAAAGCCAAGGTGCAGAAGGCCGGGCTTGTCAGTCGAGAAGATAGCACCGTTGGTGGCCTTGTAATGCTTCTCGGCCTCGGGAGAAGTGGAAGCCAGGGAAGCAAAGACATTTTCATCGCAGCGGGGGATAAACTTGGAGTCACCAAAGCTCTTATAGTTTCCGCTGTTGCCGAGGAATTGTGCAGCATACTGGAGGAAGGCGTTCAAGCCGGCCTCATCAACGCCGGCCTTCTCAGCCAGAGCCTTCCAGTCGCCTCCAGAGGCCTTGTGCAGAGCAATGATGAAATCATAGATGGACTCAGACTCGGGGGAGACCTGGCGCAGCACGATACGGTTACCAGCAAAGGAAGCCCTAAGTTCAGGTAGACTTGTGTTAGCGAGACACGGCGGGTAACGATGGTGATGATGTGGAGGGTATAGGGATCCGAGAGGGTAAAAAAGGGGGTTTGTAAATACACCAACTCCCAGGAGTCCACATCAAAGCTGCATGTATTGTGCAATTGGAGTTACCTGCACTTACTTGCTGATAAAGTGAGCATAGCGCTTCTGCTTGTCCGTCAGGGCGTCAAAATGCTTCTCGACCTCGAGCCTAACGACCGAAGGCGGGGCATCCGCCAGGTACTGCGAGAGTTCTTGAGCGTCCATAGTGAGGGAACTGCGGAGACTGACACTGAGACTGAAGTTGCGATTCAGGCACAGCTGAGGAATAGAGTTACCGTAGCCTGTAGCGGTGGTGGTGAGTCTATTCCTGGGAAAGGCAGATGCACGTCGGGCTGGCTGGGCCAAAATCGACGATAATCTCAAGCTTTGAGATCTGAGGGGTTGAGAGAAGCGCATCTGACTTCAGGCCAGCTAAGCAACGAACCAAGCAAATAAGACGAGACGAACCCAATCTCTCCAGTTGAGCCAATGCAAGTCACGGCTTCTCCAACAGTGTTATGCACCTTCCGTCTACAAACAAGCCTCTCTTCGTTATCGTTCGATAGAGCGCCCGATAAACATCCCTGCGCACTTGCCTGAACCGTTACCAGCCGACTTTCCAACTGGCTGGCCGCCGCTTCCCCACACTGTGCGATTTGTGCAAGTAGCCAACTGACTTTCTGTTAGAGCGGGGTAAAGAGAGCTGAAGCAGCGAGTGAGAACATCAGGTTCCAGCCTCTTCTGTGCTTGCGTACTTCCACTTCTTCACCAGCCACAGGGCATATGCTGACAACTGACACAATCTGGAACATAACGTGCCGGATCACTCCGCGACCGTCCGCGGCGCTCCGAACTAGACGGAGGCAACGAGCCAACGACCCATCCTCTTGCCAAGTTGATGTTGGATTGGGATTGGATTTTATAGAGATTCAGTTGCAACCTGAAGTCCCACAGCGTCAGCAAGGGCGGGACTCCAAAGAACCTCGAGACACGGTGACCCCCACGCAGGCTGTACACTGCACTACAAAAATTTAGCGTGGGAGTACAACACGGCAACAATCCGTGACTCCCAAGGAAAATTCTGCGGGACTGGAGGGGCAGATGGGCAGATGTTTCGAAGCAAGTGGAAAGCCTCAACGTCGATCACCGTTCTTGCATCACTGAAGAGGGTCTCGGAGAGGAAGGATCTTCTGTGCCTTCAAACTGAACGCAGTCTTATCCTCTCGGCAGCGGCGTGACGAGACCAAAATACCCACGTCAGGTACAAAGTGTTATGTACTTACAGCTTACAAGCGGAATTCCGGAACGGGACGGGTCGCCGGGCTTTGCCTGAAACTGCGGAAGCCTTCAATGTCGTGCTTTTTGGGGAAAAAATCCAACAATTTCTTCCGGACAGGCTTCCGTCGAGCCTCACATCAGCCGCCGAGAGTGTCCGATCTTGAAGAAGGCTAGGTGTATGTCTTCAGCTCTGCAGAGGGGGTATCACCATCCAGTCCCATGTCTCATGCTGGTGAAAGAACCAGCAGAAACAACAGTTCCCACCCGGCGCCTGGCCCCGGGCTCAACTTTTAAGCTCGCGGCTGGACTGCTGAAAACTCCAAAACCTTAGCGCGACCATCCTCGTACGGTTTGAGAAACGTGAGCTGTCTTTTCCAGTGTTCGCAAGTCGCCGTGACGTCCACGGTTGGGAGATCGTGATATAGCCGGCTGGTAAGCAGGAGATATCGAAAAGGGCAAATTACGCGAAGCTCGCTACGCGGCAAATTTCAGAACTTGCTATCTGATGCTGCTGGATTTGCTGTCTTCAAGCATTGGGATACAACTGTGCCTCTTGAGAAAATGTGGTGAGCAAGGCATCAGTGCTGAGTCTCTATAGCGGGTACACTGTACGTCCATGGCTAGGTATCCGATATCGCGAACGACGCCATAGTTGAGCCTGTGTTGAGTGAATCTAACAAGGGAGGTGAATCTACTGCTTGGATAGTAACACTGACAACCCCACGTGCTCCTCTATCGTTGCACACTCCTGCACTACGGCGCAGTGTAGCGAGCGGCTCCAGACCAAAGCCGCGTGACCATTGAGCAACCGCATCATCTTCAGACATGTCCAGATCTCGGGCACTAACTCTTAGGGTCAAAATGCTACCATGAGTGGAGAGTGAAAATCCAAGGCATTTTCAGCCAATCCTTCGGCCCCCGCATGACTGCTTGGGAAAACATTGCGTTCATCTTGGCATGTGTTTGTGCTACTTGTGCAGCGTGGTACTGTCGGCGGTTTTTTGAGGCTCGCAACAGTGAGATTCCAAAATCGCCAGCATGCTTCAAACACTGATCAGTATCGGGACACGAAACCGGAAGCCTATGAGCGTAGTTGCTACCTAGCGAACACGGCACCCCAGTCTGGCCAACGCTACTACATACATTGACCGGGAGAGAGATCGCTTTCGGGTTTCCAGCTCCGCGGCACAAAAGTAGTCATCGACCAATACGATGCGGAGGGCATCTGGTATGCCCAGATTCGAAACCTTGAACAAGGCGGGGCCAAATTCTTGTCAACAAAAGAGATAGCCGCGGTGTAGATACTGACTTGTTGGCTTGATGCCATCTCCAGCACTCGTGGCCGTTGTTTGCTCCTGTCGGGGAGACTAACATGGGCTTCCGGGCATCCTGCTTTTCACTAGCTGTTCACTAGCAGCAGCCTGGATCTTGGGAAGCTGCTCGGAGTCGGGCGCGACTCTTGGCTACACTGCATGTACACTGAAACCCAAGTGGATCATGATCCCGAGTAGAGTTTGAAGGAAATCCGCTCTAGCAAAGTTAGCAGCGCTAAAATTTGAGGGGCATATCGGGTACTTTTTCTGTTCCCTTTTGGTGACAGATCAAGACCATTGCGGTACGTTGTTAGACTTTTTTGAAATGACCCTCAGGGGTAAGATACACAAAGACGGAAGCGCACCGGGCCCCGAGTGCCTTCCGGTCTTTGGTGAAGCTGGAGGCGGAGTCCAAAGTGAGAGAAAAGCAGACGAGTTCCACAGCCTTGTTTTGGGGCCGTCATCAAAATTAAGCAGTGTGGACAGGGATGCGGTAAATCGTTGTCACGTCACGAGGGCGAAGAGAAATAGCATCAAGGGATATTCATAGTATCTGGGATACGGATCGTTGAAGCCGTTTCTCCTGCTGCACTTTGCCAGCCGCTGACCGCTTGTCATGGTCATTGCGCATTGTTGTTTAATGGATGGTGAAGTGTGATTCCGAATGGACCTTGATGGTTCGATTTTCCTTTTTTCTCGTGCTGGCATTTGTTCGGTGAAGTCGGAGAGGCAACTCAGCAAACAGAGAAAAAGGAAGCTCTGAACGAAGAGAACGATTGGTCCGCCGCCGAGCCATGATGTAACCGGAGCTGCCGGGTTCGTTTGATACATTTCAGTTCCTACCCGTATCCCATGTTTGCGCAAGGGACGGAATTTCTGGGCATGTTCCCCGACCTTAAACATGAGCCACAACAAGCCACCTACTATGTAAGATCAGAACCCCCAAAGGGAAAACCACCATAAAAAGTCCATGATGAGGTATTATGCGAATGTATGATCACCACCAAGGTCCCCGCCTTCAATACATAGGTCATTCCCACACATGTTGTCTTTGGAAAACCACACGAAGGTCAACATTAAGTGCATTCAAGTGGACAACGACGTTCAACTTCTTAACATTGACGCACACCATCATGGTGTTTTTCCCCTTTTTTCTTGAGGCCAGGTAAATTCGTTTTGCCCTGTGTCACCATTTCCAAATGGCCGTGAAACAGAGTCCACTGGCCAATGTCATCGGCTCTCGCTTATGCGTGAACCCCCAACTTTCGTCGACCGAATCTCGCCCTGCTCGCAAATGCTGCCCCCCACGCTACGGTAACAACGTGGAGGGATTTTCCAAAGCGTACCCCAGCTGTCCTGCACGCATCGCTGGACATCCACGCCAGCGGCGTATCCATCAGCGCGGGTATGTACGCAGTACTTCGTGTTGGTATGTACATATGATGGGCAAGTTTGATGAGGTGGGGTAAGTACAATATGCATATTGTCTGTGCAGAAAAGTACTTGATGCAGGGGAGTTTTTTTTTTACCTTCGCTCCAAACCATAGTAGCGTAAGAAGGTACCTCCTTCCATCCCCCACCCCCCCCCCTTTCCCTTGGTCAGCTGGTCCGATCGTGCTTTTGCACTTTGAATTCGTTGCATAAGATTTTTTGCTCTCTTTCTTGCCGCTGGCCCACCCTTTCATGGTGGTTATTGCCCGTGTTACAAGGCTGCAATCTCTTCCAGATGAGGTTCATGCGACGCACCATCAATCAATCCTCATCATTGAAACATTACAAAACATTGAAAAAAAAGATTATTAGAGAAAATAGCACGGCATGGCCGCGGGATCGAACAGCACCTGTGACGTTGCGGGTCTCTAACGTTTCGACGACAGATGATGATCATCCCCATCCTCTCGCCATGTTCCATCCACTCCATCAGCTTCCTAAACCACTGGGCCCCGTCACCGACAGCACTCCGGCACGTCCGACCCTGTCCCGCCGTGAGCATTCTGGAGTCTGGACACCAACAACACCAAAACCCCTTTCCGGGCACACTGCAAACATAGGGCATCAAACCGTGAGACCACCATGTCCTCAAGCTCCAGGCTCCGCCATGCCGGCCCGTCCAGGGCATGTATTTTGTTTGGTTCCGATTCCCGCTCGGGAGGGAGCATGGATTGCCGAGTTCGACAAAATTCCGCGTGTTTGGGGCTTGTTTCATGGATCACCCCGCTGATTGACGCTTGGCAGGTAGCTTGATGCCCGGTTGGCCAACGTGCCTGTCCTCCAGTGGTTGGCTGCCCTGGAGCCGCCAGCCGAAGCCCCGGGTTTCGTTCCCAAAATCCCACGATGTCTATGTCCATAGTGTACACAGTAGAGAGTTGGAACTGACTGTAAGCCCCGAGAGTTCGGGAAGTGTTGGCACGCAGTCGGCACCTCACGAACAGAGGCAACCACCACGTCTTTCCCCAGAGCTACCTATCTTTACACACTGAGAGATGACAACAGAGATGACAACAGAGAAATTTGTAATGCCCCGTACAAGGGTTTTGCACCGTCAAGATGATCCGAAGCATCAAGTGTGGAAAGCGTCAAGATCAAACGTTTAAGTGCAAGAATGTTTGACGCCGGCATCGGTATCCCAGCCTGCAAAATTGCTATAGGCCAGAATAGAAGCAGCGAAAAAAATGTTGTGTTGCTTCTAGAAGTCGGCCATCTTGCATTCTACCCCACAACACATCCACCAATTTTATCCCCACGCTTTTTCCAACAGAGCCTGCGCCCAAAATTCCAGATGAGCACGCGAGGTACTGTAGTGTACACTTACATGTCGCTGGAGACCTCCAGCTACAAGGCAAGTACCCTAGACTCACACCCTTCCATACTCTTGGGGAGTGTCGCCGCCATGGCTTGGTAGCAAGTTCGCGCAGTCACTAATAGTGTCAGCTAGAGAACCAATAGGATGATTCTCTTAGTGAGCCTTTTCAACCTGCCAAGCGGCCCTCGAGTTAGATGAAGCAAGCAACAACAGGAACATGTACTCCAAGTACTCGCTTGTACCGTCTTTCCCTGACCGTGTACCTTGTTGGACTCCACTTGCTGCTGCCGCGAGTTGGGTTTTTTTTTGGGGGGGTGTGGGATGAGTCCTTTGTCCGCTTGCAGTCCTAGTGTAGGCCAGAGGGCCCTCCCTAGTCACCCAGCGGAAGTTGAGGATTTGCGTCAGATCGTGTACATACAGTGTACCCCAGCCCAGCTTGTCACCTGGCCAGTTTTATAGAGCCGGGGTGGAATACCTTGGAGCGTGATGGCTACAGGGTATGTAGGATTTACACTCTTGTGTCTCGCTGCACTCAGATGTATATAAGCACACGCACCGGCATCTGTCCCTCCCCCATTCCGGCTGATGCTCTTTGTCTCTTGAAGTCTCCCGATCTTTGCTTTTTGCAGTTGTCATATCTAACGCATAGCATGGCATTATTCCTCTTCAAGCTGTAACTCCAAAGACGTTGGCTTGCAACCCTGAAGCATCGACATTGTGCCGATACACCATCACTGACTGGCATTTCTATACCCAACTCGACGCCTCATTCTATCCCATTCAACCATTACAAATAACACATCAGTTGCGCTCGGTCACCACTTCCCGACAACACATATAACCAAAAATGCTTTCGTACAATACCCCTATTCCTGTCAACGGGCAGAACGCTGGACCGACCGCCGGCATGTCAGCGCGACCCCCATTTAAGTCAGTCGGAAACAACGGGTCTGCCAATGGAGTGTCATCCAATGATGCGGTGTCGGGAACAGGACGACACACTCCCGAGGAGCAGCATATCTGGCTAGTCACCGGACCTGCTGGATGCGGCAAGAGTACCGTGGCAAGATACCTAGCGGAATCTCTACATTGGCCTTATATTGAGGGTGACGAGGTACGTGATGATGCCCTTCCCTCTGTGGTGTTATCTCAACTAACAAAGTCAAAAGTTTCACCCACCAGCCAATATCGAAAAGATGAGCGCCGGTATCCCCCTTACCGATGCGGACCGCTGGGATTGGCTCACAGCTCTGCGCGAGGCATCAATTCGAGCTCTTGATCAGGGCAATAGCGGCGTAGTTTTGACGTGCTCTGCGCTGAAGCGCAAGTACCGTGATGTCATCAGAGTGGCCCCCTACTTCACCCCGAATCTTCACCTTCACTTTATCTACCTCGATGCGTCCGAGGAGATCCTCCTTCAAAGAGTCCTTGCTCGCCAAAACCATTATATGGGTGCCAACATGGTCCACAGCCAGTTTGAGGCTCTCGAGCTACCAACGCCTGCCGAGACGGACGTGATCCGCATTGACGTGAGCCGTCCTGCCGACATGGTTATGGCAGATGCCCTGAACCAGGTTCTTCATACAATTGATGGAATCCAAAAGGACCAATCGCAATGACGGCTTCGATGACCTGCACCGGGGGTCCAAGGAATGCGGGAAAAGGAGACACAATGCACAACACCTGCATATGGCGCTAAGCCCTCGAGGTTTCTGAGCGGCCTGTTTGCCCCACCGTGGCATGGCATTATCTTGGGAGTTTGCTTTTTCATGTTGGAAGCTGTTTGGGCGTTTTGTTTCAGGTCATGTTTTTTTTTTCTTCTTTTTTTGTTGATTTTTCTTTTTCTTCTTCTCAACAGGCGTACTTGCTTCGGATGGGGTCAAAGGATATGGGCAGGGGAGATCTGCGTACTGGAAGCGGATTCAGGTTACTTTTGCTAGCAACGCAGAGCATGGCAATTCGCCGAAGCTCTGCATTTTTTTTCCGGTTGGCGTTGGGATGCTTTGCAAACAAGCAAGCAGGAGCAATTAGTCTATTGTTATCATGGAGGAATAGCAATTTTTCGGGACCGGTGTGTTCCCCATGCATCTTTGGGAAGGCGATGGCGAGGAGTAAGTACCATAAGGGTATGGCTTAGTTCAAGGAGGTAAACAAGCACAAAAAGACATAATGTTGGTTCATGAACGGTGGTTTATTGTTTGTTTGTGTTCCCTCTACTGCTTCTTCTCATGCATCGGTCCGCATGCGAGCCCGTTGCCTTGATCATTCCACAGTTGACAGTTCCGCATTTGCAGAAGCGTGCAACCGGCAGACGAAAGACTCGTGCTAACGGGAGTGACCAGTGTGGCACACAAGGCAAGTCATCTCAAGGCAAATTAACTCAATGTGGAATATAGACAAGTCAAATTACAAAGCAATTTAAAAGTCGTTCTGACAAGGAAATGCAAATCAGACCCCCTGGCTTGCTTGTGTGCTACGCTGGGGACTGTTTGATTGTTGGTGGGAGGAGGATACTGTGTATGTGTTAATGCGCATCCACATCATGACCTCACATCGTCCCTAGAGCTCGTCACAACGAATTGTATCTAGTTATTGTTATCAGGCAGTCAAGATGAATCCTTGAGCTCTCCATTCCTATTTTTCTACCATTTCAGATAAACTAACCTTGTTTTCAACCACACTGCAACTACTTGAACATACCTAGAAGCGAGGATGCTGCCTCATGGCTGATACATTGTGCTACTAGGTCCCAAAGCGGTCACTCGCAGTCGACATTGCAGCAGGATGTGGTTTAAGCCTTGGATGAATGCAATCCCGAAATGATGCGTGTTGGATTGGAACATTGATACAGCATGACAATGCAGAACAGGGTATATTACATGAGGCTGATCGTTAACTTCTTCCTCAGGGCATTTCCCGTGTCAGTCATCGCATTAGAAGCCCAAGCCATCCCCACGAACAATCCGGCAAGCCATAGTAAACGCTTCATCCTTGGTCTTAACCCGCTAACCAAGCACCGCAGTGACTATACCTTCCACACATCCGGCCCATGATTATGGGTGATAAGCAGGCTTGGGATCAACCACATACGGCGGTGGCGGCTCAACCCAACCGCCATTCCCATCCGGTACCGCCACGTCGTCCATGGGAATCGCTTCACCCCCTCCTCCTCCTATTCCCCCTTCTGATACTCCTTGTCCCTGTCCGTGGCCCTGGCCCTGTCTCTGGCCAGCCCCAAAACCTCTTCCAGCAGCCGCCCCAACATTACTAGAGCCTCGTGCCCTGCGCCCAGTAGCACGCTCCTCAGCTTGCAACATTTCCAGTACCGTCTGCTGGTGCTCTTTAAGCTTCTTCTTGCGTGTCCAGCGTGGTACAAAGACGGCGAAGAAGAGGGAAATGGAGAGGAGAAAGGTGAGAAGGACGGCTAGGGTTATTATGTTGGCTTTTGAGAACTTTTCTCGTTTGGTGATGGGGTGGAGGTTGGGGTTGTCATGAGAGGTGGGGAGACTCATCCTTGGGGAGAGCGCGATTGGTGCCATTTGTTTTGTCTTGTTTCCTTTTCCTTTCCGTGTCTTCTCTTGGAATTTGGAAGCGTCTATCTGGAAGGTGACGCTATTCGTGTTCTTCTACGCTTGTTCGTTTGTGAAATCTTGGTGGTGAAAAAACTGAAAGAGGGTGAAAAGATGTGGTTCGATGTTTGTCCTCGCTCTCCCTCGAGGCCCCTGTGTGTCGAGTAATACACCAATAAACGGGGCGTGGCACGTGGAGATAGGTAAGTTGATCGAATGAGCTGTGAGTTATTGTTGGTTTTTCTCATCCCTTGATCCGCTTTGCGTGCCAATGTCTTAACTTTGTATTTAAATCCGCCCGCCTTGTGCAAAACCGTCCAGGCTATGCTGTCCTTCTTGCCTCCTTTTCTGGCGTTTTCGTTGTCCGAAGATGACATTCTTTTCCAACAGCGGGATCGCCAGCCAGGCGAATAAAAGGCCGAGGGAAAGCCTTTGGACAGGAACATGTAAGTCTGGTTAGCACAGCCTCACTTGGGCAGCATTCGGTTACCTGTTTCGCCGTTTCGTGATGACTGATCTGGGCGCCAAGAGGTTCCCTTTCGTTTTGCCCTACGACGCTCTTGCCTACTATGTATATAAATCAAATGCAGAAAGTCTTGTGACTGTGCCGCAAGACAGTGAATGGGCAGCCGAGCCATCAACGAGAGTAAGAAGGGTATGCGACTGGATAAATCCGATTGGGGTATTTGAGATAGCCCCAGATGTACGGATACAACGGACAACGAGCAAGATATCGAACCGTTCATCAATGACAATTTGCTGATGCTCACACTTAGGCGGCAAACACCCGTAGAGAAGAACTCGGCGAGTTACATCCACTCATCGTAAGAGAAGAGCGAATGTCGAGAGGCTTGTGTGACACGAGAAGCGATCTCGAGGGCTTGCGGGTAAGATGTGAGCGCGGGTCGAGTTGCACAAAATTCCCTCATTTTCACATCGTCGGCAAAATATACTTTTCTCTTCGCCTTGATGGTTCAGGATAGATCAGTCACCCCTTCTGGCCATTCCATACCTTGATTGAACCCCATGTAAGTTATCGGAATTGTATAACCGAGGAAATCTTCAACTCATCGATGAATTCCAGTCGCACTCGATGATGGCCTCATCCAAAGCTTTCAAAGTCACTGTTGAAAAGGAGAAAAAAAAGCCTGCATGTTTCCTTGCTATCACACAGGACCAAATGATGCTACCCCCCCCCCCCCCCCCCCCCCCCCTCGCCCCCTTCTCTCCCCCAGACCCCTTCCATTCATTTATTTCATCCTTATGTTTTCTTGTTATTACTTGTCTCACCCACCATTACTACACTACGACCACCCCTCGCCCGACCCCATTCCGTCCCTCCGTCCATATCCAGATGTGGACATAACTTCCCGCTCAGGCTGACTAGATGGCAAATCTGCAATGAGTGCGTAGCCAAAAAAAAGCGTCGCACAGCTTAGCCAATCTCTTGGCTCAACAGTAACCATGTCGCGAAAAAGAAGTCATTACCAAGCAACGAGCTGGGAACGAATGGGATGCCGATGACCGAGTTACCCCTCCTTCGTTCCTTCCTAAGAAGTGGTGTGGTATGTATAGGGACAAAAAGAAGAAAAAAGAAAAGAAAAGAAGAAGTATGACTAGAGGTGCCTAGAGGCGATATAGATTATACATCCAAGATTTTCGGCTTGGCTCGTCTATACTATACACATACGTTTGTAGGTATGGCGGATATACTTAGCGTAAAAGTATTGTCAATCTGAAGCTCTGTACGTGACTCTTTAGGTTAGATTACACTAGGTACCAGGAGGTACTTCGCGACTAGAAGAATGTTACCTCTTGGTACGTCTTAGTATGTCTGCTATAATATCTTCCAGGTTGTCGGTTGCTTGATCCGGCGGGCGGCCGTTTATTATTGTATCCTTTTAAAATATTTTTCCTTATTCTTTCTTCCCCTTTCTTGGCATGGACAGTACGAGGAAAAGAGGAATCCGATGGAGATACAGGTCGGGGCGGATAAAGTGACCGTACGCCTCGATAATATAACCGTATACTAACCAGAAGGGGCCGCCCCATACAGTATATCAGCAAATGTTAGCAAATACCAGCCGCACCAAAATTTTGCAGTGACCAGCATAAATATACATCCCTAACACACTTGTAAGATTGAACACGTACCGTATAACGCGCCTATACCTCATTATTACTATCGCCGCCGCCGCTATTATAGTAATTATTATTTAAAATACCCCACTCTAATTACTTTATTAATTCCTTAAAATTCACCACTAATGTAATTAATTTAATTAACACTTCCTCCCTCCTATCCGCCGTAACTTAAATCTCTAACGACGAAAATAACGCTAGCGAATATCCTTTATAACTATACTACCTTTATAAGCGGGAGTGGTTTAATTATAAGACTCTTTTTCGTAATATTAATATTACCGTTAAAGTTAAAGGGTTCTATATTATATCGAACTGTAATAACAATAAAATCGATAGCGCGTACACTCAATATAATCTCGTATACGGCGAGGGTAGAAATAAATATACTAACCGTATCCCTAAAGGTATCTACAACGCTTTAAAGTCGGATAAGAAAGATTGTAAGTAGAAAGTAAAAACCGTAAAGTATAAGAAGTTCGGTAATATCTAGAAATTCAACTATAGTCAGCACTAATATAATTATAATTTAAACCTAAATACCGTAAGGTATTTACCTAACTACCATCAACTCAAAAGGACTCCTTAAATTGTAGAAAGTATTTTTAAATATAAAAAACAACCTAAAAATATATTTAAGGATATCGCCGCTACCTTATAAACCGACTTTCTAAAAGTTAAAATTAGGAACCGCAATATATTAAATATACTAACTATTGCTAAAATCGCGAAAGTAAGCGCGTTTACCCCTACCTAATAATTCTTCAATTCTCTATAATTAGACTCTATAGTATTTATAAAACTTTATCGCAAGGGTAACAATAATAAACTTAGTACGCTGGATAGTAATAGGGATAAGGAAGGTAAAAAGGGTAAATCTCTTACGTATAATAATAATTATCCGATTAATTATGTATTCTAGACTTACAATTAGTATATTAATTAATAGAGGAAGAATTTAGAAGTATAGTCTTTAAATTATACTTATAAAGTAAATTAATTTAATATACCTCTACTATAAATTTACAACGTTATTTATATATACACTATATTTAATATTGGGTATTGCTTATTAAGTAGCGAGAAGGAGGAATTTTTCTACTAGGTTCTACGCATCCTCGAGAGACTACTTACTAATAAAAATATCGCTAAACCGAACATAATAATATCGAATTATAATTATGTATTTAAAAGAACCGCCCGTACCGTCTTTAATTATAATACCTAATATTAAATTTACTTATAGTATATTATAAAGAATATCACCTTTAATATTAAAAAAAAATAGATTAGTATATTAAATAATATAGCGTTCGGTAATTAAAGTAGTAATAGTAGTCATTTCCGCAACGATAATAAAGACTACGACCGCTATAGGGATAATAGAATTAATAAAATTAATAATAATTTTATTAACCCTACTAATAATAATAACCAAACTTGTATTGTTACTGTAAAGTTACTTACAATAAAAGACTATTGCCAATACCTCAATAAAACAATTTAAAACGTACTAACTAATTAATTCAATAATTGTACCCCGCCTAACTTTAGAAGGATATAACTCAATAATACCAATAGTATTCTCTCTACTTAAATAGCCGTAGTTTATTCCAATTCAAGCGAATAATTTTAAGAGTGCTAACGAACTCTAATAGCAGAATTCCCTAATTAAAAGCGTAAGTCTTTTCCCCCCTACGCCTTCTATTAACTACTCTAACTCGGTCTTATAATATTAATCGAATATTTACTAAAAACTTACCTACTAATTACATAAGAATTTACAATATTCCATATCAAATAGCATCGTAACTTCGGCATTAAAATTACATCGTATATAGAAAGCATTTACAATATCCTTAAAAAACTACTTAAAAATCGGTTCGTTAATTTAATTACCCTACTTAACGCTATCAAGGGGAATCTAAATCGGTTAAAGGAGCAATTCACTATAATATATATTAAATAAACCTCTAAAAATATACGGCGGTATAATACTAATATACTACGGCGGCTACAATATTTAATAAACTTTACTACCCTCGAATTAATTACAAAGCAAATTGATTTAGCAAAAAAATAAATTAAAAATAATCCACCCTCTCACTAACTAAAATATACTAATCGATTTCGAATATAGTATAATCTCCCTTACTAATACGAAATTCGTTATCTATTCTTAGCGGGGCCCAATACAATTTTTATCGTACCTTATATTAATTTACACTAACAACTTAAACCTAACACTATAAATCCTCCTTCTCTAATTATTAACTAATAAAAATATATTAAATTAATTAATAATAACTATTCCCAACGGCCTTTCTTAAATTTATAAACAAAAACGACCCTAATAAAATAATAACGCAACATAATACTCCAATAATTAATAGACTACAATCTATACCACGAAGTACCTACTTCGAATTTCTACTATAAAACAATAATATTCAAAGGGATACAAATATATAATATAATTTAATTTACAATACGCCCACTCGTTAGCCTCCTCCTAAGAAACCGAAGCTTATAATAACGTAAATCAATTAGCGGCAAGAGGTATAAATCGCAAGTCTTATAAATATAATTAATACACTAGTAACGATTAACACAAGCCAGCCACCCCCCAATACTACACCAGCAGTACTAATAATAACACCGCCAGCAATAATAGTGGTAACTTTACAAATAGTAGCCTCATATATATAGAATAACAACAAACCGCCAGTACCCTCACAGAACCGTACGGTATAGTATAGGGAGCGGGTTATACAATTCTAAATTATTACGTATAATAATAAAAGACTAGATTTCTATACGATTCTAACTGTCTCGTTTACATGTAAGTCTGACTTCTATAGGCTATGCTAAACGTACAAATATATACTAATGTTGCTCACTGCAAAATTTTAGTACGGTTGACATTTACTGGTATTTACTGATATCTTCTATACTATGTGGGGCGGCCCCTTTTGGTTAGTATACGGTCACATTATCGAGGCGTACGGTCACTTTATCCGCCCCGATATAGGTTTCTTCCACGCACATCTCTGTCCTGATGAAGAAGTAAGGATAAAGAAGGAGAACAAAGTATAATGAGGGGCAATGTTTCTGGGTGAAACATCCCAATTAACACTCGAGCTGAAGGAACGGTTCAAGAGTTCCTCATCTGATCGCTTGCTCCAGGATATCGAGAGTGTGTTTAGCTCAAACTTGGCCGCGGATGCGAGAAGGAGGATTAGCCGAACACAAATAGGTATCAACCCGATTATAACACACATCGCAATCATATGTTTTTGATGAAGTTGCGAAAACTGTATGCGGGACAGCTTGCACAAAAATCTTGGACAAGATCGCATAGTGATTGGACTCGGAAATCGAACATTAAGTAAAGTACCTGGGCTGCCCCGCATTTGAATCTTGGAATGCAATTGTCATGAGCAAAACTTGTCTACATGAAAGATGTATACAGTGTATAGTATTGATGCGCTAAGGGGTACTCGGATAATAAAAGCAAATAGAGACAAAGTAACTGGAGACGCTGGGTTGCGAGCTTTACTAGTGTATTTTCTCCAACCGAATGCCAAATAACATCACCTGAGGTGCATAACCATAACATCAGGCTCCTCAACAATCGTCCTCACCACGTCCGCCGCCCTAGCCATAGTCGCCCCGTCAATCACGCGGTGGTCAGCACTCCAACTGAAGTTGCAAATCTGTCTTCGCAAAATCTTGTCTTCCTCCCCAGGCACCGTCGAGAATGCCGGGACAGTACGCATGCGACCGATGCCGAGAATGGCCACCTCCCGATCTACTATTACCGGAGACAGGTACGTGCCGCCGATGCTACCAATGTTGCTGACGGTGATCGTACCGCCAGACATGTCCTGGGGCGACAGCTTGCCGGCCACGGCTAGAGACTGTAAGCGGGCCAGCTCGGCGGCAATGCTCAGGATGTTGAGGCTTCCGACGTTCTTGATGACGGGCACGAGCAAGCCGGAAGGTGTGTCCATTGCGACACCAATGTTGTGCTGGCTGCGCATGACGAGGGATGGCTTGCCATTGCTGTTACTATCGAGCTCGACACGAGCATTGAGGACGGGGTACTTGTAAAGAGCCATGCTAACGGCCTTGATGATGAAGGGGAGATAAGACAGTTTGCTGACCTGGCCCTCGGGAAGGCCAGACTTGGAGAGGACCCGGTTGAGGCGCGTGCGCAACTCGACTAGGGGGGTGAAATCGACTTCGTCGGCATAGAGGAAGTGTGGGATGGTTAGTGACCGCGTCATGGACTTGAACATCATCTCCTGCGTCCTTGTGAGAGGCACCGGAGTTTCCTTTTGAGGGCCGGGTATCGTTGCGTCTGGGGAGGAGAACGCGCTCGCGGCGGTAGCAGCAGCAGCAGCCGCAGCAGCGGTCACGCCTGGCGAGGTTGGCGTAGCAGCAGATGGGTAGAGTGTTGGCGCAGAGTCCCTAGCTTGTACAAACTTGTAGACATCCTCCTTGAGCACCCGTCCATCCTTGCCTGTCCCAGGTATCTGAGTGATGTCTACGCTCAGCTCCCTCGCCAAGTGCCTAACAGCTGGAGTTGCCAACGACGCGTGCTTGCCCGTCTGCTTCGTCACTGGCGCGTGCGAGGGTGTTGTTGGCGTTTGTCGTGCCCACGGTGCCTCGATAAATGACTGTTTAAGTTCAGGGGCAACAGCTTGTGGTGTAGATGTCGAGATAGCCTCCCCCTTGATTGCCTGCGGTCCTTCCAAGGTCGAAACAGGCTCAGGCGGAGTCAAAGCTTCCACCCCCTTGCTCTCCGGACCGGCCTCAATGTCGATATCAACAAAGGGCTTTCCCACCTTGGCCATTTCGCCCGCTTCGTAGTATAGTTTTTTGACTACACCGGCAAAGCGACTAGTAATTTCAACAGAAGCCTTGTCACTCTGGACTTCACACAGCTGCGAGAACTCCTCGACTCGGGCGCCCGGTTCGACGAACCATTGGATGACTTCGCACTCGACGATTCCTGGCAAAAGCCGTTAGCGCGAAGTTATGGAGAAGGTGGACCGAGGACCACTGGCTCTGGACGTACCCTCTCCAATATCGGCAAGGAGGACCGGCTTAATAACTTGGAGATCTCTCGTGGCATGGAACGCTCTTCTCGTAGAGGGTGACTGTTGAGCTAGAGCAGACGACCTCGAGTTTGCGGGAAGAGGGCGAGTAGGCGACGAAGTCGTAGATGGGTTTATGATGGAGGTCGTAGTCGGCGCAACCCTGCTCAGTCCTCTCCGACTAAGACGCCACAGTTCGTGCCGGCCAACGGCGCGGGAGCTCTGCCGCAAAAACATGGTCCTCATGTTGCAGACAAGTCGTTTGAGACGATAGATCCAAGCGCAGAGTTTGTTTATTTCGAAAAGAGACCGGAAGGGATCTCGCAGCTCGAGGGATCACATCTGGCCCGAGACCAGGAAAAAGTAGAAACATGTCTCCAATACTTTCCGATAACTCTACCGCGACTTGCCGCTTTCTGTGTCTAATACTTTAGCAAAGGAAAGGATACGACGGCTGTCTTTACCCCAATCAACGTCCTCAATCGATCCAGCGGGGTGGCTTGCTACGGCTTACAGACTTCAACTGACGTTCGGCCGAGAGAACCTTGAAGGCTTGGTCGGGAATAATCCCCGCGGATAACCGAACCCCAACTTCTATCAAATCTACATGCAGTACAGTACGGCAAGGCACAATGCACCCCATTGGTTGCGTTCCTGCCCCCCGCTGTTTCGGCCTGTGCCCCAGAAAGCCGTTCGGCTTGACCCCAAACTGTGTGCCCTGGCCCAGAGCGTGGGGTCAATTGATGCTCTTGGTGGGGTAGGTTGCTTGGCGCGTGGAAATTTCGAGGGACGGTGCGCGGGTTAGACAGACTGACATCAGAAGGACCGTGACAGGAGCTTCTGGGAGAACCTTGAGAGCCAGAAACATCACGAATCGATACGTCGTCACGTCGCACATCATGCTCAGCCGCGCAACAATAAGAGCTCGGTCGACAGCCGGCGCCTGCCTCCTATGCCAATGGAGGTCGTTCAGTGTGTCATATCAGAGGCTTGCCAATAAGACACCATCACCACAGACAACCAAACCGTCGACACCACCATCGACACCAGCTCCGCCCCCCGATGCTGCTTCAAGAGATGCCGCTTCGGCGGCTCCCGTGTCGCCCATCGAATCCCTCAGAGAATCCGGCCCTCTAGCCAATGCGCCCAGAGCCTACGGCAAGGCGCTCGATACCTTCACGCCAACCCACTTGTCAAGGCCTATTGGCATGCACAACCCCCCAAACCCTGGAGAAAACACAGGCATCGACACGCGCACACTCCAACAGAAGAGGGATGACTTCGTCAACTATGAGAAACATTTGAAGAAGCGAGAGATGCTGTGAGGACCCATCCCGACATTGGCCATGTATCTTTATCATCCTCCCAGCTTCTTGACTAATTGGCGTTATGACATTAGCAAATCCAAAATCTCCCGCCCCTACTTCCGCGACTGGCGCAACATGCAATTTCATAAGGGCAAGACCTTCCTCGCGCCGCCACGTCTCTTCAAAGCCGACCTCTCCCTGTATTTCCCCAACTTGCATGGCCGGACCCTCGCCAAGGACGATGCGGCCAAGGCCGCCGACACCACACCTCTCCTAGAAGGCCACTGCTCCGTCGTCACTGTCTTCAGCAGCATGTGGGCCGAGAACCAGATCCGTACCTTTGTCTCTCCCGAAGCCAACCCAGTCCTGCAGTCGGTCCTGAAGCAGAGCGGTGGGCGCGCGCAATTGGTGCAGGTCAATATTGAAGAGGACGCCATGAAGGCGTGGTTGGTCAGACTGTTTATGGGCTCGCTGCGCAAGAAGGTGGATGAGGACGACTGGAAGAGGTATTTCTTGGTCACAAAGGGGATCACGGACGAGATTCGGGAGTCAATTGGTTTGCTAAACAGCAAGGTCGGCTACACGTATCTGGTGGATCATAACTGCCGAATTCGATGGGCGGGCAGTGGTGATGCGGAGGGAGATGAGAAGGAAGGCCTGATTAAGGGCGTCCAGAGGATTTTGGACGAGATGACCAAGGAGGGTGTTGGGAAGAACTATGTGCGGAAGACAGCGGCTGTCCCTGAGTTGAAGGCAGAAGGGCCTGTTGCGGCGCAATAGGCGACCCGGAATGCCTAGGCGTAAACATGCATTGAGATGATATGGGTGACAAAGTCTCCATTGCCTAGCTGACGTGTCACAGAGCTTTTGCCGGAACAGAAAAACAAGAACTCGATAAGCTCAAGGTTTCTGAGCATCAAATTCCTGCTATAGGGAAGCTGATTGAGCTTACGAGCAAGCCAGTCGGCTCATCGGGGGCTGAAATGGGCACATTTCAAAATGCCACGGACGAACGGGGAAATTCTGGTCTGTTCTGGTCTAGAGCAGATGCGTCCACGAGCCATGGTTCAACCGGCAAGAATGCTGTGGACTTTCTGTTGGGTTTGTAAATTATATTATCATTTTGTAAAATCACTTTCACACTTGCTTGCCTCGCAACGCCCCTGAACGCCGTAGTCCCCGCCATGCTTCCCGTCAAAGTACGAAAGCCCGACACTGAAGTAGTGTGTCATGTACAGCCGCTTGCGATAAGGGTTCTTGGAAGATGCGATCCTGTCACGCTTCCAAAGATCCATAGCATGCGCTCAACAAGAAGTGAGCCGCATAACCGTCCTCGAGCAGAATTTCTCCGCTCTCTCATTTCCGTGAAGCGCTCTCCCACGTCTTTCGCCATCGCCGCTCAGGAGAAGAACCAGAACATCAAGAAGCAAAACGCAATGAATGAGCCCATAATAATCCCATCTCGTCTCTTCCTCGCCGATATCCTCGTGATCAGGGTATTGATTCCGGGCACCTGGCTCGCCGCAAGAGTAATTCGCCGGTTGATGTGCGCCAGCCGCTCTCGCTGGGACGCGAATGAGTCCTGCACCGCGTATGCCTGGCTCAGCACGCTGTCGGCCACATCGTGGCTGCGGTCCAGCCTGCCTCGCTCGTCCAGCATGTAGTCGGCCTCGCCTTGCTCAGGGTTGGCGGCGCGGTATGCCGAGATGTCGTCGCGTACGCTGCCTAGCAGGTTGGCGCGCGTGCGGGCCGTCTCGAGCGTCGACCGCAATCGGGAGAGGTCTCGCCGGTGGTCCGAGAGCTTGTCGCGCAGAAGGGAGAGGTTGTTTTGCTTGAGCGCTGAGGGGGAGGGGTCCGAGGTTAGGAGGCGGGTGAGGTTGGAGATTACGGACTCGCGCTGAAGAGGCAATGTATTAGGAGTGTTCGAATTCATGTAAACAGTTTTACTTCACCTCTGGAAGCTTACCTTCTCCAAAAGCTCCCGTAGTCTCGTTTCCGTATGCCTTTCCTCTTCTGTCGGCTTCGGTGGGATGTTGGTCTGGTTCGAGAACTGGGCGTAAGTATGGAGGAGCATTTCGGTCTGTGAGAAAATGTTAGTCTCAGATCCTTCCCAATTCCCAACGCCCATCACCAGTCCAGTCGTACTTGTGTTTCGAGCGATCGGGCTTGTTGTCGTAACTGGGCCCAGCCCTGGGTTGAGGATGTTGTCGCCGCCATGATGCAGTGCTGCTCCTAAGCTATTGGGGGAAGATCAATGAACTCCAACGGATGCGATTGGTCTGGGTTGGCGGAAGGCAGCACTCTTGGCCGGCGAAGAATATGACGCGGTTTAAATCTATAAGATGTCTGTATTAGTAGGGGTAAGGTTGTTCAGGATAGGTCAACCGTTGGAGGATCCTAGATCAGACGTAAATGGTCGGGATGATGATGATTGATGATTGCACGGCAGAGATGTGGCTTTGTTAGTGGAAGAAGTTCAGTTACGTAGCGGCAGGCGCCACAGTTACATGTCCGCTGTACCGTAGCGGCCTGGGTCGACTCTTCAGCTGAGCTGCTGCAGAACGACAGAGCTGAAGATAGGGCTTCATCACTCAGGGGACCCGACGATACATTCCATGTCACCTCATGCCAGGTGTCAGCGCCTCGGCACTGGCAGCTGATGCACATCTCAAGAGTCTAGGCCAAGCATGACATCAAGGTTCATACAACTACTATCACGCGAGATAGCTGCGGACCGTACCGTTCTCCCGTCTGAACAATGATAGACATTAACTGCGGCCGTGAACGTTGGCGCGGGTTCATAACCATCACGGTTGATAATACTAAAGTTATAGCAGGATGCGGCGGACACGATTGGTCAGCACACATATAGACATGCGAGCGAAGATACCTCAGTTATTGTTGAAAAACATATGACAGAAGGGCCAAGCCATGTTTACACGAGCTATGTAAAGTGCTGATAAATCGTAAAGACTCACCATACAGTCGTCGTAGCTGTTCACTAGATACGTGTAATTCGCAGACATACACCGACGCGATGAGAGACGCAGATTCGCACATAGAACGCACGAAGGATATCAATGGTCGAGTATGCGGTAGGCGCAGTAAATAGCATCTGTAGGTATTGATCTTCCGCTCTTTGGACGGATCCCTAATCGCATGGTTTGGTGCGATACCAGGAGGAACAGGCTCTCTGCGAGAGTCGAGTGCCTTCACGAGCCCCCTGTACATTGCCATGGGGCGTCCCCAATGCCTCGAGTTTCGCTCGTGACCCGTATCCTCTGCAAAACCGGAAGCCGTATTTTACCATCCTGATGACTGTAAACCCTCATAACAGACGCCGTAATGGACCCGAGAACCGTCAACGTCCAAATGCAACTGACCGAGCCATACCGCGAACCGCTCCCGCATGCAGTCCCCTAGCACCCATGCCCACAATCTACCACTTCATCTCGTGGGGCTTGTCACCCTTGCGGAGGGTGAAAGAAGAGGCGAGGTAGCTGGCGAGGAACTCGACCTTCTTGATGTTGGCGATGAGGGCCTTGTCGATGGCCTTCTGGTCGGCAACGCGGCTGCTGGAAACCTCCTTCTTCTGCATCACTATGTCAGCATTGTGCGCCCCGTGTTCCAGCTCGGAATTCTGAAGTCGTACCTGGGGCTTCTCGCCCTGCTTGAAGAAAGCCTCCTCACCGGCCTTCTCCTTGGACTTCTCGGCGGTGAAGTACTTGGGCTGAGCGATCTCGTTGATCTTGGCCTCGTCGATGCCAGCGAGATCGACCTTCTGGGAAGTGGCAATGACGTAGCGGGCGTTGACGCGACGGAGGGGGACACCGTTGATCTTGAAAGGGCCGGTGACGAGAAGAACACCCTGGTCGAGAGCCTTGAGGAGGACGACGCGCTTGCCACGGAAACGGCCAGCGAGGAGGATCAGGACGGTGCCGGGGACGAGGGTGCTGCGGGGAGACCACGGGCGGATGGTCTTGCGGACCTGTAGAGAACATCGTAATTAGAATCAGTTGTGTTCGCAAAGTTTGGGAATGTCCGCCTCTTGTCGTCGCCTCCACGAGATGCACTTTGCGGTCCAAAGTCCAAAATCGCAGCAAGTGCTGCCGCCCTCCACTTGCGCCCTGGTTGTCCCCATTTCCGCGCCAAATCGATAACCGCCAAACCAGCCGCAATTCCACCAAGTGCATCTCGCGATACTTCGCCAAAAACGTCGCCGGTCGCCTGGAAAACTTGTGCATGCACGTACCTTGCGAGGCTGGGCCTCATCCTCAGCAGGGTACCATTTCTGGGCCTTCTCGGACGAGTGAGGGACCGTCCGGGTCGCCTTGCCAAAGGTCTTCGTCTGGGGAGCCGCCGCGGACGACATTGTGTGGACTTTGGCTGGGTGGTGAGGTTAGTGCAGAATCGTCGTCAACTTCCTGACTGCTGCTCGAGATTTTAGAAATGTTGGAGTGGCCCCGGTTGTGTGCATGTTACGAAGACCCAAACCCCAAGCTAACCGCATTTGGATTTTGCGGGACCGTTCACCTTTGGCAGGCGGCAACGCACGGACCACCTCGGAAACGGTAGGGTTTTCCGCCCTCCCTGCGAATTTGCGCATCCACACCTCTCAGATTTTGTTGGATAGCGAGTGCCTGAAGACCGCGATCCTCTGATACTTGTCGTGGTCAAGCCCTACTCACCCAACGTCCTTCAAGCTCGACGTCAATCACATTCAAGATGGTACGTACGGCCCATCATGTCCGACGGCTCTTTGGGGGGCACTGTTATGCTGCCAATTTCATCGATGTCTTGTTTGGCAATTGCTGCACTTCGCCGATGATCTTATTTGCGACGATATCGCAGACGCCAACCGATGGCAGATTGAAGTTTTTGGAAACACGGTGCATTGGCTGACTCCAAATTGTTTTAGTCTTCTGGAAAGGTCAAGGCCGGCGCTCTCTGGTCCAAGAACAAGGACGAGCTCACCAAGCAACTCGGTGAGCTGAAGACTGAGTTGGGTCAGCTTCGCATCCAGAAGATCGTCTCTTCCGGTACCAAGCTCAACAAGATGTACGTCGATTTTGCACCCGCCGATTCACCACGAGCCACTATGAAAACGCGATATGGGAACTTGGACGAATCTTTGGGAATATCAGGGAGGATTGAACGGGTTGGCTGACAGGCGCATCTTTTTACAGCCACGACCTCCGCAAGTCGATCGCTCGTGTCCTTACCATCATCAACGCCAAGCAGAGGGCTCAGCTTCGTCTCTTCTACAAGAACAAGAAGTACCTCCCTCTCGATCTCCGCGCCAAGCAGACCCGCGCTATCCGCCGCCGCCTTTCCAAGGAGGACGCTTCCCGCGTTCTTGAGAAGACCAAGAAGCGCACCACCCACTTCCCCCTCCGCAAGTTTGCCGTCAAGGTACGATTATACAATGCGCCGGCCTCAATGGATGAGAGACGCCAAGTCCTCTTCATTTCACCTGGTGTCGAATGACGATCCAAATAGGAAGAACCAAGACCATGCTAACATGCGTGTCTCCAGGCCGCTTAAATGTGCTTCTTCCGGGGTTAAGGGGTCGGTTGTGGGAATTTAAACAGGCAGCGCGGTTTTGAAAAAGGATTTCGCACTCGACACACTGCATCATCAATGGAGCATGCTTGAACGGGTTTTTTGGGTGCTATCAACGAGGTCAACGAAAACCTTGATCCGGCTAGGTAGCTCCATAGCTGCCGAAAATGAATGCCACGGGCTGAACCACCACCATCGCCACCACCGCAGACGGATTGTTCATGATGATACCCACGTTGGATTCTTGACGACCCCCCGGCCGGATGCTGTTCTGATCGAAGATTGCAGGAATGGGGCTCATGGCTTGGGTCCCTCTGTGCCATACAACGGCTCCTTTGGGGCTGATTGGTGTAGCCAGGTACACATAGTTGCCTAGAAAAGAGCGCAGTTGTCCGGGATGGAGATCTTTCCAGGGCTGCGTCGCGAACGTATTTGTCCTTGGTTCTTTGACTGTTCTTCATGATGTCCCTCTTTCCCCCTGGTCCTGGAGTGATGATCGTTTCGCCTTTGCTGTGCTTGGTAGATTGTGACGTATTC